TAGTAATAGTAATAGTAATAGTAATAGTAATAGTAATAGTAATAGTAATAGTAATAGTAATAGTAATAGTAATAGTAATAGTAATAGTAATAGTAATAGCTATTATAATAGTAATTGTTATACAATAGTAAATTAGTAAGAACTTAATATCTCGTAGCTTTTAAGTAGGTATAGCTTTAACTAAGCAGGAACTATTTAAAATGTTAAGTGTAGAAGAAAATAGAACTCGAAAATAACGTAATATAATAAACTAGAATAAATAGAAATTCAATATTAATAAAACTATTAAGACCTTCTTTTATTACTATAACATTAATATTTATAATCGTAACTTAAACTTCTTCTAACCTTAAGGTTAATTTCTTTTATATACGTTATCTTCTAATAAATATCTATAACTTTTTAATTATTATAAAACAGTATTTCTTATTAACAGTATATTATAAATAATAAGGTAGTTACTTAAGGTATTTTTAACCCTTAGTTAAGAAAATACTATTTTACTTCTTAGTAATATATCTAATAGCTTAGATTACTAGATATTAGATTAAGGTTTACTAGGTTTCTAACCTTATCTAAGAATAAGCTTCTTATTTACTTAATTAGTTTAACTTACAATCTTGTATTTCACTTAAAGTACTCCTAATAAATAGAATTTACTAAATTTAAAGTATTACTATTAAATTAAAAGAAACTATATACCTTTATTTTCTACTTATAAAAGTATTTCGTAATTATATTTAATATATCTAGAGTATTATAGTAAAAATATAGATTAATTCTTTTTACTATTTTAAACTAGGTAAACTTTTAGCCTAATTTTCTAGAACTTTTACCTGCGCTAATAAAATCTTTAAAGTAACTTAAAAATAAGTTTAAGTATCTAAAAGGATCTAGATAGAGTAATTAATAGGCTAATAAAAGATTTTAAATAAAGACCTTAAGGTTTTTAACACTCTTTTTATACTAGCGTATTATAAATAGCTAATCTTTATTTACTTTTCTTTTAATTAATTTACTAATATATTTTAAGTTACTAGTTCCTTATTGTTCTAAGTATTTCTATATAATATTCTACTAGCCTAACTTAAGTATTTCTCTATACTAAGAGTGTAAGGCCTTTAGAGCTCTAGTATTAAGTATCTATAGATTCTTAAAGCTTATACTCTAATAATTTTAATAACCTTTAAGTAAAATACTTATCTAGTATATATTATTAATTCTTAATTTAATAGTTTTATTATTAAAATTAATATACTCTTTTTTTAAAGTAAGTAATAAATAAATTAAGAACAAAGATAATATTTATAATACTAAAAATACTTTCCTAATAGAAATAAAATATTTAACTTAAACAAGACCTAATAGTATTTTTATCTATAACTAAAAATAACTTACCTTAAAGGTAGAGCCTCTATACCGAAACTATAGATATAAAAAGCTAGAATAATTAAGAAATAACTTAGAGGTAAAAGGTATCTTCCTTTTTAATAAATAAGAAGCTCCTTAATATACTTTTTAGATTAAGCCTCTTCTTTAATAACTTTTAAAATATAAAATATACCTTTTATTATTCTCTTTATAAAATCTTAAAAGTAAACTAATTATATTTTAGAAAGTAATTTTCTAGCTTAGTTTTTATTAAGATCTAACCTTTAAGTGTCTATAAATAGATTTTACTACTAGGTAGAGAATGTAATTTCTAATTTACTCTAGATAGTTATTAAGAGAAATAACTATAAAGTACTCTTATATTGTAAAAAACTATAAATTTAAGAAAAACACCTATAAATTATCTTATAGTAATAACTTCTAGAGTACTGTTCTACTTTATTAAAGCCTCTTAAACTAGAATAAATTATAGTAAAAAAATAATTCTTAGTACTTAATAATTTAAACTTTAAAAATACTTTAAGTAGTAAATTTATAGCTATACTTATAACTTAGTAAGAGAGTAGGTTAAAGATATTAATAAAGTATTAAAGTATACTTAATTACTTATATACCTTATAATTAGAACTTACAAACTTATTAGTACTCTTTAATCTATATTATAATAAATATTAATCTATTATAAACCTAATTAAATAGTTATTTAAATTAAGGTTGATATATATATTAGAAAGTTATAGCTAGTATAATACCTAGTCTTTATATAGTATAAGACTTACTTACAGTAATTAAACTTTAAGTATTATTTAAATAAATCTATTAATACACTTTTACTCTAAATAGATTAATTAGAATTCTAATTTAAGTAAACTTTCTTTAACCTTATAAGTAATAGAATAGATTATTATTTACAATTGTTTATTATACGTAAAAGCTTATATATCTTAAAATTATATAATTTAGTATAATAGAGTACTTAGGACTATTACTTAATAGTTTAAGTTTAAATTAGCTCTTAATATTATAAAGATAATTATTAGTATTGGAATAAAATTAAAACTAGATTATTTTTAAGAGCTTATATAAATAACTGCTATTTTAACTTAGTTTAATAAATATATCTACTTGTATACAACGTGTAAATAAGCGAAAAAAGTAGAATAAATCTAGGAATCCTTTTTCTTTATCTAGAAATTAAAATGTTTTCTAAGAATTTTATATAGTATTATAATTAATGTTAAAAGAAAAAGTTTAAAGATATTAATATACCTATAAATTTTACTTCTGAGATTATACTAGTTTCTATATACCTAATAAATCGAACACTGTATTTAAGGTTTTCTCTTAGTCTATACTGTCTAAGAGAGATCGCTAGCGTTAATTAAAAGGGACAGAGTCTTACGTTAGGCACAGTCTTTTGTTAAGTGCAAGGAGGAGAGGCGGGATATAGCCACCGCAGCGTAGTTTGAGGACTACACTACTATTATTGGACGATGCTGCAGCTCCCATGCGCGGATCTGCGTTGCCGCTGCCACGCACAAGGCTGAGATACTGAACCTTACTCCGGCACGACATAATCGTCCAACGCATCCTCCGAAAGTCACGCATACGCGACTCAACCCAACCCATCTATTTGGTATAAATGATCTCCATCTGACGCGATCATGTACTACAAACTCCGAATTGGGGAATTTCGTGCCCTTTCCGTCTCGCAATGCCACCCACTCGTGGTCAGGCTGGAGACTCTCGATTTAGGCACATCGCCTAGATATGCTGCCTTGTCTTACACTTGGGGAAGCGCTCCGTACAATAAGGGTAGACCAAAGGGTTCAACATATCAGATCGTGGTGAATGGTGTTACAAGGCCCGTGCAGCAAAATCTCCACGATGCACTCGACCACCTATCGTCCAAGATTCAGGACCTGGATATCCCGCTCTTTGTCGATGCTATCTGTATCAACCAAGCCGATATGCATGAAAGAGCTTCACAAGTGCGGCAAATGCGTGAGATTTACGAGAATGCCGAGTTGGTAGTGGGATGGTTAGGAGTTCCCTTTGACGACAAGGAGACTCAACTTGCTATTGAGCAGATGCAAAGATTCCAAAAAGTACTACAATGCCAGAATGCAGCAGAAGGCAACAATGTATTTGAAGTTCCTTTGGCTATTTCCCCGGAAGATGACATTCTATTTCCCGTTAAATCCAAAACGCCAACATACACAGCATGGATGGGAATAAACGAGATTTTCAACTCAAAGTACTGGCTACGCTCTTGGATCATGCAAGAGGCGACAGGTCCAGCAAGGACATGGTTCTATTGTGGGTCACACCGCTTTGACAAGATGCAACTATCAGCCACTGTCTATTTTGGTCATATCTATTCTGGACATGAAGGAGCAAACCTCGATTTTGTCCACAATATCGGCATGGGAGGCTCAGCAGCCCGACTAAGTGGATTTCGCGAACTTCATGGTTCATTTCCCAGCAATCGCTCAAGAACGACACGGCTCATCGACCTGTGTCAATTCTTTCGGAATACCAAAAGTACAGATCCGCGAGATAAGGTGTACGCCCCACGAAACCTGGCAACTGATTTGAATGCATCTGAGATGTCGCCTGACTACAGTCGCACTACGGAACAGGTTTACACAGATCTTGCAGAACTCTACTTGCGCAAAAACAACAATCTCGATGTCCTAGGCTTCGTGGTACACCCTGCACCAGACTCTGCGCAAATGCAAGGTGAATCGCAGAATGTCTGTGTGCCCTCTTGGGTGCCTGACTGGAGTAACAGAATCACTGTCATGCCTCTTGCGAAAACAATGGACAGCGCTTCTACCAATAGGGCTTATGATGCATGCAGCGGGTTACAAGGAAGTGCGCCTGTTGTGAATGGATCAAAACTTCTAGTACAGTGTTATCGTGTGGACGAAATCTCCCGCTTGTCATTGATCTGCGAACAAGTTAACGCTGAAATGTTGCGATCCTGGATGGTTGACACACTGGGAAATAATTACCCATATACTGGTGAGACCTACGAAGAAGCATTTTCGACCTCAGTCGTTGCTGATATACGATACGATCCATTGGGGAAATGTTACAGTCGTGGAGGGAGGATGATCTGGTCAAGCAAACAGCCACGAACACGGGAGGATCTTCTGCGTCTCGAGTCTTCGGATGTTCCTCTTAGCAATGTGTGTCTTGGTAGAAGGTTGGCTCACACTCTCAAGGGATTGATTGGTATCGTGCCAGCTGCTGCAGCTATAGGTGACATCATAACAGTAGTTTCACACAGCTCGGTCCCGCTTGTTCTAAGGCATGCCTCAAACAGCCATTACCGGCTAGTAGGCGAATGTTATATTCATGGCATCATGGATGGCAAGGCGATAGGGCAAGATGTTGAGTGGGAAGCGATAGTGTTACAATAATGCCTTCGGAGCTGCGATTCTTATTTAGAAGCTGTAATCTCAGTTTTCTGTTTATTTAAATAAGAACGGCAAAGGTGTCCGTGCTAGGGGACAATTACTTCTCCGCAATATAGAGCTTATCAACTGCAGTGTACATATCTTTCAGCCGCGGGTCGATCTACACGCTGCCGTTCTACTGCGTCTAGTGTACATGCTTTTTCGATACGTCTCTAGAACGCGGGGGCAACGCTCCAATTCGCGCGCAAATCAATTTCTGTTTGTACTCCATTAAGGTCCACAACCCTCTTCGAGCCTTTCAGGTTATTGAAATAGTCTATTCCACCCAATACACCGTTTGCGTCTACCTGCCACACTTCGTCTGCTACAAGGAACTTCCAGAACGTCAAAACCTCTCTCAAAGTGGCCAATGGTCTGGTCCGCATCCAAGGACACCACCCATTCTGATACGTGAATAACGTATCTCCGCCTTTCCCGTCGACGAATAGCACCGCATCGCCCCAATCCTTGTCCGGATAGAGATACAGTCCAGTTGTCCGCGCAAGCAGCACAGATCCACGGCCCCAGAAGTTGTCTACTCTCGGACTAACAGGCTTTGGCACCGTTGCAGCGCCAGGAAACAGAAGCACTGGAGCTAGATCACGGTCATGGTGGCACTGACGGAACGGACCATCGTCAGGTTTATTACCAATCGTGAGTTTCCGCTCGCAGTTGCTTGCTTCATTGGCATGTGACGCTTCGAATGACTGGGTCGTCCACGCCCTTACACCAGGAGCGATGTTCATTCCAGGTTTCTTCGGCGCACGCGCTTGGGCAAGAAACGCTCGTTCGAATGAATGGTTGGCCCACTGATCAACTACCGAGTTTTGGACTAGAGCGATGCTACTTTTCTCATGCTCATTCTCGCCAGCAGGCATTCTCTCTTCGATCGCGGTGATAAGTTCGTCCCATGCGTTCAGAGATTGTTGTAACTCCCATTCACCCCACTCTTGCATCGAGAGGTCTCTGTCTGACTTGATCTTCCCAGCGTCCCACATCAGAAGCCAACGCCTTAAGATTTCTGCAAGTGGGAACCATGAGTCTTCAGGGGGGAAGCCGAGAGATGGATCAATCCAGCATGCCACTTCGCGTTCTTGATCGAAGAAAAGTCCACCTTCATTTTCCATGGTTACTGAAACGTCTTGATAGAGAAGTATGAGCTCATCTTCGTATGCGGAAAATTGAGGCCATGCTTTGTACTGGAAGAAGGATCTGGAGCTGGGAGGTTGGCAGAAGGGCGTCAGAGCGGTGAAGTCTGCTTCTACAGGCCATGAGTTTATGATAGTGAGAAACATCCGGACATGAGCTGAGAGCCGAAATATCAATGGGTCATCTTCACTTTGCAGCCTTAGTACGTCTCGGGATGGCTGGAGTGATGGATTTGCTTGTACGGCACGTTGTACCAGTTGATTGTGCAAAGACGCGCATTCTATGGGGTCAAAGAGCTCAGTGTCGATATCGGACATGCCTGTGGAATAGACTGAAGAGGCAAAGGTAAACGTTGGCTCATAGTTGGAATGATTACAATGTCGGGTTGGCAACAGCTCGCTTACATAAGCGGTGGTAGACTCTGACGAACATTAGGAAAATAATTGGAAACAAGTGAAATCTTGAAATTCTCTTGGACTAATAAATCAAGATACTCGGATTCACATTTTCACACAGGTGCTTCATGGTGTATCATGTCACAAAGTTGACACGATAAGTTGTCCCTGGCAATATCGACACAATATACCATGCTAATCGACCAAAGTGAAAGTCAAAAACAGCATATGCTCCAAGATCTTCGACTAAACACAAAGCTAACACCACGGAGTACTGCAATTATCTACAGAGGTCATCGACCTACGACACACAAGATTATCGAGTTACTTTCCAGAGCTATTGTTTCTCAAACTATAATGACCTCGCTTAATAGAACAGTTCGTTCAGCCTTTGTACTGTGTTGTAATCAGCTATCACTCTTCGGCGTAGACTTACATGTCTCCTCATCGACGTATCTATTGCAGGTCAATCGTCCCTTCAAAGCTGATACCCCATGTGTATAAGAGATAACTGCCTTTATACACTAGCTTGGACTTGTGTCAAGTCCACTGACCGAGATTCTGTAGAAGACACACCTCGTGGCACTTGAACGATGCTTTGTAGAGTCTAATTCAGCAGTGCGTTAGGATAGTAAGACTGGAAATTGGCTTGTAGTAAGGGTTCTATCTCAATCTCCAGTAGCTCATCGACAAGAAACCAATAGAATGTAGATTGAGAAAGAACAGTCGAGAGGGTCGAAATAAAAAACATTACTTGATGTAGCGTTTGAGGGATTCTCGTTATGATTAGAGAGCCAATTTGTCAATACTGTGACGCAGTGAAGTCAAGGCGAGTGTGTAGTAGCTTGTGAACATTCTTCGTCTTATAGGAAACGTGTTAAGCAAACCTGATAACAACGCATCGATAGAGTAATCCCCATGCAGATTCCGACTTGCTATTACACTCTTTGAACGTACTCAACTACAACGCGATCGAGAGTCTATGCGGTCTATGCTACAACACCTTACCCATTACTGGACTGGATCTGCAAGTCCAGAATTCGATATTGACGTTCCCAACACCAAATATAAAACACGTGAAAGAAACGGATCTCACTGTCAGGTACAACGTTGGCGACAATAGTGGCCCGTGTTGATACAGTACCGATGTTGGATGTCTCAGTCTATTCAAAGGCTATGCTAGTGTCATCTTCGGTTGCTTCCGTACATGAGCGGTGAAGCTGGTGACTTTAACGACCTGCTTGATGTGATGGTTTTGGAGTCTCAAAACCCCAGTAAGTAAGCTGTAGGTTAAGATGGGTGAAAACGATTGTCAGACACTACTCGAACGAAGCGCGCAGAATCTCACGACATCACGCAAACAAAGAATGGTACTCAAGTGAACGTCGGTTGATTCGGTACTACCAATACATACTCCACAATGCAACTCTACATGCCGTCTTCTAGACAATCTCTACGCGTGCTGATATCTACACCTGGACAGACAAAAGAAACAAGACACATGAACGCCGTGCTGAATGCTTCGCTCGTAATCAAACATAGATGAAGGAGAGACATCATTGGGGAAAAATACATGGAATGATTAGGAAGATAATACATACAAGAATGGGAAGAAAGCGATGGAATGAGAAATGGATAGTATAAATGATATGATCGGGGTGGGTTCATGGTGGAACTGACAGCAAAGACGACAACGGAACCTCAGTAGGTAAAGGCCTCCTCCACAAAGTCAATACACCCTTCCGTTAACCAAGGTCGGACCGCCGCTCTGACTCCGTCTGAGAAACCTCCGCTACCGCAAACGGTGACGGCCATGGCACCCACGCGACTTCGCACCTCCTCCTCAATGAGTGTGTTGATGTTCGGCCGCCCCGCAAACATCTTCACTGTGTCACTTGAGCTCTCGACACGCCCTTTGGGTCGTGTGATGAAGAGTTTGATGCGCAGACATTGTTTGCGGCCGGGCATTCGCAGGACCTCGTCCATCCACGGACGAACCCACTCCAAGCAGTCAGAGTCGGGCACTGTCCAGATCAAGACGATTCGCTGGGTGGCCGTCGTACCACGATTGAAGCCATTGACGAGATGCTTGAGGTACATGACTTGGTGGGTGATACCGACACCGCCGGCAATCAGAACAAGACTGCCATACGAATCGAGTGAATGGTGGCCACCGTAGGGACCCTCGATAAAGCCCCAAGTGCTGAACTGTTCTGAGGGTGATGCACACGCCTTCTCGTACATCTTGCGCGTAAGACCTGTACGGGCACGGCAGATGAGGCTGATTTGCTTAGACTTCTGGGGTCCGCCGGGAGCAATGGGAATATCGCCTTCGAGAGTGGGCAGTGTCATTTCCTTTGAGTCGGCAGTGACGGGTGCTGCCCAAGCGACAGAAAATGGATGCGAGTGCAGCCCAGCGAGCTTCGGCATCCAGATGTGCACATGGCAGCCAGGGCGTGGGCTCCATTCACGAACCATATCGATGGTCACGCGCACAGCTTCTCCAGGCATGGCTTCGACGGTGATTTTGGAGCGCTGCTTGAGGCTGAAGCCGTAGTAGGCCATTGAGAGCAGGCGGAAGAACCACTCTGCTGCCCAGAAGAAAAAGATCAAATGCATCCAGGGGACCTGTGGCAGCATGTGCAGTTCGAGATGCTTGTACAGGCCGAGGAGCGCCAATATGACCATGACCCTGTGGATGCCGAGGAAGGTCTCGTAGAAAGCGTGGCGGAATGGCGACCATGCCTGGATGCCGATGAAGGTGAAGGCGATGGTGCTCACCATGCCCCAGCCGTAGGAGCCCTCGGTATGCAGAGCGTCGGCCACCGCGCTCCATCCAGCGCTCAGCGCAGTGTTGTACACCCATGCGATGGTGTGCACAATGGCCTCGGCAATGGTGATGCGGGCGGCCCAGCGGTGGAACAGGTTAAAGTCGTCGTACGAGACTTGCAGAAGCGGGATCAGAGGGTTGTTGCGGAGAGCGAAGAGGATAGTCGGGATTAGGTTGAGGGCGGCGAGAGTGCCAGAGCGGCCACGCAGCGCGGCAATGGTTTCCTTGTGGTCGAGCACTTTGTAAGGTAGTGCGACGCACCAAGCGATGTTCAGCGCGACGTAAACGACGAGCATGATGGTGTGCCAGCGGCCAGGCAGCGTTCCATTGTCGATAGCGCTGGAGATCTGGAACTGGGCATTGTGCTTCTTCTTCCATAACGGCGCGACCAGAACATGTCGGTTGAGCCAGGGCCACCAGCTCGTCCGGTTAGTCGCCCAGTACGCCTGGCGCGACGGGTTGCCCATGACGGTTAGATGGCGGTTGTGGCGCCACCACATGTTCGCGATACGCAGGCCAAAGAGGATAACACCCGTGGCGAGCAGCAGGTAGAGGAAGGTGTCGACCCAGATGAAGTTGCCGACCTGGTCAACCCCTGTCAGGCCATACGAGTACTTGAGGTCGTCGAACTCGGCGGCGTCCCAGCCCTCGAGGAAGTGTCGGGGTGTTAAAGCATTAGGGCTGGCGAAAGCAGGGGACTGGTCCACCCTCCGGGGGCGGAAGAGAGACGACATGATTGTGTGATATTGATCGTGAGTGTCGAGTGAGCAAGTAGGTATCGAAGTCGCCGTATAGGGTCGCCAAGGTGGCTAGTCCACAAAAGCAAAGTGAGCGGACAGGAGTACTAGTGACGTAGAAGGCTCGAGCGAGGATGATCGATAGACGCTATGTGCACGTCCTGGCGCCAACCAAACCTGTTGGGAGAGGGAGAGGATTATCGCGAGGTGCAGCGACAGTGTGTTTTAACTCGCGAGGCAGCAGAGACAGGCGATTTTGACAATGAGAGACAATGGCAAAGTTCTTGTCACCTATACATGACAATGTCGGGATCGGTGCTGGTGCGTGGTCGAGAAAGTAGGCGGTGTACGTGTACAATGAAGCGGAGCTGTTGTCGACGATGCGCAGCAGGTCGAGGGCAGTGAAGGGAACGAGTGTTCAAGCAAGGGCCAGAGGGAATGATGGCAAAAGTGAAGGGCAACAACGATATTCAAAGGCAGCAGTCAATCCAGGTCAGGCGATAGTAACGGTCCAGGTGCGGGTCCAGTGGAAGAGAAAAGGTGATTTGGGCGGGAGAAATGTCGCTGGATGCTGGAGTGATGGTGAGGGCAGTGTGTATGATGTTGTCTAAACGAAGGAACAACAATTGGACGAAAACGAAGGTGCCAGGGAAACGTGAGGTTGGAGGAAACGAAGTGGTAAAGGAGGGACCTCGCTGGTGTGGCGCGAGCAGCCGCATCACCCGGCCTGCACCAGATCGTGTGAAACAGGCGGCGGGCCACTCACGACGGCGTACCTGACAGCGCCGAAACAATCCGCAGCCGTGCTCAGCCCACCCCGGGTGGGCCTGGCCAATCGAATTAAATCGAATGTGCCGAGGGCGACGGCGTGCTCCTAGCGCCAACCGACTTATTCGCTGTGCTTGCTCGCGCGATGCGGTGTCGACGTCTGTTGGCGCCAGCTAGCCAGTCAGCGTCTGGGAGCCTCTCTCTGTACTCATACTCCCGACTCCCAGCTGGACGACGTCTCTAGTCGGAAGATCGATGCCCGTCTTCTGCACGTATCCAACACCGTATCGTATCGCGGCCCAGCGTGTAATCAAACTCCGTCCGTCTGAACACGGGCAATCCAGGGCCGCCTGCCAGCGTGTTCCAGACTGACTCCAGATGCGCTCTTCCCTCCAAAAGCAGACAGCCAAACGAGAAAACTCGCTCGTCATCCCCGCAGCGATCTCACTTTTTCGTCTCGTATCGCCAACGGTGCTCCATTGCCTAGCCCTGGGTCATCCGTCGCGCAGCCACGCTCCGTCCTAGCAAATCTCCACTATCTCTGCGCAATTGTTCTCCTACACTCTTTGCCGCCTGGTGGGTTGAGCATCGGGCCACGTGGAGTCACACCAAGGATTCCTTGACTCGGCCCCCGCTGCAGAAATCATGTCGCGACCGCCTGACAAAGAATCCCTCAGGGCCTCCAACCGCCCGCCTGGTAAAGACGTTGAGACATGGCGGCGTTGAAACACGACGCCGGTCACGACGAGGGCCATGTTGGTCATCCTTGGCGCCACACAAACCATGACCTAGCCGACGCCCGCCTGTCAGAGCGGCACAATAACCCACACACGAGCTATGGCTGACACGTGCAGTCCGGCCAAGGGTACATGTACCTGACAGTAGTCACCGAAATCCTTGACATGGACCAGACCACCGGCGAGCAGTGGGCAGTAAGCGACACTCGAGCTGTTCTCACATGCGAGCTCCGTGAGATCAAGAACTTGCAAACGGTAGTGTACAACCACTCTGGTGCTTTTCTCGAAGGTTTCTGGAACTACCCTTCCCTGTGTGATATAAAATGCGTATTGGTAATGCGAATAATAAGAAGCGACTGCATCATAGCAGTATTCTTATGCATTCAGTTCACCTCATGTCCGAGGTCCAGCGTCTTGGCCAAGACTGATTTATCCATCCAGAAAGGCTTCACCGACGCTCCGACTCCTTCACCACCTCATCCAGCTAGTGGCACTCCCCAGACAGCTAGTTCACAACATACAAGACCTCAATCTTATCGGCATGAAACACTGAACCCATCGCGAAGACCCCAACCCATGCCAGTCCAAAAAATGATATCCCTTCCTACCGTCGCGCTTGCGACCCAGCAAAATTCAGGCCGTTTAATGCATCCTTCGTCCATGAGTCGTTCGAGTCGCCCGAATCCCGGTTCGCAACTCTCAGACCTCCTCCACCGCCCCCGCCGCCATAGCCATAATCGCTATCCTGCGTCTGCCAGCGGCCATCGCCTTGCTGGTCATCAGCAGCTTCTTGGTCCTGGTAGCTATAGAAGGTCGGTTCCGGTGCATAGCCCCTCTCTTCCATAGGCCCCGCGCGTAGAATATTGGGCAGTGGAGCGCTTGGAGCGGCATACTGCTGCTGTGGCAAGTAGTTGAAATCCTGCGGCTGCACATACTCTGTCCCAACCCCGGGGTTATCATCAAAGACACCCGCTCTGTCGACGGGCAAGTAGTTCAATGGAGCATGCTCCTCTAAGTGCGGTGGAAACCTCATCCTTTCCTCTGTAGGCGTTATGTCGTTTCCGTTGTGAAATGGGCCTGGGCTCATGCCAGGGATCGATGGCTGATAACTCGCGTGTCCGAGCGAGTCAGCAGGGGCCGCCGCGAATTGCGACTGTGCCGCCAGTTCCTGGGCGTTCATCTGCATTTGCAGATGGTTCATCTGGGCGGTCATGCCAAGTGTGCTACCAGCACCGTGCAGAGAGGGGCTCTTCATGCTGCCTGGGCCGCCGATGCTGTTTCGCATGAATGTACTGGTGCTTGCACGACCCACTGGCTCTTCTGTGATTTGATTGTCCGCGCCATTGGGGTCACGAATGCTGTATTGCGCGATTGTACGCATCTTGCGTGTCACCCACCCAGCGAGGATCTTGCCACGCTGCTTCTCGCCCAGGCGTGAGCGGTGGAAGTCGCCCTTGATGACAAAGGCAACAATGTCGATCACGAGTTGATGCTCGTTTAGAACTGCATTGACGATGACTGGAACCATGGAGGCGAGAAAGTTGCGGCGGAAAATCTCCACAACCACGACTACCAAGCCACCAGCTTGGAAAACAGCACTGTGCACGGTGTCAGCAATTGCATAACCTAGTTGGGTCAGGACTTGGACATACCAGCCTCCGGGCAGAATGTTCCGATGGCAACGTTCCACAGACTGCTCGATATCCATGGAGAAGTGGTTCAGCCCGTTGACTTCAAACGTGTCTCCGATGCTGCCAAGTACAAAGAGCACCTGCATATCGACAGACGCGCCGTTGGGCCCAATGGGTCGAGTGACGTTGTGTAGGAAGCCAAGGTCTCCAGTACGAACATATCTTACATTCGGATCTCCGTCAACAGTCCTGCCGTTGAACCGCTCCGCGTCAAGTCGTTCTTTCGAGCCGTAAAAACTGTGCGCATTTGCTTCAGACTGTACCCAGATCTCTCCGTACTCGCCGACCAGACATAGCTGGTTCGTTTCGGGATTGACAATGGCTATCTGTGTACTGACTGGAACCATACCAGAGTCTTGGACTAACAGACTGTTTGGCTCCAGATCCGGGTCTACTGGGAGGATAAGGCCTCGTCTCAGAGCGTTAACGTCGAGATGCAGTTCAATTGGCTCAATGCACATGTACGACCTTGACGCTACCATGGGATTTAGAACGTGTGAGTAGACAGTATTGATCGCCGTTTTATCAAGGCTGGCTGGCTGGAAGTGCATGCGAACTCTCTGATCTAAAAAGGTGTAAGTATCTGCCAGTACATTTCGCGTGACTATACGTACAAACATCAACACGCGGACGGCCATCGGTCGCAATCATGAGGTTCTTCAGCTCATGAAGTGGCATCGTCTTGCCGGCACCACGTGCAATAGCGTGGTCCAGCATTTGGCTGGTTGCATACGCATCCTTGATCTTGTACCTTGCCAGGGTCTGGAAAAGAATGTTGGGATTTTGCGCAAAATCAACGGGCGACACTAGATAAGTAGGAGCGGCAAGAAACACCCCCATGACGCATGTGTGGACAAATCCGAGCCCGATTGTGCTTCGGACACATCCGAGGACCGGTCGTGTGCTCGTCATCTGACAAGTCTCCTTCTGCACCTTACAAAGCGCCATGATTTGGCTGTGACCCAGTTGCACAGCAATCCGTCGCTGGTCCGGTGTCCAGTATGTCCACACCAAGACGGGAAAGCCCGCTTGTACCCAAGCAGGTCGTATGGTCAGCTTGAGATCACGACAACCGCTTGATTGCTTGGGTGGCTTGGTAGTATTGTATGTAGCCGGCACAGTGATTTTGAGAATGGCTGCCGACTGCTTGATGTGCTGGGACACTTGCTTGACCTTCAACATATGATCCACGTCTGCATTGACTAGGATGGCCTTGACTTTGAAGTCTGACAGGATGTGGAGCAATGCAGGCGCATCTTCGTTCAGCCGGTTCTGATCGATGGGCGCCATGGGGATTGCGACAGCTCCCAGAACGAAACAGGCGTGGATCGCATACACAAACTCCTCGGAGTGCGTGTACATCAGCAGTAGATGATCGCCAGCCTGTATCTTGACCTTATTCTTGAGATACATCGCCACACCCGCAACTTTTTGATCAAACTTTTTCCAGTTGACGCCTTTTCCCTCTTTGCCTCTGCCGTCGACGGTGCAGTACGCAAGTTCGTCGGGCTGTCGTGACACTCGCCACTGCATCAAATCATGAATATTGGAGAATTTGTTTAGCGGTGTCGAAGTACGATCGTCAATGACAACCTCTCGGTGGTCAACTCCAGAGTATTGCTTGTCTTGGAGCATCAGGTAGTTTTGACGCGCCATGGATGCGTCGTACGACCACATGCCTCCCGCAGGGTCATCGCCAAGAGCAATGTTTTGGACAGACCGTTCGATTCCAAACTTGACATGGACGCAAGGTAGAGAGCCATTGTCAAATTCTCGTCGGCACAGCATGTTTCCAATCTCCCGTCGGCCGTTCTTAATAATGCGCGGGAGAGTATTGGGCGCAGTGATCATCACACAGTACACTCGCAGATGGTGTTCCTGGTACAGCACCTCCATGCATCGTTCTGACAACGAGTCTAGGAAGGGGATGTCGAGCTGTTGTGGCGGGCCACCTGGATTTGTAGGGGCAGTCGATGCCGCCTGCGTCTCAATAAGTATGATCGGCAGATACTCACCGTTTACATGCGAGTCAAAAGCCGAGCTGCGTCGTATTAGATTAAATCTTCTCACGGGTTGGATAGACTCACCAATCATAGATCTTAGGGACCGACTTCATGATACTAGTGACGAGATGCTGTACGAAAAAGTATCGATGTTCGGCCTCTAGCACACCATGCTCAACCCATTCTACCCGTTGTCGAATGCGGTCTTCATACAATCCCAAGACGAAGATCTTGCCTTGTACAACGCAGCCGAGGAGTCCGGTACGAAGAAACTCCAGCTCGAGTAGCTGCGGGGTTGGGCTCCCCTCGACGAAACGATACGGGCGAGCGTGGAAGATCGACTCGGTATGCTTCTGCAGTTGCCAGAACCCACCAGAAAGCGACGGCGAGTCTACCCATATCTCGCCTATGGAATAGGGGGAGCATAGCAGATTGGTCTCAGGGTCTACCACAGCAAGCGTTGCATCCGGGATAGGATATCCAAAAGCGCCGACTCTCATAGTGCCTGGCTCGTTGGCACGTTTGCTTGCTTCCTCCCCTATGGCAAGCACCACTGCTTCGTTCATCTTCAACGCTTCTTTATCCAACAGAATCTCCGTCAGCTCGTTGCGCCCCTTCTTTTGCTTGTTCTTTTTCGTATTTGCAGCTCCACCGCCTCCGATGAGACTAGAGTAGCCGTTGGGTGCACCTGATTCTTCGATCTTCTTGTCTTCGTCGTACGGATCCTCCTCCTCTATGCTCAATGGGCAACCCATGCGCTCTTCGCCGCCGAGCCAATCACGCACGGATATGATCATACCGCCGTGTTCGGGTAGACATAGCATGGGCGCGATGAGCTCCCGCGCTCTGGGATTCCTCATTGGTCGAAACCACCTGTCTCCAAGAATTTCGTGAAACTCGCAATCGACCGTAAGTGTGTCGATGAAGCAAATCTTGACCGGGGCAAAGTTGGGCTCCGTATTCTTTTTGTAGTTCCTCGTAGCCAGCGGATCCTGTTGATAGTTATAAGCAGCGCGCTTCAAGCCCGGATAGTCTGAGACCATGATAGTCGTCTTATATTTAGTAATGAGATGTGCGTATAAGCCTGGCGTCTCCATGGTAGCTGATTCTAACCAGACTGTCGTGTGCCCACCATAGACTGAAAACAATACACTGAGGATGAGGCCCGCACTCTCGCGTGGATCGAGATAGCTGAGAATTACTTCAGTGGGTGATGACCGGGGAGGAGGCGCGATGAATTTTCCATTCTTATCTCGCAGCGTTGAGCTGAATGTGTCTGCGTTGTCGTGCCCAGTGGGTATCGTCGTGACCATGGCGCTGATGCAGGCCATCTGGTGCATGATGGTTCGGTGGCTGAGCACGACACCCCGCAGGTCGCCGGTTGGAGCGCGCGAAAACTCAATATAGGCGACTTCAGGGACCTGCAGGGCTGGTGTGTCATCTTGCTTCTTCGGGTGATGGCTCCCAAACTCGTTCGTCTTCCACCACTCCACGCCGCTGGGCCACTTGAGTCTGTTCTGGCTGATGTCGCGGTGAAACGTCTTGAGGTTGTTGTCCGTCGTCAGGGCCAGGTGGGCTTGGGTGGTGGTAAGGAGAAGGGTGAGTTTCTGGTAGTCGTCGACGCTGTTGATGGGGACTGCGACAACGCCCGCGATGAAGCAGCCCAGCAGCGCAACGACAAACTCGATGACTTCGACGTCGCGGTACACCAGCGCCACGCGATCCCCGCGGTACAGGTTGCTCTTGTCGCGTATGACCTTGGCGACCTTTTCGGCCCGGCTCGCCACCTTGTCCCAGGTGATGGACGCCGTCTCCTTGCCCTTTGCGTCGAGGACCCAGAAGGCCGTCTGCCGTGGCTGGGCGCGCCCGCGATGACGCAGCACAGCGCCGATGTTGTCGAACTTTGACATTTGAACGTTCGTATTGTGCCCGTCGTAGACGTCGAAGGGGAGGTCGCGCGGCTCGAGGGGGAGCTGTGTCTCGACGACGCCCGCGGGCAGATCGGCAGGATGCATCATGGGGGGAGGGATAGCTGCCGTGGGCGAGAAGGCGTCGCCCACCGAGTAGCGACTCGGCCCGCCGTACGAGTCGCGCTGGTCCTGCATCTGCTGGCCGGTGAAGTCGGAGAAGTAGCCCTGGTGGACGTCCAGCATGGTGCTTCTCCGGCTGGCCTCCCCGGGCGTGCCGTAGCCGTCGTAGCCCGGCTGGGTGTCGGGGTTGAAGGCGAAGTTGGAGTCCATCATGGTGCCTTCGCGCGAGTACGAGTAGCTCTCGGGCGTCTGGGGGCGGGTCAGGAACGTCTCGCTGTTCCGCGACGGCGGCTGCTGCTGTAGCAGGGAGCTGGTCCGGATGCCCAGCTGCTTCTCCTGGAAGCGCCCGACCTGGCTGGGCGGGTAGGCCATGTACTGCTGGGCGCTCCCCATGGTGCTGGTGCCCGCCGGCGAGGCTGCGTAGGGCGCGCTGGCCATGGTGCTGGTGCCTGGCAGCGCTTCGGCGTAGGGCGCGGGTGCCGCTGCGGGCGCGCCCGGGTCGCCATAGTACGAGTCGGGCCGTGGGAGGTCGAGCGTGGGCGGGGCGGCGGCCGACGAGAGGGCGGCGAAGGATGCGTGGCGGTCGGCGGCGCCGTCGTGCTCGGTGTCGGCGGAGGCCCTGGGCTGCACGTCGTTCTGCAGCTGGGCCGAGTACTCGGGGCCCAGGAACTGCGACAGCAGCAGCGTCCGGCGCTTTTCGTACCTGTCGGCTTGGTCAGCGGGGCGCTGCGGGACGCCAGCGGGCAGGCGCGACGGACCCCTTGTGCGTGATGTCGCCCTCTTCCAGCTCGTGGTCCAGTGCCTGGAGCCGCGTCTGCAGCTCCTGGTTCAGGTCGGCCATGGCGGAGGCACTGGGGCGGGCGGCGGTGGTTGCGGAGCGTGGCAGGGTCAGGTGGCGGCTGGTCGCGACATATCAGACGCGGCGGCACGGGGAGCTGGGGCGGCGCTCAGCAGCGACTGCGCGGGTGAGGGCTGCGAGGAATTGCTGGATGCGCTGCGTCGTGATTCGTGAAGGCTGCGCGCCTGGTGGGAGCAACATGACGCAGCACACGTGCGCCCTGCTGCCAGGAGCCGCTACTCCCAACCGGGGCTGGCGGGCCCTCTGTTGCGCCTGCCGATATAGCCTCGGCTGGAGCCAGACGCGTTGGCGTGAAGGGAGCGTCAGATGCAACCCGGCCGACGCATATATCAGCGACAGGCCGGCTGCACCTCCATCGCTGGCACTCCCTCGCAGATCCATACATACCGCACTCATGTCGACCCTCCTACGCCCTCCCCCCGGCCGCTCGTCGCAGGCGCCCATTGAGAACCTGCTCGAGCTCACCCAGCTCAGCGACATCGACCCGGACCTCTTCACCAACACGCGCCCGCTGTGGACTCCCCCAGGCGCGCGCGGCATCTTTGGCGGCGCTGCCATCGCGCAGACGCTGAGTGCCGCCCAGAAAACCGTGCCCAGGGACTTCACCGTCCACTCGATGCACTGCTACTTTGTGCTCGCCGGCAGCGCAGACATACCCATCATCTACCATGTCGAGAGAGTCCGCTCAGGCAAGTCCTTCGCGACGAGAACCGTCCAGGCGCGCCAACGGGGTAAGGTCATCTTCACAACGACCATGAGCTTTGTGCGGCAGAACAGTGCGGGGGACAAGCTTGTCGAGCACGCATATCCCATGCCCGACGTGCCTGGCCCTGTCGAGGACATGGACGATCTGGACGTGAGCGGTGGCACCCAAGGCCCCTTCCAGAGCCAGAGGCTGGACATTGAGAACAGTGAGTATTGTCTTGACTGCAACCAGTACCCCAAGCTAACCATCCGTCAGACGACTCGGAACACGCCCACGTCAAGAAGTGCAGGCAATGGGTCAAAGCTCGCGGTATCATCTCTCCTGAAGGCGGACACGAGGCGCATCTCTCCGCCATCGCCTACATGTCAGACAGCTACTTTGTGGGCACCGTCGCGCGAGTGCACAAGCTATGGCGCTACTCCACACTGCGCGAAAGCAAACACAAGTCCACCATTGATGAAGACGTCCTCAAGAAACTCCTCGCCATGGACGACGTCGAGCTGAAACGTCTCAACATCGTCGACGAGGCAGACCTCGACCGTATACGCCGCCTGAAGAACGGCGAGACCGCCGTCGAGGACCCCATACCAGAAATTGGCATGATGGTCAGTCTGGACCATACCATTTACTTCCACAACCCACGCACTTTCAGGGCAGACGAGTGGATATTCACCGAGATGGAGACGCCCTGGGCTGGTGATGGCCGTGGAGTCGTTCACCAAAGGATGTACACGCAGGATGGCGTCCTGATCGCAACCTGCGTCCAAGAGGTAAGTCGCATATGCATGTCCTTGGAGTTGCCATGGAACTGACCTTGTACAGGGCGTTGTGCGTTTGCGCCAGACAGAGAGTAAGCTGTAGGGCAGGTGCATGCTTTCTCGTCACTATTTTCGTCTAACTTTGTGAAGCGGCCTTTCCAGACTCGCTTGTAGCGAGAAGATTGTTTCAATATCCTAGTTCTTTAGATACCCTGTTGTGCCCAACGCATATTTTTAGACCAAGACTGAACTAGTATAACTTATCGTAGCCCATCCATGAGAAGCCCTGGATGCTTCCGCTGTGTTGGCACTTATAGTAGTCGAATGCGCCAAAATAACTAATCGTAACTCGTCAAAATCTACGTTGTCTCTCGATCGAGTGTGAAAGCAACAATCAAATTATCAATCCGTTCGCGCAAACCTGCGACAAGATCTTAGGAATATACAGGGTATGTTGAGCATAAACATGCAGGAATGTAGGTCACACGTAATATTACGCTCAACTCGTCTGTAGTTGTCTTGCTGCAGCAATCTCTTGCTGCATCTTGGTTTATGCTTAGATATCCAATCAAGAAACTGTGTGGGACATGTGAATAACGCGTTCGCAGATAGCGAATGTCTAATGTTTTGCTTGAATGGATTGCCCATGATTATGCTGCGTTCTTTCCAACTTAACAACTCAATCAGATTACACCTTCGTGTTTATCAATCTTAGTTCCGGCTTGTACACTTAACCGAGAACTTGTGTTGGTTATTCTCTGAGGGTCCGTGCTGAAGCATGCCAGGCTCAAACAGTCACTCAGACATGTTCTCTACCACCCACAACACAACGAAATGTCCATAATCTAACCGCACTTGACCGATCGCATGCACTAGGCATGAACAATAAACAAGCAGCATGTCTCAACTGCCGCAAAAGCAAGATCAAGTGTCGCCGCGATGAGGGGGCGGCCATCTGTGAGAGATGTGGAAATGTGGGTGTCGAGTGTGTGATTCCCGAGTTCCACATTGGGTATGAGAAAAACGCTCTGTTCAACACGAGACTTGCTAACGCCGGTTAGGCGGCAGAAGGGCGTGAAGAAGTGAGTTTCTTGCGGGCAATGTCTGCACTCGACTCATGCATCTCGTAGCAAACGCTCGGGTCTCGAGAAGGCCATATATCAAGTGGAAGAAGCCATCAAGAAACGGAGATTGGACGACGCGGCGAGTCAAAGCACCCTCGATCATCTCCAGAAGCTCCTTCGTGAAGATCAGGGACAAGAAGGTATACACAGCACATCCTCCGCGTCGTCTTTCGGTGTATTTGGGTCGGCTTTGAACTTCCTCTGGTAACAATTTGACATCAGATGATAGTCCCCCCAAAAGTAATGACTTCGCGACACCATTCAGCCATGTTCACAACCCTACTGAAAGAGATGCCGTTGGACCGGTGCACGATGAGCAACTTGCACTCGAGGGTGTTGAGAATCCTCTCCAACTTCTCGCCCGCGCGTCGGACCTTCGGATGGCATCTCCACAGTCTTTCGAAAACAGCGCTTCGACACCTGGTCAGGATGGAAGTGTCCAGAGTGAATATCTCGACGTTCATGGATTCTTCCTACCGATGAAAGCAAAACTGGATCAAGGTCCCGGTATGGATCCTATTGATATCGGGTTGGTAACTTTAGAAGAGGCGAAGATGTTGTTAGCCTAGTATGTATTCTTACATGACGTTTGTGCATGACTGATGTTGATAGTTTCCACACCAATCTGGCACATACCCGTTGGGGACTGGATCCCCTCGTGCACACACTACCTTTTGTCCGTAGCCGTTCGTCCTTCTTGTTCACTACTCTCCTAGCAGTAACAACAGTCTTTGTTCCTGGTGCTGCTTCGCTGTCGAAGAGGCTGCTCCTGCACCGTAGATTCCTGACCGAGCAAATCCTCCTTCAGAGATGCAGATCTGTTGAGATCGTATTGGCTTTTATGATCAGTATTCCGTGGATGCCCGCGGGTACACATGCAAGCGAGGACGACACATGCACATACCTTACGGCCGCATTGTCTAGAGCGATGGATCTTTCGCTGCACAAAATCATAACGCCGTCCTCGTCTTTCCGCCTGGATGTGATGAGACCACTGCCACAGGCTGATTGTATTGACGCAAAGAAAGCCTTGACCATGGACGGTTTCGAAGATGTCGATGTGGACTCCGAATGGGGTCAAAGACTGCTTCGCAGGAGGGAAAGAGTCTGGATCTCGTTGTTCGTCCTAGAGCGCGGCGTATGCCTAGCTCGAGGACGAAGTTACTGTGTTCCGAAATCTTCGTTGATTCAGCGCTGTGACGAATGGCATCACCACCAATACTCCGATGTCCAAGATGGCCCGCTCATATCGATGGCAGTCCTCCGGAGAGATCTCGACGATCTGTTCTCCACCGTTCGATTGCGATGTGACAGCCACCACCCCGCCGATGTGGGTGAAAAGGTGGCTCAGGATATTGATAGTGCGATTGACAGCTTCTTCAAATCATGGTTTCAAACATGGACGTCAGTCATTGGCGACCGTGAACACAAGACACTACCACCCTACGTCGAGACTCTCGTCATCCACACTCGGCTCTCCGCATATTGCATGCTTCTTAATCACCCAAGCGCACCGCCAGAGGTGAAGCGCTCGTTCCGAGCGTCAGCTCTGTCCTCCGCGCTGAACGTGATGCGAGTCACTATTCAGGGCGAATCTCGCTTGAAGTCGATGCCAAACAACACAGTCACTATGATCTGCTTTGCAGCGAGTATTGCCTTGGCCTTGAGTACTCCAGTGCCCGGCAAAAGCGGTCATCGAAATCTGGCGCCCAGCGTCCGCAACCTAATTGAGGAAACGGCCACGGTTCTGGAACGCATAGGTAGTACACCAAGTCACCGAGATGGCGCCTCTGTCATCTATGGCCGGTTCTTGCGTGTATTGATCAAACAGGCGCCTAACCTCGGTCGCCCTCACCAAGTTGATGGTCCGGGTCTCCCACAGGCGCTACCGCGACAGTTGGAACACTACCCACCATCTCCATTGGCAGGGTCTGAGCGTAACTTCAACCTACAAGGAAGATCTGCGTTGGATTGGACAGAACCACTGCTGTTCTCTGCCATGTCCTACAACGAAGTGAACGAGACTGTCACGAACTCGGACTTTTTCACGACTGCCCTGCTGGGCTTGCCGTGGGAGGATGATACTCCACTCTTGTGGGCAGACGGCATGAACTTGCCAGACTTCAACTTCCCTTGATATTGCATCTTGATGCTAAAATGCTCAACTCGACAACGGTCGATAGGTAGTGGAGGTGCCATGCAAAACGATATTGGAACCTAGCAAAGGTATCCATGGGCGCACGCCCTAGCCTATGACCACACCCCTGAACATAACTGCCCGGTAACGGGACTAATGCGAAACTGTGCGGGGTATCGCAAGACTTTATGAGTGACTCTCACGTCAATCTCACACGCGACGACTCTACTCTGCGATACGAGACACGAATAACAACAGGACATTCACTTCATGTTCATAGTTTTATATTTACAGAGTTTATCATATCTGACACACCTCTGTTGGTATGTCGGTGTTGATAGGACTTGTTCAAACCAACATACAGTCGACTTATCTTGTAAGCAGGTTCATATTGACACGTAACTTTTGTGGCAAGCGCAGTGGCTGAATATTCATCGTGCAATTTATTGTTTGACCACATATCGACATCTCAAAATTTGGTCTGTGGCCGGTGTTGAGATTGGTGGCTTCCCAATACTCTCAACATCTTCCATACACAGTATGAAGAAGCGAGGACTTGAAACAAGCAGCTCAACGAACTTTCTTCGACCGTGTGAAGCAATTGGAGTCGCGTATGGTACACTCGCCTTGGTTTCTATTCACGTTATGACTTTTCAACTGGAATAATCACACACAGTTTAATTTCCCACTGTTCCAGCCAACAAACACACTTACGGTATTACACAAGTACTTGGCAGCAGTATTGTGTTCTCAGGATGTCTTCCGGGACGATCAGTTCGTCCCCGATCGGGACTAAAAAAGAGGGTTTGATTAGACCTCGGTTCCACAGGATCGCCCTGCTAGCACTCACTCCTGACGTCGGGGAACGCGGGGAGGAGTTCGCGCTGATTCTGTCAAAGATGTTAAAAGGGTGATGTTCCGTATACCTTCGTCAGCGTTCTGGCGGTTGTGGCACGTCGCTACGGCATCAACATGACCGAGTCCCTTCCTGCCGAGTCCCTTTCCACCGCGCCCGTCTCGCCAAAAGCCGCGCCACTCCCGCCTCTACCTGCATCAGACCCCTTCACGCCGGCGCAATGGAAGACACTACTCGCTATCGCAGATGCATGCGTTCCCGCCATCAAGCCCATATCCCAGGCCAACACACAGACAGAGCTGGCTGTCTCGGATCAAGAGTACGCGGCTGCCGTGGCCAAGTTAAAGGCGCTCACTCCTCAAGATGATCCTGATGCGGGGAACAATGCGAAAGAGTACTTAGCAGTTTCGGCGACGTCAAACCCGGCATTCAAGGAGGAGCTGCACAGGATCTTCGCGTTGTATATGCCTCATGACACAAAGACAAAGATTGGTATGGTGCTGAATATACTGAAGTAGGTGCTTTTCTCGACACAACAGAGGTTCCCTGGGTCTCACTTGCGAACAGTACCCGCGCTGGCTCATACGCGCTCACCGGCTATGTAACGCCCATCAGCGAACAACCAGCACACATATGCGAGTCCATCCTCCGCAGTTGGGCCACTTCACGTCTGGGACCCCTTCGCCAACTGCACGGCCAACTTACCATCCTCACCAAGCAAACCTTCGTCAAGCTCACGCCGTCTCTGCGCCGCATACTCGGCTTCCCACGCGTGTCGATTGGTATGAGGACCGGGAAGGGCTACGATTACGAGTTCATCCAGATTCCGCCAGGCGAGGAGGCCGAAATCATCGAGACAGATGTCGTCATCATCGGCAGCGGCTGTGGCGGTGGTGTATGTGCGAAGAACCTTGCAGAGGCTGGGCAGCGGGTGCTCGTAGTGGAGAAGGCGTACCACTACACTCCAGATCATTTCCCTATGTCAGAGGCTACTGGAATGCACCATCTATTCATGAATGGAGCGTTGATGAGCGCGGACGACGGCTCGATCAGCGTTATAGCCGGACAGGCATTTGGCGGAGGAGGTGTAATCAACTGGAGCGCTTCACTGTTGACTCAGGGCTACGTACGTCGCGAATGGGCGGCGCGAGGGCTGCCGTTCTTTACGTCTGCCGCGTTCCAGGACTCACTCGACCGTGTGTGCGGCCGTATGGGCGTCTCGGCCGACCACATCAAGCAGAACCGCACCAATGAGATACTGATGGAGGGCGCGCGCAAACTCGGATACTCGCACAAGGTCGTCCCCCAGAACACGGGCGGAAGCCAACACCACTGCGGCCACTGCTCGTTTGGCTGCGGCTCGTGCGAAAAGCAAGGCCCATCCGTCTCCTATCTCCCCGATGCGGCGCGAGCAGGCGCAAAGTTTCTCGAAGGTTTCCATGCGGAGAAAATTGTGTTCTCGAACCAGGGCGGCAAGCAAGTCGCTACCGGCGTCAGAGGGACGTGGGTGGCGCGCGACACCAACGGTGGGGTTGCAGGCGAGCCGCTTGCAACCCGGAAGCTCATCATAAGAGCAAAACGCGTCATCGTGTCCGCGGGCACAATGCAGAGCCCCCTGCTTCTCTTGCGGTCCGGGTTGAACAATGCGCAGATCGGGCGAAATCTCCATTTGCACCCAGTCATGTTCCTTGGTGCGATCCACGAGGAGGAAGTCAAGCCCTGGGAAGGCGCAATCCTGACGTCTGTCGTCGGCGAGTACGAAAATCTCGATGGCGCCGGCCACGGCGTGAAGCTTGAAGCAACAAACATGATTCCATCGTCGTGGCTCGTGTGGCTCAACTGGTTGGGGGGTCTGCAGTATAAACTCGAGGCTGCGAGACTAAAACACATGGTAGGCTACATTTCCATTTGTCGCGACCGCGACACAGGACGCGTTTATCCCGACCCCGTGGATGGGCGTGCGCGGGTGCAGTACTCGGTGTCCAAGTTCGATAAGAAGCATATCGTCGAAGGCCTTGTGGCACTCGCGCAGATCCAGTACGTACACAACGCGTCGGAGATCTTCACTGTGGTGCCCGGTATGCCTCCTTTTATCCGTGACCCTGCCAGTCCAGCTGGAGACGGTATCAACGACGCGCGGTTCCAGGCTTGGCTTGAAGAGATCAGGACGAGAGGCTTTCCGGCGCCGGAGAGTATGTTTCTGTCTGCGCACCAGATGGGGACGTGTCGGATGAGTGCACTAGCACGGGATGGTGTCGTTGACCCCAAAGGACGCGTTTGGGGTGTGGAGGGCTTGTTTGTTGCAGATGCCAGTGTATTCCCAAGTGCAAGTGGTGTCAATCCTATGGTCACGAATATGGCGATTGCAGACTACATTTCGAGAGGTATCGCGAAAGGTTTGGAGGGGAGTGCCAGGCTCTAGTCTTGGTATGCAGACACATATACTTGATAATCGGACATGGCTGCTTGTTCTTCGGTTTGCAGCTTACGTCACTGCTGAGTATGAGATTCTGTTGCTGCGGCGAATTTCGCCGGCTCACCTACCTTTACATGTTAAATACTCTAGGGATACGCGTACCTTGCCTTATATGTAGCGTCTATTGTGTCACTTGTTGCGCTTTTGGGCAAAGAACGCAGCTTGCCTCTACGCTTAACCGAACGGATGCCTTACCGTTGTTGCCGGGTCCCGAAAGTCAAGGGTCCAGTTCTTAGCGTATCATTACGTCATATATTCGAGTGGTAATGCACGATGCTCTCCTCCTCACTCGTTCAGAGGTGTCATCTTGCGTGGATCGACAGCGCCAGGTAAAAAGCAGGGTCCGTACATCAATATAGCGAGCCTCACACAGCACACCGTCTCAAGCAGATGTCGGGTGTCTTTGCTTAAGAGCGTGTCGCGCCCGCACTTTCACCTGCCCTGCCCTGAGAGCGAGTGCAAATCTGCGCCCATACAAGACAAACGACAGCTGTAATTCACTGCTCGAGCTCCGAGTCACTGACTGACAAAAGCACTGCCCGTCCTCACTCTCACTCTCACTCTCCACATCAACTTCATCTACTATCCCAGCTCCAACTACCCCTCACACGCGTATTGCGCAACTCACAACATCCACCATGACCAACACGAGCTATGAAGTAGCCGCCGTGCATGAAAATGATGGCACCCGCTTCACCAGCATCCTGCCTCCGCCCATGGGTCTCCTCGACGGCTATGACAACAGACTGCCATGCAGCAAGCAGAAGATCGACGTCCCTGAGGTCTTTCGCCACGCCATGGCCGTCCGCGAAGAGGTCTACGGCCAGCAGGGGATTCCCCTCGAGGCCGAGTTCGACGAAGACGACGCCCGGAGCTGGCACTGGGTCGTCTACGCTTCGGTTAGCACGCCTAAGGGTTCTCCAACCGAGTCGTCCAGGAAAGCGCATGCCAGTGCACCAAAGGATCCCGTCGAGCAGGCCGTGGCCCGCCGTCCCTCTGCCTCGCGCACTCCTGTGGGAACCATCCGCCTGATCCCCCCACCTCATGGCGCGAGCAAGTACCGTCGAGACAGTACGCTAGACGACATGCACACTGACAAGGATCCGCCCAGTGACAGCGGCAACAGTAAGCACCCTAACGAGCCGTACGTCAAGTTAGGTCGTCTCGCTGTGCTGAAAGAGTACCGGGCTATGGGCCTTGGTAAGCTACTCATCAACGCTGCCCTCGATTATGCCACCCAACACCCCGACAACATTTACCTTCCGCCTACGACAACCATCGTGGAGCTGGCAACCCTACATGGCCACAACACCGAACTGCAGTACCTCATGTGGCAAGGTCTTATCATGATCCACGCCCAAGCAGGCCTCCAGCACATGTGGGAGAAGATGGACTTCCACGAGCAGCTCAAGAACGCCCAGGGCGAGGTGGAGATGGAAGCCGAGCCTCACTGGATGGAAGAGGGCATCAAGCACGTGGGGATGTGGAAGAGGCTGAACATTGTGAACGCAAGGTTGTAAAAGAACCATCCAGGACACTCACTCCCCCGCGATTTTTTTATCCTCTCCCCCGGGACCCCCCCCCCTAGGAATTCCTACTTACCTTTTCTTTTGTTAGTACTATCAACCAGCGCTTACTTGCGAGGGCTTTGTCAAATGGCCCCGCGAAATGGGGTACTTCATGATCGGCTGACACCTTTTTTCTCCCGGACTCGGCGAGAGTCCTGTATCTCATTCGCTATTTTTTCACGGCTGAGCTTGTTCTCTCTTTCGGCTTTTTCCTACCACGATGTATACGACGCCACTTCATGATACCCAATTTCTCATTTTCACGCCACGACTGTTTCATTCGCTTCCTTCATAATTGGGTCATGGATCACTGCTTGGCATCGGGTGCGTCTTGGGTCGGCATGGTTTTGCTAATATGGGAGTTTGGGGAAGGCGAGGCGCAAATTCTCGGGATGGTGCTGGCTTAGAATAGATCTAGAGCGTCACATCTTGTTTTTGTTTACATCGCGTCTTTCACTACAAAAGACGCGTCACCTCATATTTTCAGTCGTATGGAGGTGGTATCCTGCACATCAAGCACAAACAATTCAACACAGTTTCATCCAAACCTCTAGCCATATCATGCGATGTCACGCAACATCAACATGATACAATGAGTGAAAGATGTATGCAAGAACTACAAAAAACCACTCCATAGGAGTCTATGTTTAGTGACGACACCACCCCCCATTTCGCCATGCCCCGTGATGCTGAGAAGATAAGATATATACGTGCAAGTCTAAAACGACGATGCTCATCGCCGCGTAGCCTCAATGGCCTTTTCGAGCCCAACGATCCTCAGGCTCTTGCCGCGGCCCAACTTGCCGCTCATCAGGCCAGCTGCAGGGATAAGCGCGTCCTCCCAGTGTCTGAAGATAGCTTTCATGTCGCGGGGCACGCCCTCGAGGACGACATTCGTGAATGGCATGAACGGGCGGTCCTCCTCGGAAACAGCGAGCATGCCGTACTCCTGCGCGAACAAGAGGGCGGTGGAGAAAGCCTGAGCCTGCGAGCGAGATAGAGAACCAACAATACTGCGATGAAATTAGCACCAACCCTCAACGAACGGTAAGGTGCAGAACCAAAACTTACATGTACATTTCGAAGAAGGCGTCAAGAACGTAAACATGCTCTGGCTCCAGATCCCGCTGGCAAAAGGGCATAATCTCCACGACCTTTGTGGTGACGGGGCTTCGCGGGGTCTTGGGCGTCAATGGCGTCTGCGGTCCGAGTTCAGCGTGCGGTCCAGTAGAAGTCGGGGAGAGCGCTGGTCCCCACGAAGGGCGGCGTAACCTCCCGAAGAAGGAGGAGCTCACCTGCAGGCTCGTTTGTCCCCACCCCAGTGTTTCTTGCTGTTGCTCGAGCTTGAAGAGGCGTACGCGGTAGCGGTCGCTGTTCGCCTTGTAGCGCCAGTGGTCGGCGGAGCGGGGGATGACGGGGGCCTTGCCTGCTACCGAGCTGGGAGGGAAGACGTTGAGGAGCGCGGCTGGCTCGGAGCCTTCGTCGACTTCGACAAAGTCGCCGGTGGGCGCGAGATCCATGCCCATGAGTCGTGCGCCCGATAGCTCTTCGGCAGAACATCCGCGGCCCTTCCAGAGGAACACTTTGCCGGTGCTGGTCGAGATGAGGTACGGGAAGGCGGAGCATAGGCTCTTCAGCGAGTAGTCGACTTCATCGAATGCGAGATGACCAAGGTGGCGACGGCCGCACAGCATGAACTCCGTAGACTCTGGCTTCGATCCGCGGCGTGTCATGAGGATCCCACCGAGGGCCTCGAAGAAGTTTGGCGTCTCGTGGCCCTGTCGCACGACGAGGAGCCTGCCTTGCTGGTGTCGAGCGTGGTTCTTCGCAAACGTCTGCGCGTCTTCGAGTGTGGATTCTGCAACACCATTGCCTGCCCAAAGATACACATCTGTATGCCTTGCGCCCTTGGAATCTCCGTATACGTGCGTGCACAGATACATACACTCACGGAACAGAACATGCTCCTCTTGCACGTGCACCGGTGAAAGCCTGCCGTCGACAGTTACCTTCAACATTTCCTTGCGCACGGTGCGGATCTTGCCGCCGGGTCCCAGGTCAAGGGGCGGCGACTTGAGTATGTGCTCTGTATCGATGTTGTCTGCTAGCTGCCCCTCGGTCACTGGAGCGTCGTCGAAAAACTCCGCAAACATGCCGGTCGGCTTCTCAGGCGCAGGTGGTGCTTTAGAAGACTCCGACTGCGGCCTGCCTGCGCTTGGCGGCGGCGACGCGGGGAGGTCCTTGGTCAGTTGCGGGCTAGATTCACGAGACCTCGCTGCCACGAGGCTACCAAGCCCACCCATGAATCCAAGACCAGCCGGTTTGGGCTTGTGTTCTAGAGGTTTAGGGGGCAGGGGCTTTGTTTCGAGTGCTTCTGGTTGAGGTGATCGGATAAGACCAGCGTCCTGCATGGCGGCGCGTTCATCTGCGCGGGTAGGCAGTTTGATCGGGAATTTTCCCTTCGGAGCAGGAGACGGCTGCCTGCCCCACATGGACGAAGCACTCTTTACAGAAATGGTAGATGTCGTGGGCGACGTCTCAGTATCAGACGGCGGCATATCCGTGGGCGCTGTTAGTTTCGGGAGTTCTATGGATGGCTTTGATGGAAGTGTGGGTAGTGGCCGCGAGAATCTCGACGATACTACTGATGGCGATGGAGGCGCTGGCTTTGGCGCTATGGTTGGTTTTGGCTGGAACATTGACAGTGCTGCTGGTGATGGAGACGACGGTTTCATGTTCAGCACCGACGGAGATGATGGCTTCGAGATTATGTTTACCACTGACGAGGGAGACGATGATTGCGAGGACAGTGAAGACCTCTGTGGTGTAAACTGCGCGCCAGAACTCTTCCTATCTGATACCAGTGAGGCCGGCTTTCTCGATATTTCAGGAGACGATAGCTTGGGCGATCCAATCGACTCCGGCCGGGGCGATTGTGGAGGTCCTGAGAGTCCCGACACCCTCCTAGACAGTTCGATCATCGATGGCTTCCTAGGGATTCCCGGTGAAGACATTCGGGGTGACCCAACTAACTCTGGCTGGGGTCCCTGAAGCCCCGATACTCTCCTAGACAATTCTATTGATGACGACCTCTTCGAGATTACAGGCGGTTGTCTGGGTGATTGTGGAGATCCATGCAGTCCAGAAATCCTCCTAGACAGTTCTATAGAAGATGATCTCTTAGAGATTACAGGCGAAGCTCTGGGCGATCCAATAGATTCTGGCCGGGGCGATTGCGAAGACCCCTGGAGCCCAGAAACTCTCCTCGACAAATCCGCCATCGACGGCTTCCTGGGCAGCTCCGGGGTCGATGGCTTTCCGAAATTTCCAGACGCCACGCGTGCTGACTTCGCAGGCGTTGCAGGCCTCTCCGCAAAGGACTGCTTTGTCGCCAATCTCCTTACTGGGAGCTCCTCTAGTGGTCCGTCAGTTTTGGGAGGCTCAGAGCTGGAAAGTACGCGGACAGGCTGGGCCAAAGGGACAGCAGCAGTGGTAGTCACCTTTTCTGGAGCTTTCTCCGCTTCAGCCGCAGCCTCTTTTGCGCGCGGTGCCCTTCTCTTTGGTCCGCGAGCCCGGTCTTTGGTCATGTGCTGCAGTTCTGGGGCAGGTCCCCCTTTCTCGCCCTGTGCGGGTGTGGTGGCAGACTCGGTTGGCGTGCCGTTTGACGGCGACTTGGTGGTGTTCAGGGGCGCTGGGCCTCGAGCCAGCATACTGGCGAGCGCGGGATTGAATCGATCCGCCAGCTTGCTTGCTTTGGCGGGCTCTTTCGCCGCAAAGAGCGGAGCCGGCTGCGGGACGAGATCGGCCATGACAGGTCTGACGCTTGTCCTGAGACTCTTCTTCCTGGCTATCGCTTCAGGTGTGGATTGCTGTTTCTGTGGCGAGGGAGGCCTCGACGTACTGTCTGACCGAGTGAGCTTTTCGCGGATTGCAATCGCTTCGGGTGTCTCAGCTGGCTGGGAGATGCTATCCGACCTCCCGAGAGTTGAGCCGCTCTCCTTGGCTTTCTCCAACATGGCCTCCTTTGTGATGATCAGGCTCTGACGGAACTCGTCGCGACGTACGGTTGGTTTAGGGCCACCAGTCACGTTGAGGGCTTCTTTGCCGCGCAGTATGTTGTCTTTGAGAGGGTCTGGTGCGACGTAGTTTTTCGTCTCGGCCCTCCTCAGCTTGCCAAAGACGTTCTGGAGCTCCGAGCTGTTCTCATTCTTGGGGGTGTCTGTTGTGGGCTGCTGTCGCGACTTTAGACCCGCGCGGAAGTCCTTCTTGGGAGGAGTTGTCGACTTGGGTTTCACTGCCGGTACCAGACGCGGCGAGTCTCGTGCAAAACGGGACGCGACGGGCTTCGAGTTGGTCGGTGTTGATATCTCGTCGGATGATGTTTGCGGTACTTCTGTGGCAAGTGTGAGATGGTCTTTTGACGGCTGATCCTCGCCTACGACGGAGGTGGGTGACAGCACAGACTCGGGTCTTGAGGGTGTCTTTTCTGGCTCTCTGACCTCCTCCTTCTTTCCGATGATAGACGGTTTGGGCGATATCAAGGGATTGGGGGTGGAGAACGGCTCTGATAGCTTTTCGAGCTTCTTGGGCGTCAGATCTTCCAGCTTCTTCGATGGTTGCTCCTCCACCTTCTTGGGCGTCTGCTCCTTGGGCTCCTTGGGGGGGAACTCGAAGTTGCGGGCGCTGGCAGGCCGCAGTTGGAACTCCTTGATAGGAGAAGTTCGACCAGACCCCAGCTCCTTCACGGGCGACGTGCGACCCGAACTCAGCTCCTTCATCGGCGAGATGCGGCCAGATGCAAAGTCCTTGACGGGCGACGAGCGGCCTGAGAGCGACGGGCTGTGGAGGGGACTGCCTCTGCCCAGGTCGACGCTGCTCCGCTGCTGCTTGATGCGGTTGATCTCGGTCATCCATGCTGGCTGGGGCGGCGGCGGGGCCTGTGGCTTCATCTTGGGCGACTCAGGCTTGTTCAGCGCGCTCTCCAGCCAACTCGACTTGTTCGGACTCCAGCGTCGGGAGGGCGTGGGCGGGGCGTCATCCTGGGAGTGGTCGTACTCGCTGAAGTTGGAGGCGACAGACTTGCTGCGGCTGTGGCGGTGGGGGAGGGCAGGCTTGACGAACTCGTCCTTGGGCGTGGCGTCCCTGGTGACGGTGAGGTTGCTCGAGCTGGACGTGGGGCGCGAGGTCGACTCGAGCGAGTTGTCTCTGGTCAGGCTGTTGGGGCGCTCCATCTTGGGGAGGGTGCCGAGGCCGCCCGCGACGCTCCCGCGGCTGCTCAGCGTCGAGTTCTGGCGGTTCAGGACGGGTGGGGTCTGGGTGCTCCAGCGCTTGCTGACGCTGTCGCTGCGCTTGAGCATGGCGCTCTGGACGAAGCCGCCCATGCCCTTGGTCGGCGAGGCGGGGCGGCCGGGCGTCGTGGGGCGCTCGCGCTCGGGGGAGATGCGGCCCTGGGTCGGCGACATGGCGAGGGCGCGTGACGAGCCTGCCCCGTCGCCGCCGTCTGTCGCATCGGCGGCCGTCGTGGGCGGGGCAAACTTCTGCGAGTCCAGCGTGGGCATGGGCGAGCGTGTCGGGGCGGGCCCATCGGCGTCGCCGCCCGAGAGCGACGTGTTGGAGGAGAAGCGGTTGCTGAGGACGGCGCTGTTGCGGCCCGAGTTGGCGCGTGAGGACGGCGACGGCGAGCGCGTGTCCAGCGACTGGGCCACAGACGCGCGCGAGGGGCTGCGTTCTGGGGAAGGTGGCTCCGACGTGTCGCGTGACGAGGCGGCCATGGAGAGAGGCCGACGCCCACTGCCAGACTGCGGGCGCTGCTTCCACGAGAGAGTGCCCGAGCGGCCCAGGGCGGCGGCGCTGGTGGCGGGCTTCTTTGCTTCTGCGTCGTCGTGCATGGCGTCGAGCGGGGGCGGGCTCATGGCCGGCGTGGGCGTGCTGGCGGCCTTGTCCTGGACGGTGCGAGGGCTGGCGGCGGCGCTCACCGACTGTGGTGTCGCGGGCTTGTCTGGGGAGATGGAGCGCGCGCGTTCTGGAAAAACACATCAGCCGGCGCTCTCGACACTTCGACACGCCCACGTGCTGGGCAACTCGGACGCTGGACGCTGCACTCACCGGCTCTCCGCGCCATCCTCTCGCTCTTGCCCTTGATCAGCTCCTCCTCCAGTCTCCTGACCCGGTCGAGGTCCTGCTGGTCGCGCTGGGCCCCGAGCTGCCGGATGTGCTGCACAAACTCGGACGGGTCGAGGTCCTTGTCCTCGGCCATGCTGCCCGTCTTCTCTTCTTCGGCCATGCTGGCTGCCCGTCTGTTGGGGGATACGAGGGGGGAGCTTCGCCGCGGCGGTGAATGGCGTGTCTGCAGTGCCTCGTCGTCACTCGCTCATGCTTCGGCGCTGGAGAGCCGTCGTGCACACGAGATTCAGGCTGCAGAGGGATTGCAAGAGGGACCAGCAATCAGCACACTTCAATTGACGTTTGTTTATCAAGGCAGCTCCTGCTGGGAGTTGGGCCGCTTGTCAAACTCCGCTGCACTAGCTCCTCCACCGCGCCCACCGCTCCACCGCCTGCCGTCCCATGCCCATCCATACACCCCATCCCTCAATACAAGAAGAGACGTGCTTTGGCGTCCTGCACCACCCATTGCAGCCCCTCGTGCAGATTCACCCCCGTCATCGCACTGCACGCCATGATGGTCCATTTGTGCGTCTTGATCGCGTCGAGCCTGAGTCCCTGTGCACGTCAATACCCGTCTGACGTCCATGGCACCTGTCACATACCTCGCGAACCTCGTCCTCGCTCATGGCCCCGGGAACATCGCTCTTGTTCTTGAACACGAGCAGACTTGCCCCCATGAGACGCTGCAGGTGTCAGTACACAGTCGCGTCCATCATCCCAGCACACACACCTCTTCCAGCAATAGCCCCTCCAACTCGTGACGGCAGTCGTCAATCCGCTCGCCGTCCGTCGCGTCGACGACCCAGATGAGCGTGTCCGTCTTCTCAAAGTAGTTCTTCCAGTAGGTCCGCAACGTCTTCTGCCCGCCGACGTCCCCTGCCTTGTTAGCTGGGAGGCAGTTGCGTGACATGGGCACATGTCGTACATATGTTCAGTTTATATCTTCCGCCGTCAGTCTCTCTCCACTACAAGGGCTGCTCTACGCACCCATCATACTCGATCGTCTTGATGATGAATCCGAGCGTCGGGCTAACACTGTTCACGTCCTCGTTCATAATCTTCTTCACGATGGTCGTCTTTCCTGCATTGTCCAGACCCCTCACCTAGTCAGTCTCGAGTTGCAAACTGGGATAGAAACACCCACAACATCAATATCCGCATCTCCTTGTCCTTCAGACGCGCTTTTCGTAGTATCGAGAGCATTTTGAAATGTTCGTGTTTGCAGATAGATTCAAAGTTTGGTTCGCTGTGGAGCTCCGCACTTCCGCTAGTCTCGCCCAGAGCGGAAATATAACATGCATCGACATGTCTCACTTTCAAGCATGCTGCTGAATTGCTGCTTGTATTTGATGACGAGCATTTGAACAATTACAAAGCCGGTAGTTACTCCTTTGCATGGACCAAGCTGCTCAAAAATATGGATAGCGAATCTCATCACTGCCTGGTAATCAATGCTGGAACGAACCTGTCTTGTGACTGATGAAAAGTGGTAAAGGTGAGACAATAGTCGCAAGTTCTCTCACCGCAAAACTAGGCAGAATTTTAAGCTCTGCCACTACTCGAAGCTCTCATCACGCTCCTTCCTGGCTCATTGCGCCTTCCTTAGACGCTGCAGAATCTCCAACTACACCCACAATACTGTTCCACCGACCAAGGACGCCTTAGCCGACACACCAACAATGGCAACGAACAATCTAACTTGGCAACAGCAGCAAGTGTTTGGAGCTGGTGCAGTAAGTGAAAGGCGTACATCAACTCGACACCGCCAAGTTGTCCATCAAACCTTCACCATTCATGCTGCCACTCTGACACTCCACCACCACTTACCGCACCACAACTGATACGAAAATAGCAGCCAAACAGTCGTAGCCGTAAAGGAAAGTGGGAGCCTTTCAACCCTCACGCCGCCGAGTCACCAGGAGACAACACCGACGACTGGTCTGCGCAACACGCCGAGTTCTCATCAGCTCATAAAGCACCTCGCAAGCCACGTGGCAAGGCACCTCTCTCAAACTCACTTCACCGCACCAACTCACCTACAACTCCCGTGTCGTCACCTTGTCATCCAGAGCTTCAGAAGGGTCCGCAGAGAAGGCCCAGACGCAAGAACAAGCGCGATTCCAAGGTCGACAAGAACAAAGACGGCAAGATGATTCAGGTTCCTAAGAGTGCATACGTGCCCCCTCATGTGCGCAAGCGCCTCGCCGCCAATCCTCAAGAAATCACCAAGACAGATGCATCGACGGATATCAAGACAGATGCAACGGCAGATGTCACGACAAACGCAACGACAGAGATCAAGACAGACATCCAGACAAACATCCAAGCAGACGTAAAAATAGACGCAAAGCCTGAGGCTCCCATCTTGAACAAGTTGCTCGCAGTCTCCGATGACTCCAAAACTGAACATCATGTTGAGTCACACTCGTCTCCGTGAGTAACACCAGGGTGCACAGTTCATATCACATTTGCTTACACTGCGCAGAAACGGCGTTGCTCTCGTGGATCTGTCACCACCCTCGCCACCAACCACCGTCCCAGAGGAGTCCAAGACGATCGAGACCGACGCGTGGGCTGGGTGGAACGAACCGATACCAGATCCGCCGTCTGCTCCACCGAGGCGCGAGAACCCGAACTGGCCGCGTGGGCCCAAGGCAGCGCCGAGGAAGAATGTCTGGCCAAAGCAGCGCGACATGAAGCCTCTTCCCAGTGAGAGTGAGAGTGACGGCGGAGTCGACTTCCGCTCCAACAGCAACGGAGACCCTGACTACGACGTCAAGAAGCTACAGGACTGGAACGGCGACTGGCTGCCTCCACCAGAGCAGTGGTCCGCCCGTAGAGGTTTCATCAACAGACACTTTGGCCAGGTCATCGAAGAATGGATGAACACACACAGCGAAGAATGTATCCAAACCATGAATATCGAATCGGGCGCATTCAGTGGTGAGGATGCTGGAGACAAGGGCATGACAATCCCCAAAGATCTGGTGCCGCGATACTGGATGCCGAGTACCATCGACGGTGAACCCTTGCGCAAGTTCTGGGAGAAATTGAGACATTGTGCACCAGCTGCGTTGGGAGACGATGACCTTACAGATACTCTCCCTTTTTGGGACATGTACGAGAATGAGGGGAGCTGCTTCATAGACGGTCTGGTGGTGCCAGATGCGAGAGTTGATGCTACAGACCCTGACAACCACACGAGAGGGCAATTTACAGGAGAGTCGATCACGGTTTATATGGAGAAAGTTGCAGATAGAAACCACGCCAAACACCTCAACTTGTTGAAGAAGCAAAATCGTCCTGTCCGGGAGCCGAAAGTCCCGATACCGCAGCCCGAAGACCGACGACTGAAGCCAACAGGCAATATCTATCTGCGTCCTGTGCAGCCCGCCGACGTGCATGGGATTACAGTAAGCATTCTCATTTTGTCAGATTATTGCCAGACTGACTGGGTACAGGATATCTACAATCACTACGTCGAAAACTCCATCCACGCCACCGAATTTGACGCGCGCACCGAGCAGCATATTCGCGATCGTGTCGATACCATCGTCCAGGCAGGTTTGCCTTTCCTGGTAGCAATCGCCAAAGGCAACAAGCCCAAGGGACCGCGAGGTTACGTTAGCGAGAAGATCATCGGCTACATCAACCTCGATGACTACTGCGATCGGTCCAGCCTATATCGCTTCTGTTTCGAGCTGGAGATGTATGTGCATCCAGGCTACACGTGCCAGGGGGTCGCCCGATGTCTTCTCGACCGACTCCTCGAGATGGTCAATACGGGATATAATGCGCGGGGTGGGTACGAGTATATCAACGACTATGACTATCTCAAGACTGGGCCCAGTCGGGTTGTCAAAACGATACTCATCAACATCCTCCATGCTCGCAAAGAACTGCCGCCGTGGGCCAAGGTCCTAGAAATGTTCAAGTTTGTGCGCTGCGGTCATATTTCGCAGGCCGGCTTCAAGCACGACCAGGTCGTGGACCTCTCTATCTTTCAGCACCACACGACCGAGCATATTGATCCCAAGGGGGTGCCCGCTGGTTGATCTCTCTCGCTGATACATGGCTGATCGAATGCTTGACGGAGAGTGGTCATTTCACGTCAACCAAAAGTCCTTTCTTTATCTGCTAGTTGCGATGCGAGTTGCTTTTTGTTTTGACATGACAACAACACGACGTCTGGCGTATGGGCACGGCTGGGAACTGCATACACAGCGTTGGCGTTGACATATCTCTAGTACACATGCTCAGTCACAATGCACAGAATGAATAGTAACTCAAGTAGAATGGAAATGCATTTTCACATAACTCTCTTACGATAACATCCCTTCAACACACCCTCACTTCTTCTCCTCATCTCCATCAAACCCCCACCGCCCTGTCTGATCCAGCCCCAACGGATTCTCCCCCGTCTGCTCCTTGCCCGCAATCTTCTCCGGCTTCTCATAGCTATCCTTGTTATTACCGCCCAGCACCTCCATCTTCTGGTCCTCGCCACCCAGCATCGGGCCCAGCGCGCCTCGTGTGCTGCCGCCGACTGCGTTGCCGAGCGGGCCCGTGACGCCTTTCTCCAGCGGCGCGCCGATGGGGCGCAGAGCTGTGCCTAGAACCTTTCCTGCGAGGTGTGTTAGACTTGTCATGCAAAAAGGCGGGGAGGGAAGGGGGGGACGAACCGATTGGATCACCGACTTTGGACAAGAGGCCGCCTGTCCCTTGGTCTGCTTCTTCTTCTTGCTTTGGCTCCGTGGGGATGTGCTGGTGCTCTTCCGACTGCGGCTTCGCCTGTGTGTCCTTTGTGTCTGCCATTTTGGACGTGATGTGTGTATGTGTGTTGCGGACGGGAATGTGTAGAGGGTCTTGGTTCGATGTGTATGGATGTCAGGTGTTGAAAGACGTTGGAACTAGTACCAGGCCCCCGTTTTATGTAGGCTCCGCCCGAGTGCAGGTTTCGGGCGCGAGAGTGACGTCAGGCGGGAACGCGTGGGTTGGGTGACATGTGGGTGGGTGTGGAGCTTTTAGCTTTAGCTTGTTTTGGGCGCGCGTGTGTGTGTGGGTTGCAGGGATGTCAGTCGAACGGGTATCATCGTCTTGAGAATGTATTGCATCCTGGGGTATCACAAAACTAGAACATCTCGTCCAAACCGCTCTCGTCGAAACAGCTCTCGCCTCGTCCGTCTGGCACGCCTTTCCCGCGAAACGTGTCTTCGAAGGCTATGCTCTCCTCCACGTCTTCTCTTTCGATGTCTTGACTACCTCTGAATCGCGGCACTGGGGTCCTCCCCGTTAGAATCTCGTACAAGCTATCGTCAGATTGCTCGGCTTCGTCTTCTCTCTCGAAGCGCAGAATCTGGTCCTTGCCGTCTGGCCAGACGAGCACGTAGCCCTGCTGGTGCGCGAGCGCGAAGACGGGCTTCTTGTCAGCAGGCGTGGAGAGCCATGTGGTGCTCCATTTCGCGGGGAGGGAGCTGGCAGGCTTGCTGATGTGGGACGAGAGGGCGAGTATAGCGGGGGGTTCGTGCGAGGGGTTTTCTGCCGTGCAAAGGTACACCGTTGGTGAGTCGTGGGCTGTCTGGATGAGCAGGTGGGAATTGTGCCACTGCAGCGATTTGATCGGGGCATGCTGGATGAGGATCGTGCGTGGGCGCAGACTCCGCAGGTCCCATATCCATACTGTTGTGGGTGTGGAGTCGTCCCGTGTCGCGTAAAGTGTGCCATCGCCGTTGAAGGCGAGAACGCTGATGCCCTGCTTCATCACCCCTGTCTCGCTCTTCTCCGCTGGTGCTTTGGGTGGTGTGGCCGGCTGGGTGGTGAGGAAGTAACTCCTATTCCCCTGCGCGTCGACGGTCTCTGTGAATACGGGCGCAGTGGGGACGTGGATGCTCGCCGTGTGATCGAGGAAGACGACCGGCGTGAATGTCCTCGTCGACAGAATCCTGACCCTTCGATCCCAGCCGCCGACTGCGAGCCACTCGTTCCCCGGGACCCACTCGACGCTCTTGATGCCCAGACCCTCGACGCCCCACTCGTTGACCTGTTCTGACGGCTCGCGCGAGAGAGTTCGGTATAGATGGCCGTCTGCGGTGTATATGCAGAGAGTGTGGCCTGCAGAGGGCGCATCCCAGATGGCAAGCCAGCGGCCGTCGCGACTCCATTTCAAGCCTGCCGCATCGACTGTTGGCAGCTCAGTGCGGCGCAGGAGGGTGTGTGTGCGTGGCGCCAGGAGGAGCAGTATGTCCTGCCCCGAGCTCCTGCACAGCATGGCCAGCACTCCGCCCCCTCGCGCGCTATCCGACGGCCGGAACCCCCACCCTCTCCCATCACGTCCGGCAAACTTGGGGTCTCTAACCTCAACTGCTCTGCCTGTGCGCAGACACCACACCTTCACACACGCCGCGAAGTCGCTCCACACCAGCACCTCGTCCTCGCCTGCGCCAAACTCGACGTGCACATTCTTGCCCATGCCGCCCGAGCCATTGCTGATGACGGCACTCCACTTGTCGTCGCGCAAGTCGTAGACGCGCGTGGTGTTTTCGTCAAACACAAGGACACGGTTCGAGGCGGGCGGTTGTGGGCGGCTCGATCGAGGGGTGGACGGCGCAGAGGGCAGCGGCGGTGACCATGCGATGCACGCCTTCTTGCAGTCAAAGTCGGACGGGAGCGCGGCACTCCGCACGACCTCGAACGTCGAGAGACATCGGATCTGCAGGCGGGTGCTGGAGAGACAGGCAACGTGCGCGGCGTTCGGCGACGGGACCGACAGGGACGTTGCTGGTGGGAGTTAGCTTGTGCGGGGACAAAATGGCGATCCACTTGCTTTTGAACTGCGGCGATATATCTGCGTTATCCATGTTCGTGTTGGGGTGATGTGCGTGTTGACGACGGTAAACAGACGGTCGGTGTTGAGGGAACTGGGCCAATCAGAAGCCAGCATGTCCGCACTGTGAATGTTGATACGGATACACTACATGATCCTTAAACCAACAACCACAACCGTAGAAGCAACGAGGGTATCGGCATGCACCTCCAATCTTGCAGCACAGCTACGTAAATGGGAGTAAAAAAAGACATCACACGCTCGCTCCAGCTTCAGAACCAACTACATCGTTATATAACTGTCACCACTCACGTGCTGTACACGGGCGCCTTGATCAAAATACTCTTCCCGCGAATCTGCACCGCCACGCCAACAGCCATGCGCACGCGCGGTGGCAGCTCGTCTTTGGGCCCGGCCGCGCTAGGTGGAGGCTGCGAGAGACTCAGCTGGCTGCCGCCCTGTCCAAGGGTGCTCTCGCGCTTCGACGTCTGCGTGGGCTTCTTGCCGAAACCAAACATGCCGCGCTTCTTGTCTTCTTTGGGCAGCTGCTCCTGCTCGGCGAGCGAGGCTGCATCCTCGGCTTTGGACGCGACACTCCGTACAGACGCCCGGTCGGCCTCCTCTGCGTCTGCAATTGGGCTGGTCAGCGCGGGGATGCCAGATTCCATCTTCATGAAGTCTGACACTATGCCGTGACCTGGTGGGAAGTACTCGATATGTACTTCCCGGCTCTCCAACGGCAGATGCTGCGCGATGCTGATGGCCAGCTCGACAATCATGGGCACCCCGCCGTTCAAGTCCGGCGGCGCAGGATCATTCAGATACATCTGCAGCGAGGCGATAAGCTTCTCATTCAATGTATGCGTCAGCGTTTGTCGGTTCACTTCGGCCTGTGGCGCCCGGAGATGATCCGCCAGCCCTTCGAGCGTCGCCAGCCGCCAGTTGATGAGCTTTGCCGCGAGCGAGTCCTCGTCTTCGGCCGAGTGGGAGACGGGCGCAAAGCGGCGGATGTTGGTCTGGATTGCCTGCAACTGCGTCGAAAGGCCTGGGTCCAGGTCGGGGTGGAAGTACTTTTCGAAAATGTTTTCCACCAGCCAGTGGGACATGAAGGCGCGCCCCACAGCCGTCATCTCCTGCTTACCCGTCTCCACCGCCGACTTGTTGACGACGACGTGCAGCCATGGCGGAATCGAGCGCCAATCCTTGCGGATGGAAAAGGACAGCTGCGCAATCAGGCCGTCAAGTCTGTTGAAGCGCGTCGTGTACTCGCTATCGTCCCACGACGTACGGGACAGCGACATGCGTTGGTTGGCGAGCGTATTCTGCAGCTGGTGCACCTGCGTCTGTTGCTCGAAAAAGTAGCGCTTGACCTTTTGATATTTCTCGCCTGTCGCAGCGTCAGTCAGAGCTCATAGAGCCATCGCGGTAGCACTCACGCAGCACCTCGTGCTCTTTGATCATCTTCTCCAGGCTCTCGTCCGTCATGTCGCTTGCGGAGCGTGGCGGCGGCGTGGCCCTGCTTATCTCGCCTTGCGACTGCTTGTCACCTCTGTACGGCTGGCCCTGCGAGGCTGACGGCACGACGTTAGCGCCAAACGATGCGATGCCCGGCGACACGGGTGGCTGAGCGGAGGTCTGACCTGGCTGTTGGAGGAGTGATGGCTCGCGCGTGGGCGGTCCTGGCTGCTGCTGGCCGTCGGCGACCTTGCGCATGCTGCTCTTGACGCTGTTCTGGCTGCTGGGCGCCATGTTGTCCTGCGGCGGGGTTGTATTTTGCGTGTGTGACTCGTCGTGGGCTTGCTGGAGGGGCGACGGCGGGGCGTGCTGCTGCTGCGACGAGGGCGGCCTGAGCGAGTCGGGCTGGATGAGGTGGGGGAGCTGGCGCGTCGGGGACTGCTGCTGCTGTTGCTGCTGCTGTGGCTGTGTGCTCTGCGGAGATTGTTGTTGATTCGACTGCTGCTGCGGATGCGATGTGTTCTGCTGATACTGGTAGTACTGCTGCGGCTGCGGGGTCGTGTCGTGGGTGTGTAGCTGAGCGTGCACAGAGAGGGGGCTCGGCGTGTTCTGCGGGTTAAAGGCCGTGTACTCTTTCGTGCTCGAGTGCTGGGATGTTGGCTGGTAGTTCTGGTAGGGCTGTTGTTGTGGTTGCGGTGGCTGCTGATGTACCCCGCTGACGCCCTCAGGTGGGGACCGAGCGTACTCCTGGTGCGTGCCTGGCTGGAAGTGCTGCTGGTAGGGAACGTCCTTGGGTGGGACTTGTGGTGAGCGGCCTTCTTGCTGCAGAAACGGGTCGAGGTTGGACTCGTCCTCCTCGGTGGACGGGGGCAGATGCGGGCTCGAGCCTGTCCGCTGCTGCGGCTGTTGCTGTTGCTGCTGCGGCTGCTGCTGCCACTGCGAGGCTTGCAGACGACTGGCGTCCTGAGCGGAGTACTCGGGGCCCGTCTTCCTGACCGACTGCTTGCGCCCGAGCGGGTTCCTGGTGGCCTGCTTCGTCGCGTCGTCGTCCCTGTGTCCCGTGAACCCGGCGGCGATGCGGCTGCGGAACGAAGCTTTCTTGGGCTCCTGGACGTAGCCGGGCGTGGGCGCGGTCTGGTACGGCTGGTCGGCGATTGGCGATGTCTGCGGAGCGCCCGTCTGTTGCTGCTGCTGATATGTCTGCTCTAACGGCAGGTGGTGCGCGCTCTGGCGGTGGGCTGTGTTGGTGCTGGTGGTGCGCTGGGGCGATTGTCCGTACTGGTCTGGCGTCTGGAAGCGCTGCTCGCTGTTGGCGATGCTGTTGGTGAGGCTGTTCCCGTTGGTACTGCTGTTGCTGTTATCACCACTGCTAAGCACTGCAACCTGTCAGCCCGCTGAAAGCCCTCCAATCTTGGGTATTACCAGACGGCAACGGCAACGGCTGTCCTGGCGACGCGGCGACCGAGATCTGCGATTTATTGCTCTTGTGCCACGGCAGTTTGGGAGCCATCGCAGTGAGCTGTGGGAAGGCTGCAGGTGATGGCGGGGCGGAGCAATCGATGCCTCTAAGAATAACAAGTCGATCAGCGCCCGGCTATGCACCACGCTCGATCGCTACAGGCGCCTCGGGCTGGAGAGTAAGACGCCATTGCGCTACATGCACACTTCGAGCAGCCTTCTCCTTCAGCTGCCGCTGAACCGTCCCTGGGGGTGCTTCGTTCTGAGCTGAGCTCATGCGCGTCGAGCTATTTTAGGACCCGCGCCGCGCCCACATCTCCACACTCGTTCGCCCAACTTCAACTCTTCAATCGATGAGAAACGCAATTCACTTGAGACTTCCCAGAGGGATATTATTCCACTATCTGGTTTCCAGTATGTTAGACTCGCTCATCCCAGCAACCTCGAGCCACCCGCATTTATATACGCCATTTACGGACGGTCTCGGGACAGTACGATTGAAAAGTACGGTTGGAGATCGGATGGAATACTAGATGTAGATTAGTCGTTTTTTCCGCCAACAACAGTTTTAATTAGAACGTTTAGTACTACTTAACCTATACAAATCGTTTACTACTTAACTGTTTAAGTTATCCTAATTATCGCAAATTTGTGTTATTGTTGTTGTTATTCTCTTACTAAAATGTTGAAATCGTTGCCTATTGTTATCCCCAGCAGTCCCGTTAATCTACCTAATCTTAAGCTTAATAAGCTGCCTACGCGCGCCCTACACAGCTTGTTTAGTGTTGTTTTAGAAAGTGCGTTAACTAAATAATTTGTTCCACTGCTGACTTATTAATACTACTATATAGCTAAAATATTTATGCTATCTATTATTAAATTATTTATAGTTAGGCTGTTTTAGCAAAAGATTAATATTCTTTTTGCAGGTTAGAAGTTTAAATCTAGGTAGGAGCAATTTATTAATTTTTGTTAAATCTTGCAAGTTAACGTTAAAATTATAGCGTTAAGTTAATTTTTATAGGAATAAAGGAAGATTTAGTAGTAAAAGTCTATACAAACAATTCCTATTACGTAGATTCTTAAGATTACGTGGATGTTGCGCTAGTACTTAAAATAGAAGCCTATCCGAACCGTACTTTCAAGTCGTACTGTCCCGAGACAATCCGCGCCATTTATACTATCGACTCCCGATCAGGTTTATCAAATTGAAGACACTAATTCAGTTAATACCAGCCGTCTTTTCACTGCTTCGTAACGCGTAATCTAGGACACTCTCATGTAAATACACCTTGCTGATTCTGGATCACAAACGCGCGTTTAGACGGCAGATACACCTTTCAACTTCGTAGCATCTGTCCACTGAAAGTTATACCTGGTCGTTTCCCCCGCATTTTGAAATCATGCTCGTTTCATTATTTCTGCTTCTTCCACATTACTATTCTTTTCGTGATGCTGGTTCCAAATCCTTTCAAGGCATGTACAGAATGAACACAAACTTAGTACACGCCTATTGTCGTGAATATCAAAAGAGTTAGCCAGAGGGCATTCATATTGTATGATTGTACACATGCGTTTACAACTTATATGGGTAAGGCTCCAAGTATCTAATACTCCTCAAAAGTACTATCGAGCAGTCAGATAATTGTTTGAAGATGTTCAGGCTACGCTACTTGAATACTTGTTTGGCACATTGGTGGGAGTATCAAAGTGTTGATTTTCCCACTACCTAGATCTGTTGATAAAAATTTGTAATTCGGCTGAGCTTTGTAAATAAATACAAGGAAGTGATTATTATCAAACTCGCGCTGGGGGAGCGAGAAGATACATCCTGGAGAAGGCATGTGTTAGGCTGAACCCAGTGCGGCAGGGCTTCATCGTGCAAAGGTGACTTCGACTCATCACCCTGCAACCCCAGTCTCAAGCCAGGTTAACATGCTAAAAGATTCGGACCGGTGTAAGGCTGTTCAAGGCACTTGTCGTGACAGCGCATCTGAGGAATAGTGATGTGGTGACAGATGCAAGGTGGGCTGACGGGCATGACGTAGTGGGGCTCCACCGGAAACCTGGCGTAACCACGAGAAGCTTCGATGGAGAAACGGATACCACGACCAATCTCGAGAAGGCTCGCGACGCTACTGGCTACTTCCTGGTTTTTCTCGAGCAGCTACCCTTGGGACATATAAGATTCTCAAGTCTGCTGTATCACCGTTTCTTTGCTAATCAGAGATACCCCACACACCCAACACGAACCCACGCACGACTCTACTCGAAACCAACAAAGGCTATCACGACTATATACTTGGCTTCACGCCAACTTATACAGATACGAGGCAACAGTCCACACCGCAATGACTTCGTTCGACGCCTACACAGATCGCGCGGCCAAGGCCCTGGCCGACAGCTTCCAGTTGGCCAAGGACTATGCACACTCACAACTCGCACCCACACATCTTGCGGTCTCGCTGATAGATCCACCAAAAGACCTCGCGAACCAAGTCGACATCCCACCACCGCCGCTATTCAAGCAGGTCATTGAACGAGCCAATGGCGATGCCCAACTCTTTGAACGAGCTCTCAAGAAGGCTCTGGTACGATTACCTAGCCAAGATCCGCCGCCAGAGCGAACATCGCCCTCACCTCAGATGGCCAAGGTGCTTCGCGCCGCCGAAGACCTGAGCCGAACGCAAAAGGACAGCTTCATTGCTGTCGATCACCTCATCCAGTCACTATGCCAGGACGCGGCGATACAACGATGCCTCGCCGATGCGAACATCCCAAACGCAAAGCAGGTTGACAGCGCTATACAAGCACTTCGAGGAACCAAGCGCGTCGACTCGAAGACGGCAGACGCGGAGCAGGACAATGAGAATTTGAAAAAGTTCACCATCGACATGACGGCAATGGCACGAGAAGGCAAGATCGACCCTGTCATTGGTCGTGAAGAAGAAACTCGACGAGTTATTCGCGTCCTCACCAGGCGTACTAAGAACAACCCTGTTCTCATTGGAGAGCCTGGTGTTGGTAAGACTACGGTCGTTGAAGGTCTTGCCCGCCGCATTGTCGACGCAGACGTACCTGCCAACCTTGCAGCCTGCAAACTGCTTTCCCTGGACGTTGGTTCCTTGGTCGCTGGCAGCAAGTACCGCGGAGAGTTCGAAGAGCGTATGAAGGGTGTTTTGAAGGAGATTGAGGAGTCCAAAGAGATGATAGTTTTGTTCGTGGACGAAATCCATCTCCTGATGGGCGCTGGCTCTTCTGGAGAGGGCGGCATGGACGCCGCCAATCTTCTGAAGCCCATGTTGGCTCGTGGACAGCTTCACTGTATCGGTGCTACCACCCTTGCCGAGTACAGGAAGTACATTGAGAAAGATGCGGCTTTCGAACGACGTTTCCAGCAAGTCTTGGTCAAGGAGCCAACCATTCCCGAGACCATCTCGATTCTTCGAGGCCTCAAGGAGAAATACGAGACGCATCACGGTGTCACCATCATGGACGGTGCTATCGTCGCTGCTGCTACTCTAGCTGCTCGGTACCTGACCCAGCGACGTCTGCCTGATTCAGCAGTCGACTTAATCGACGAAGCGGCAGCAGCAGTACGCGTTACCCGAGAATCGCAACCTGAGGCACTCGACAACCTCGAACGTCGTCACCAGCAATTACAAATCGAGATTCACGCTCTCGCCCGCGAAAAGGACGAGCCTTCACAAGTTCGTCTCAAGGATGCACGAGCTGAAGCTGCCAATATCGAAGAGGAGTTGAAGCCCCTCCGCGAAATGTATGAGCGCGAGAAGGGACGCAGCAAGGAGATTCAAGAGCAGAAGCTGAAGCTTGAGAGTCTCAACAACAAGCTCGCTGAAGCCGAGCGTATGCGCGACCTTGCGGGCGCTTCCGACCTGAAGTACTATGCCATCCCGGATGTCAAAGACCGTATTACTCAACTCGAGACCGAGAAAGCTAAGGCAGATGCAGAGATGTGGTCTCACCAGGCAAGTGGTGGTGGTGAAGCGCTTCTCAGTGACTCTGTCGGACCGGATCAGATCAACGAGATCGTTGCACGCTGGACTGGTATTCCTGTTACGCGCCTCAAAACAACGGAGAAGGACAAGCTTCTCAACATGGAGCGTCGTCTCGGGCAGATCGTCGTTGGCCAGAAAGAGGCTGTCCAGTCCGTTTCCAACGCCATTCGTCTCCAGCGTTCTGGTCTTGCCAACCCGAACCAACCGCCCAGTTTCCTCTTCTGCGGTCCCTCCGGTACGGGTAAGACACTGCTCACTAAAGCTCTCGCCGAGTTCCTCTTTGACGACCCCAAATCAATGATCCGTTTCGACATGTCCGAATACCAAGAACGTCACTCACTCAGCAGAATGATTGGTTCGCCCCCAGGTTACGTAGGCCACGACGCAGGCGGCCAGCTTACTGAAGCCCTTCGCCGAAAACCCTTCTCAATCCTGCTCTTCGACGAATGTGAAAAGGCAGCGAAGGAAGTCCTGACCGTACTCCTACAGCTCATGGACGATGGCCGTATCACCGACGGACAAGGCAGAGTCGTCGACGCAAAGAACTGCATCGTCGTCCTGACGTCCAACTTGGGTGCTGAGCATCTCTCTCGCCCCAACGCACCGGACGGTAAGATCGATGCTACAACGAGGGAGCTAGTCATGAACGCATTGAGGAACTACTTCCTCCCCGAGTTCCTCAACCGTATCTCCTCAACTGTCATCTTCAACCGTCTCACCAAGCGCGAAATCCGCAAGATCGTCGACGTCCGCCTGCAGGAAATTCAGAAACGTCTGTCGTCCAACGGTCGCAATGTGCGCATCGACATGACACCCCAAGTCCGCGACTACCTTGGCTCGGCGGGATACTCGCCCGCGTACGGTGCGCGACCACTGTCTCGTCTCATCGAAAAAGAGGTTCTCAACCGCCTCGCCGTGCTCATCCTGCGCGGTGCCATCAAGGACGGAGAGGCGGCAAGAGTGGTTCTCGAAGATGGACACATCCAGGTCCTGCCCAATCACACGGACAGTGACGACGATTCGGAGATGTACGACGAGTCTGATGCGGTTGCGGAGCTGGAGGATGACGATGCGGGTATGGATCTTTACGATTAAGCATGGGCAAGGATTTTCAAGTCTTCTTTTTTTTGGCATAAGAGCCTTGGAGTTTTGGGGGGAATATGGGATTGGATGTTGGGTGCAGCGTTTTTGAGACTATGATATATGATTGACGAATAGATATGACAAAAGCGATGGCGCATCACTTGGTCTAGGTCAGTGTGTGGTGGTTGTTTGATTTTTACATAAATAGTAAATGAGAACTCGACAAAGTATTTCAAAGAACCTTTGGAAATTTGGATATTCGTGATTTGTTTAACTTCACATCAAGTCATAAAATGCAAAAGGAGAACGGGATGGCGAAAGTTGACGTTCTGGTGCAAAACAATTTGGAAGTGCTCGACGAGATGACCACAAGCTGATTCCGCATTGTCACTCAGAGGGAAAAGCTCACATAGCCAAATGCGTCATAACTTTTTGTCATTTCTTCATCTATCGTCGCCCTGATGGACTACCTAGTCAAACATTTACATGCTTGCCTAAGCCCGGGTATATGCATCCCTTTCCCACCATATCATACGAGAACCTAGTAGAAGAAACCGAGGACCTTGCCGGCAACGTGCTTCCTCCTGGCCTCCTCGTGGTCCATGATACCAGCCGAGGTGGTGAGGACAATGTAACCGAATTGACGCGAGGGAAGGAGCTTGACGACCCACTTCTCGAGGTCACGGAGCTGGACGTTGTAGCGGGGAGAGATGACACCGGTCTTGTTGATGCGGCCGTTGAGCTGGATGACAATCTTGCCGTTGCGGTGGTCGTCGACCTCCTCGAACTCGCCAATGTAACCTGGGAAGAGATTAGTATGTTGAGAAGAATTAAACATCAGACATCATGAACAGGTTCCGAAGATGTGTAAGTCCTTCGCTAGATTCAATATATCGGACACTTAAAGGTCAATGGTCGTGGAAGAAACGAGACCATTAACTAGTTATCAGCCCGAAGAAGGGAGGGGACATGAACCTATCATGTGTCTGTGATGAAAACTTCGACGTACCGTGACGCTGCATGACGGTCAGGAACTTGACGATGACCTTGGAGGACGGGCGGATCATGACTTGGCGCTTGCCAGCCTTCTCGGCGTTGTTGATGGCGTTCAAGCAGTCATTGAGGACGGATGTCTTGACCATTTTGGCGGTTGTGTATGAAGATTCTCGGTGGCGAGAGCGACTGAGGTATCTATGTAAAGTGTGTGGTTAGCCTCCAGATGCCGGAGCGTGGAGAGTGCCCTCAGTCTGCGACGCGACCAGAGGGTTCTTCAGCTCGTGTCGCAGAGGCGAAGCAGTGTCGCGCTCATCCTTGCGGGCGGCTGCGGTTGCATCTCCTGGCTCTCTGAAGGGCACTCGTGGGCGAGAGAGACATACCTCGTAGGGGTGGTAGTGGTGGTGGTAGGAACAGAGATGAAAAGTTCGATCGAAGACTGTCGATATTGACGTGGGTTCGCTAGCGAGTGCTTGGCGCTGTCCCTGGCTTCCTGCGACGCGTGCTGGACTTGGACCATGCGACGACGACCATCATGTCAGAACGCGTGAAGAGTAGAGACTGCGTTCTTCACGTACAGCTTTCCATGTTCTTGTGACGGGTGATTCGTTCTACATCACGACACCCTTATCGCGACTTCACGTGCACTCGCGAGTCACTAACTGTCTCGATCATGACGTGTATCTCTCGCCTTTGCCTTTCGCCTCCCGCTGTCTCCTACTCACCTTCTCTTTTCTAGTGCTTTCTTCTTCATTTCCACAACTTCTCATCATGTCTGAAGCCTGCTGCACTTGCGCTACGTTGCTATCCTCTATTCCGCCGACCTACGACGAGAAGACAGAGAAGCCAACTCAGTTTGAGCGCCGCCTCGATTGCTGCGGCCGTGCCATCTGTGCTCGATGCTTGACAGATAATCCTCGGTTCGCGAACTACTGTCCTTACTGCCAGATATCTACTGGCCCATCCTCGCTTCCGGCGCAAGGACTACGTGACCCTCCCACGTATTCGCCACTGATTGAGGGGCAAGGAGACGAGGAACTACCGCCATATGCAGCGCACAACTCCCTGCAGCCCTTATCTGAGAAGTCGGAGGCGAACGCTGAAAATGCGCCTGATGTTTTGCACTTTATCGATCCGAACAACGACTCGATACTCTCCTTGTCTGTACGATATGGAGTACCTGCCAATGCACTGCGCCGTACAAACAACTTGTATGCAGACCATCTTCTAGCGGCGCGGAGGACTATTCTCATACCGGGAGAGCATTACAAGGGCGGAGTCAGCCTGAGTCCGCGGCCATTAGAAGGCGAAGAGGAAGAGATCAAGAAGACTAAGTTGAGGAAATTCATGGTGGGATGTAAACTTGCCGAGTAAGCGCACTACCTCACGACAGATTACTTCACTCGCAGGAACAAGGCTAACCACGGCGATCATTGCCCCTCAACATAGATATGATGTTGCCCTTATGTACCTAGAGCAAGCGGGTTACAATCTCGAACAAGCGGTGTCCGCCTTCAAGGCTGACGAGAAGTGGGAAATGGACCACCCTCTGGAAGCAGCGAAGAAGGGCAAATCAAAGGAACCAAAGAGCTCGGGGAGACGGAAATGGGGCTTTGGAAGTGGTCTCACGGGTCAACTTTCATAGCGTGAACGATGCATCTGTTCGGCTGTGGCGTTGCAGAGATGGATGGATGGGTAGACAGGGGCTATCGCTGAACTAAATGGGCGTTTGTGGTTTTGACTGTATTGATGAAACGTCAGACAAGCGCTTTGCTCCTGCTTAGGCATGCAGTGCATTATGAGGCGTTGCTGACATTTATACATAATTTGTACTACCAGGGAATGGAGCGCACTGACGTCTTTCGTTTCCACTACCACATTTTATTTATTGCTTATGCTCCGGATTTCAGCAGTTTCTTGAGACTCATCAAATCGAAGGCGTTGACGATGCAGCATGCATCGTTACTTTTCCCTGTGTCGTGGTGCTCCTCTTTAGGATGGTTCTGTTGTTTGAGCTTTATCGGCCAATCGTCGCGCGATGCAAGCGCCCGCACCTCTCCCAATCATCTACACCAACACGACCTTCGAAGCGCCGAACAAGCATCTTGAGTTCCAGATTGTGGAAGACATGCATTTTGTCCTCTGCTATCTCTCGTTGGTCAGCTTTGATCAGCGCTAGTTGTGCCGAACGGAACGATGGGCAAGCCGTAGTGCTTGGGTGCACATTTTCATCAACTCCTCTGACGAATGACCGCCTTCACCTCCAGTCATCGAGAAGTCATGTCAACTACTACCCTTGGCAGATCTACACCTCTTACAGGCATACCATTGGCTGTTTCAGTTGTTAATACGCATCCTACGCGCTCGGAACACCAGCAATATCTCCATATGCAGAAAAACGTCTTCACCCTGCCAGGCACAGCGGTAAGGTAAATTAGCCCTGCTTTACTCCCCTACCTTCTATCTCGTAGTCTATTTTGGGAAGTGTGGATGCATGGCAGCGCAATGAACTCTTGAAACACACATGCGACCCAGCCGTTTTAAAGGCCTGGTATCCCCTCATAATTCGACATCTTGCCGGCAAAGAACCAGGTGTTGTCTATTCTTCGTTTCGTTTTCGTGTCCTTCATTTCGAACCAGGGCTTGGTGCTGTGCGCCTACTTTATATCCACGGTCTTTGATCTCTTCAGCCTGCTATCGTTACTCTCTATCATATCTGTATCTTGAAAACGACCCACAATCCAGACGATACGTTCGAAAACATACACAAAAACAAGATGAAGATCAACCCAGCCCCGTTCCACCTGGCGCAAGCCGTCTTCACCGGCCTCGTTGTTGTGCTCAGTATTGCCATTCTGGGAACTTCGGCGCACACTCTCGATGTGTTCAAGAAGCAACAAACCTCCAACCCATGGTGGTTACCGATGTGGCCACAGCATTTCGATACCCAAGGCACGAAAGGCCTCGTCGCTTCATCTGTAGTAACGCTTGTATTCTCTGGAGCTTTTCTCGTCATGTCTCTGGTGCCCAAGGTAAGAATAGCCTGCCCTCTATCTTCTAGTGTTAAAGAGCAAATTCTCACACTCTGCAGTTCGCCCTCCGTCAAAAATATACCCTCCGCGCGCTCCTATCCCTTGCTACAACTCTGCCTTCTATGATCCTCGCCCTTATCACCGTCATCTGGGCCCATATCCTCAACAACAATGCTCCTGAGTTCGAGACCATCCAGACCTGGACCTGCAAGTACAAGAACGGGAAGCCGCTCAAGCAAGACATTGCCGTATCGTCGAATGTGGGCAATTCGAACTTCGGCAGCCTGTGTAACGAGAGCAAGTTTGCGTTGTATGGGACGCTGATAGTGTTTTTGTTGTTGGGTTTGAGCATGGTGATTACGATGGTCACTTGGTTGGCGGATAAGTGGGTAAGCAGACAGGCGAGGAAGGAAGAGGTGGCTTCTGTGGAAGGGGGTGAGAAGACGGAGATGAGCTTGTGAGGGAGGGCAAGCTGATTAGTGGTTGGAGGCATGATGAGTCTGGAGGACGTCTCGAGGCGTGAACGACTTGGTGCGTATTGGCGTTGGGTTTCATGAACGCTATTTGAGATACGGGATATGGTCCGATATGGAAGGAACGATCGAATCGTGTCGTCTAGCTAATACTATTCTTTTCGAGCAAGTCTCCACCGTTGTCATGTATACTACAAATCCATGAACACGTATGTAACGTCACATTTCATGGGTCCATATTAACCAACGGTTGTCGCAGACAGGAGCATGGGAATGTGATGCTCGCGAGTGTCAACCAGCAGCTGTTTGTCGGATCGTGAAACATCAAACATAGAAAGCGCGACGGGCACTAGAACTCGCACGATTGTTCTTAGTCAGAAGATGTTCGTGAGACAGCTGCTGAGGTGGTTTCAGCGTTGAGTCGTGGACTTCAGACACTGCCGGCGCGTTACTATTAATGAGCACTCGACTGCCGATGAACGCGTCGGAATAGTCTACCGATTTTTCGCGTCGAGACGTCGAGACCACGAGTGATCAACACGCCTCCTCCGCACTGGATCGCCATCATCATCAACTCGCTTTTCTTCCCTTTCCTTCTCTTCCTCACCCACTGCTGAGGTGCATTCTGTCTGCCCATTTCACAGAAGATTGATTACAATATCCCTGTCTCTAGCTCCCATAAACCTGGCCAGTGCGCCCTGTTGGTCGCATCAGAAACGTCCCCTCCAAGCAACGGACCATAATAGCCCACCATATCAGCTCGCACTACTCCACCCAACACTCCGTCACTCTCTCCCCTCGACCATGCACATGTGCACTTCACACACAGCGACCGAGCAACACCGTAATAAGAGACAGTTCCAGTCGTCCATTACCAGCTTCTTTGCACGAGCCGACTTCGACGAGGCCGACGATCTGCGGGGGGACCAGCTTCCGACAACCCGACCGCAACAACACGCTAGGGCCACCCAACAACAACACCAGCAACGAGACAGCCTCGCACCTGCCGTGCCGGGACAGGTGCAAACCGACCTGCTCAGCGTCGGTATGAGGGTCCGAAAGAGCGTATCTGAGGGCTACAAGACACAAAAGATGGCTGTGTTGCCATCACTGCACACAGCCTTTGCGACATCCATGTTCAGTGCACGGAACACGGGGCTCGAGGTCAAGCCACCGCGAGACCCTGTGGAAGATGCTTTCCACCACCAAAGGGAGCTGCTGCCCTTCTGCGGCCTGCATAAGATTGGTGGATACGCGGAACAACCAACCACGAACATTCATCTTTACGCTGGTACAGACTCGTGTGGCCAACGATCTGTGAACATGTTCCCGTTCCCTGCCGAAACTTTTACACAGCCTTTCTCGAATCGCAGTTCTGCCGATCCAGGTTATGAGACTACATCGCTAAGACCAAATCCTGCAAACCCGTCGAAACGATCGTGGCAAGACGAAAACGAGACACTAAACCCCAATTTCTTCTTTTCCGTACCGACAAAATTCTCCTCGAGCGATGAGGATGAGCCCGTCTCGCCAATGTCGGAAACACCGCCTGATATGCTACCGCCCGTCAGATTGTTTGCGCAGCCTAAGTCGAGGAGAAGACTGGTTGGGGATAGGAGTGTCGATGTCGATATGGATCTAGGGAGTAGTGGACTTGTCGAAGGCAGAATGGCTGCTGGGTGTGCGAGTGACTTTGAAGAAGCCGACTTTCTTGATGGACATGAGGTTGATATGGCAGGTGTTTAACGGCAACGGCAAGTGATTTTCTTCTTTCTTCCAATTTGTCTTTCTCCTTCTTCTTCACTGTTTTATATAAGCTCTTTTTCATCGGCATCAGCGTTTCATCATCTCTTTGTCGTTTAGTACGTCCAGCGTAGCGATGTGATGGCGAGTAAAAGTCGGTGGCATGTGTATACCCCAAAGGTCTGCTTCTCATATAGTAACCTGTCGTTAGTAAGCTTCACGATTCTGTAGTATATGTTTTAACACGTCAGTATAACTTTTATGGTGCTGTACAGCTTCTCTGGTGTTGTCGTCTGTGGTTGATGTGTGGACTGGACGTCATAGGAGCACTCCTTATCTGCTTCTCTCTCTCACTGTCGTCTTGACAATTCTCAAGTCATCTTCAATGATCTCACCCCGCTGCGCATCCCCCAACTCTCACTCCTTCAACCTGACCCTCAACTGGGATATCGAGACAGTACTTTTGATTAGGGGCCGCCAGAATCCCTGTTCCATAGACGACATGTCTGTTGAGTGCGATGCTGGCGAAGCCACTGCGAGTACGCCGGCTACGAGCCCCGCCGACCAAGCTACTACAGGTAGTCAGCCCAGCCTTGATCTTCGCATGGCCAACCCCAAGCGTCTGTTATCCAACATGAATTCCATCAACAACGATGCCTCGGCTGAGCCACCTCAGAAGAAGGCATGTCATTCGATTGAACAAGGCCCTGAGCAAGTAGACTGCAATTACGTTTCTGATTCACAATGCTAATTATGTCAGCATCGACTCTATTCCTATCAGGATTGACGTTGACCAATCCAAGAAGGCGTTCTATGTGCACGAGAAGCTGCTTCGCTCGAACTCCCGCTTCTTTGAAAACATCCTGGAACAACTGGAAGGGGATCAGGATCGCTTTGTGATAGTGCCAAACATCAAAGCCGAAACATTCCCTATCTGGGTGAAATGGGTTTATACGGCAAAACTCTTTCTCACGCTTGAGGCAAGTGAGACAGGTCAGGCAGCGACTAACTTGATAGAGTGGAGCCGCTGGTGTGATATCTATGCTTTGGGTCACATCCTTCAAGATGACGACTTCAAGGACGCAGCGATTGATTTCTTGATCAATATAATGGTAGTCCACCAGCAAATTCCTTACCAACTTTTGAGGCGCATCTATTCTCACTCTTCAAAGCAGTCTGCACACCGCAAACTTGCTGTTGACGTATTCGTCAAGTGCAGGAGTCGCCATTGCTGGGGTCAGGACAAGGAAATGTCAGCAGCGTTCTCTCGCGATATCATCAGGTGCGTTGGGTCATTTCTAGGGCCGGGCTTGGAACTACAAAGCCTCGGGGAAGCGTTCGATTCCAAAGACACGTGCAAGTACCATGACCACGGACCGGACAAGCCATGCTACAAGACCAGGCCCGCATTTCAACCTTGAGGATGCAGTATCATGAAACTTTGGTGAGGGCCATATACCTGCATTGTACTTCATTATTATGCTGACCCTGTTATCATAGAACACTGCAGAGTTTCAGAGGAACTATCTTCTCAATCACCGTACATCTCTAGACATTCAGTTCGACAAGACTGCAGAAACAATCTTAAGGCTTGGGAGATGCTTGGGTGGGGGGATGTTTGGCATTTGCAATTTCTTGTACTTGTTAGCAGACTACGCTAGCAGTCGCCGTTCCTGACGGCTCCTTCGTTTATCGTAGCAGTCTGTTCTCACATAACAAGACGAAGTCAGTCTGTCAAATTCAATCAGTGCACATCATACGTTACTCTTGTGTCCAAATGAGTCCACTAAGCTAGAATGCCACTGTTGCCTTCCCTTTCCGAGAAATCGGTCGAATTTATTAGACCACCTGCACTTTCACTTTCACTCTCATTTTCACTTTGATTATGTCAGAGCCGACCAATACGTTTTTCGAGCGCACGCACACTACACATACTCTCCTTACGGTGCCTCCAACCCTTTCTTTCTCTAGCCTCCACCTCGCAACCACCACGAGCACTTACTATGGCTGGGAGCGAGAACCTTAACAAGCGCGGCAGCAACAGTATGAGCAACTCCCCAGCCCAGAAAAAGACGCGGCACTTATTTAACAGCGGCCTATTGTGAGTTGAATGGGGGTTCTAGCGTACTCCAGCTAATACTTCTCACTAGGATTGACTCTACTCCCATTACTGTCTTCGTCGGCCATACGGAGTCCAGGTTTAGCGTCCACGAATGCTTGCTCACCACTGACTCAGAATTCTTCAAAAGCGCGCTTAGTAAGGAGTGGAAAGAGAATCTGGAACGAATCGTCAAGCTCCCTGAGGCGAAGCCGGAAGCGTTCCACCTCTACGCCAAATGGCTCTACAGCGGAAAGGTCTACAGCGGAAAGGTCTACAGCAGCAAAAACAACGATACGTACGAAAAAAACAATATTGAGTACAATAACGAATGGTCCAGACTGGTTGACTGCTATAAGCTCGGAGATTTTCTCCTGTCACTAGATTTCAAAGACGCTACTATTGATGCCATCTCAGAGGTTTCCATATCGAGGGACATACTACGTGTAGACTTTGCTAGCTACATATATCCCATATCCACAAAGGAATCTCTGCATAGGACGCTATGTCGAGACTTGACTATACATCTCTGGGATCGCAAGTTCGCAAATATACGTGACCCTAGCCTTCCTCGCGAATTTCTGGAAGACCTGTTGGTAGATATTGGTCCTCAACTCAGCAATGGATTAAAAGATCAGGGCCTCCACGTATTTGCCCACTGCCTTAATACCTGCAACTACCACGAACACACTCGTTTCGACAAGCCCTGCTACAAGACCAAGTTCAGTTACTGATCGCAGCCACAAAGATTAGTACGTGTAGAGTGTATTATCGCTGTTGCTCTTACTAACCGTTCCGACTACTTAGACGTCGCATACCAACCCATGTTACACCGTATCATATTGGAATGACTCTCAATTTGCTCAGTCTCCAGTACATTGGCTTGAGATGGGACATAGGACGCGGTTGCGTTTTAGCCACAAGCAAAATCTTTAGGGAACAATACGATGTTGGGGCAACTACAATGGTAGTTCTTTAATGTGTGTCCTAGAAACAAGCAATGTCATATCTTCAACCCTGTTCTTCTCAATAGCTTTTGTGTCTGCTCCAAGTCCTTTATAATGCTTGTCGTCCTGTCTAATACCACTCTATACCCGCCCACCTGCCACATACACTCACTCTATCCTATACTCTATCTAGTACATTCTTTACATCATATCTCAGCCCCAGAAACACTCCGCATCCCCTCGCAGCAAGTAGCTCAGGCGTTTGAGCATTTGTTACACTATGCGGCTCCAGTTAAGTGCATGATTGAGCACTAGCAAACGCAGACAATTCATCTCAGCTTAGCTTAGTAACCTATGAGCTAGTTCATGCGCGCTTGAATATAGAGGGCAGGTTGTACTGGTAATGGATGTGTGAACTGGCCAGCCATTTGACTGCCCATCTTCGATTGTAGTCTGAAGTAATGAATGAAAGAAGATTTAAGAGAGGAAGTCGACGGGGGAGTATTTGGCCGCTTGAACCCTGGAAAGAGTTCAAGGTTATCATACGTATTGTATGTGAGTTGCACTCTGTAGACTTGAAAGATACATAGTTACAAGGAAAGTTTGGCCATTGGAGCATCAGTTTCGCTGCAGGATATATCTTGCAGCCGTGACACTTATCAACTGACTGCACCATGTCAGAAATACTCCGCTCAGAGAGATCATGCAAGGCCTTCAGTATCTCAACTCGATTCCACACCCGATCTATTGCCACACATGCACCATTATACTCAAGTCTCCAAATTGATACTCCTTCCAAACCTCCCATACAGTGCCTTCTTCAGCTCTCCCATCTCTTCCTGGACCTTCTCAAGTTTCTCCTTCAGCACCCCGACCTCTTCATCAATCGTCTCCGTCGTAGCCTCCAGCAGCTCAAGAACCTGCGGCTGCGGCAGCGAAATGAAGCAATCGCCAACCTGATACCTGTTTCCCGTTAATTCCAATTACTCCCTGACTCACACATACTTCGGTCTTCACGCTCCTCATGCTCCTTGCAACTCACGCAATATAAAGTTAGGATATAACTCACGGTACTTTCTCCTCCTCATCCACGAGTTCCAGCTCTCCCGAAACCTCCTCAAGATCCTCCTTCTCCTTCTACACCTCAAAGTTAGCTGAAGTCGAAAACTACTAACTAACGCTCAGTCGTCTTTCATCGTGCTTACAATCTTCGATCTCAATTCCTCCTCCAGCCCCGTCTCTTTCTGATGCAGACTCGAAAAGCGGTTGATCTTCTCTTGGTCTTCACGGCGGACTTCCATGTCCTCGTTGCCGCCCTCTTCCTCTTTTGTGAGCTGGTCGGTTTGGTTAGCACTAGCGTAATTCCTCTGTAGATGAGAAGGTCGGGAAACGGACCATACGGCGCTGCATTTTGGTGTTTACCGATGTGTAGAATCTGTGAGGAGATAAAAGTTTGTGGCTTAGTGGTTTGGCTATTACAAGTTGTGATGGTCTTGGCGCTGGTGATGGAAGTTTCGGTCACGATTGCCGATTTGCGATGTGGGCGGATGCCAAGACATCGATAACTTCGAGTTGTGGAAGGTACGACGTTCAAGATTCCTTTCGATGTCTCTACTTCGCCGGGACGGTACACGATTATCAAGAGATATCACCCTTAACATTGTTGTCCGATGGGCAAGTTCTCCTTCTCCGCTATGACACGAATCTATTCAATCCAAGTCTCGCGCATACTTCAATACGCTAATCCCCACCACGCATGGTATCATCCCAAACCTTTGTTCCAGAAACTCCGTTCAAGTAACAGCAAAAAGCTAACTCCAACCCTGTTTACTCTTTCAGATCAGCTCGTATCCATAGCTTCCCCTTCTGCATCCTCACTCCCGTCCCCATCCCCATTCTCTATCTTTACTTCATCGTCCTCTTTCTTCACACCGTCAACCTTCCTTCCCCACGCCATCGCTCCAACCACGCTCTCCAGCCCTCTAACCTCGTCACTCCTCACCCTTGTCCCCTCGAAGATTCCCTCCACCCCGTCCCTTGTATCCACGCCCCTCTTCTCCAATATTCTCTTACTCTGACTCTCGACATACACCCGCCTTTCGCGTGCTAGCTCTTCTGTCTCGCCCTGCTTCCCAGTACTCGGTAGACTGGTCGTCGCGAGGTGTGGCTGCAAACCTTCGAGAAGCTGGCGAAGATAGGGTAGTTGCGAGGTTGTGAATGTCGTGTGTGTTGTGAGGGGTTGCGTAGTTGTGGAAGTAGTATTTGAGGTCTGGGGGAGGGGTTGTATGCCCAGAGACTGCGCGGCAGGTGTATGTGTCAAGAAGGCGAAGGAGGCGGGGGTTTGTTCCGAATGCCCATTGGGAGACGTCTCAAGCTTTGGAGCCACAGTAGGTTGTAACAACGATCGCAGTCTCGCTATCTGCGCCTCATTGCGCTTCTTCTCTGCGACGAGGGCGGTGTTGAGTTTCTGCGTTTCGACGAGTTTCCGGCGGAGCGCATAGAGGGCTTCTGGTGTGAGTTGGGAGTCTTTGGGTGGGATCTGGAGGTTCTGCTTCATGTCAACCCTGCCACTTGTAACTTGGCGTGTAGTGCTTCATTTCTGGAGCGCAACTCACTTCATAGTGGCCCAACCTGACCCATCTCCCCAATTCCTCCTCTCCCCTTGGCAAGCACAGTACATTCCTGAGTGTCCAAATCTCCAATTTGTCGAAGTTTTTGTCCACCGCATTCTCCATCAGCGTCTCCAGCTTGAGTACACCTTCCTCAATCTCCAATTTTGCCTCGGGGAATGAGTTTGACCCATCATCGTCCTTCTCCGGTGTACGATTCTCAGCAGCATAGCGGTCAGCGAATCCGAGTAAGGCGGGATCTGCTGAAGACAAGCCCTGTTCAAAGGTATCGGTGCAGCGGTAGAGGACTTCGTTTACGGCGTTGATTATGTCGTCGATGAGGGACTGGGGTACTTTGGTTAGCGAAGAGTCGAATTCACATAGCAATTGGTACACATACGATAGGCGGCCATGTGAAGTGCTCTGTAAGAAGCAGATTCTCCTGCTGTTTTGCGCTAGCCATCTCGTTGAAATGTTTACGGTTTGTTGTCGCGGGGTCACCTTTGTTATCGCGATCGCGACTCGAACTTCGAGCTTCCTGCGACGCGCCTGGACGTGTTTAGCGCACGGAACCCTGTTCGAACCTTACTGGTCGAACGGATCCTTAGCGCAAACTCACTCGACTACAGCAATTTGCAACCTTTCTCGTGCCGCTTCTTGGCGGGTTGAGGTCGTCCAAAAAGAGCAGCTATATGTTAACTATTCCACTCACTCGCACTCAATATAAACAGATATTGTGTTGTTGAGACGGCAAAGCCTCGTCTCTTCGGTGGTAGATATTAACTACTCAAATATTGTGATACTCGATACAGTCCCAAGCGTTCCGCTCTGAGACACGATATACAACGCTGCAAGCCGTGCAGATGCCTGATGCAAGCCCCTGTAAAGAGCCCACATTTCAATTCAACCTCCATCACTGCCTTCTACCTATCCATAACCATACACACGTACATAGTGGTATGTCGCTTTGGGTGTCTCTCAGAAACGCGCTAACGCCAAAAACGGGTGCTTTGTGCTTTTGCTTCCGCTTGCAAGCTCGCTCGCTAATAGAGATGAGATATTTGTAAACCAAGATAACATTGACTCTGAACGCCAATAAGCCATGTGAGACCCATGTGTGCTCCATGTGTCATGTCGCTGTCGTAAATGCAGTAGATGTGAAACAAAACAATAGTCCACCTCGGGCGGCGAAGTTCTTCGACTGACACAATAGTACTAGGAGACTGTTCCAAGACGTCCGAACGGAGACGTCGACGCGAACATTACTCAGTAGCCTCGGTCCTGTCGATCCTGTCGGTACCGACGTTCCTCCTCTTGTCGGCGAGCCTTCTTTTCTCTCTCCAGTCGGATCTTATGCGCCTCGGTACCGTCATCCATGAGAGATTCCTTGAACCATGGATGTTGTAGTGCCTCTTTGGCCGTTATCCGCTTCTTGGGATCGTAGACAAATATCCTCCTTAGGAGATCGAGGAACTGCCTGTTGAAGTCGGTGTGTCCTGGTATTGTTTCCTGGACCCGTCAGACATGGTTGAAAGGCCATAAGGAGGACCAACGTACCTGTAGCTTCTTCATCGCCTTAACGTACTTCTTCGATGCCTTGTTGGTTTCTGCGTTTGGATAATCTAATTTGTAGTTTTTGAAATATCTTGCAGCACTAGAAACGTCAGCATGGCCTACAAGTAGAAACAGTGAATACTTACGAATTGGCAGCGTTTCGTGACGACCCTCGGTCCTGCTTGTAGACGGCCCGTACAAGATCCCGGTCGATCTTGCCACCGCAGACAGACTCCATCATAGCCAAATGCTCCAGGTTGTCGTGAGTCTGGAACAAAGCATCGCCAGTGAAGAATTCGACCAAAATGCATCCAATACTCCAGATATCGCAGGGGAAGCTCCAACCAAGATTGAGAATGATCTCTGGCGCCCGGTAATGGCGTGTTGATACAACTGAGGAGTGGTACTCCTCGTTGAATGTGGCCGATCCAAAGTCAATCAATCTGATTTCAGGATCGAGGAGAACTCTGCGATGTCGAGCCTGACGACTGACAGTCGTCGATGATGAGGGTACTGTCCGGTTGTATGTGAATGTTTGGTAGTTGTTGTTAACCAGAAGGATGTTCTCAGGCTTGAGATCGGTATGGATGAGGTTCAGGTCGTGTAAGAAGGCGACACTGGTGAAGAGTTGCTTTGCAAACTTCTGAATGTGCGAGCTTGGGAAAGGTACAAACGTGTTTGACTTGAGGAAGTCGAACACACTCTGCCCATAGAGATCCGTAACAATGCAGATGTGGTTCCGGAAGTCGAAGCAGTCTCGTAAGTGGATACACCGGTTGACGTTATGCTTGTCGTTGGAGGCCAACGTTGAGAGAACCCTTAGCTCGATACGGCTAGCATCGCGGTATTTGGGCACTGATCGAATGACTTTGATGGCACACTTGGTACCCTTTCTCTTGTCCCAAGCCTCGACGACCTTGCCAAATGTTCCTTGGCCCAGCAGCTTGAGGATTTGATCTGCGTCATTATTAGCAATGAAAGCGACTTAGGGTATCGAATGCGCATACATCGCTCGGTGAGGTCGGCCTCTGGTACTACAATGTAGTGGCCGTCTTCGTCGTCGACTTTCTGATCTTTCGTGTACGACTTCTAGGGTAAATCAGTATGCAAGCGCAGAAACGATGAGCGAGGGGAGTCGTACATCCGCAACAACCTGCACATAGACCTCCTTCGCTTTGATGACCGGGTTGGGCGGTGGCTGGTAAAGGCTGAAGGGGTCATCGTCGTGGTCGAGTTCTCTCTTCTTCGCTTCCTTGGCCTCGTCTTGCGCCGCTGCACGGGTGCGTTTTCGCTTCTGGCCGATGGCGCTATTATCGAGATCTGAGGCGTGCTGTCCATTGCTAGCCTGAGATCCTAACGATGTGGCGGCGGTTGTGTTGAGCGCGGACGTTGTTCTGTCTATGGATGCAGAATGGTTGGGCGTGTCGTAGTAAGGCGTCTGCGTGGTCGAGTACGACGTCTGCTGGTTGTAGACAGGGTCGTAGGCGGTCGATGCGGTCGTCTTTCGCTTTTTGTCTGTGTGGCGCGCGGAACCGTTTGTCGCGGTCCGTGTGAGCGCTGGTTGGCGCGTGACGGGTAAACCGCTGTCGTCGGGCTCGTCTTCGTCTATCACAATGACTTCCTTCGGGAGACCGTTCTTGTAGAAATCGTTCCAGTCTGTCTTCGGTCGTCGATTGCTCGACTCCTGTGCGTGCGCGTTCATAGCGTGGGCGGGGGCCTGCGCCATGGGCGGCAGTTGCTGTGGTTGTCTTTCGAGGGTTGTCGTGGCTCGACGCATGTCTGAATTTGAGGCGCCACCGTAGCCGTTGTAGTTCGAGAGCGCTGGCTGATAAACCGGATGATGGGAATAGATATGATGGTGAGCCGGGAGCGTCGCCGTGGCTGTCGAGGGTGTCGACATGTCTGAAGGCTGATGTCGAGACGCTCTTTCCCTGGGCAGGTGAGCGATGAAGCACGTCCGCCAAGCGGCCTATCGACACGGAATTGAATGATTCCTGTCGATGGCAGTGCGCAGTTCTGGCTTCTGCGGGCTGTCGCCGTTGGATCGCGGCAGAACCGAGCCGTCCGTTATCGCGGCGATGCGGAGAATCGTGCCCAAGACGCCTCTCTCGTCACGTAAGCCAGTTCCGAGAGCAGGCAGAAGACGCTGGCAGTGCTAAGAGAATCGTGGAAGGATGGTCTTCGATCGTGCCCGGGCGGTTGGGGTTTCGCGGCCGAGTTGTCATGGAGAGAGCAAAGGCTTGTATCACTCTTGTGGTGAGAGGGTCCGTGTGCATCACTGGTCTTGGTTCGTCATTCGCGCCGCCGTGACAACGCCAGAAAGGCTCTAGCACCAAGCCCACGTCCATTCTTTCCTGCACGCCGTTTGTGATTTGCCCTTCAAGCACCACCGTTGCACATTGCCAGAAAGAAACTGCAAAGCCCGACGGCACAGTAGCATAGGCCTTGCATTGTCGCTGGTGTGTCCCTACTCATCCCTCAGTCCTGGACTGCTTGCGTAAGGAGACTCTCTGCACTGCATGTCATTCGTCCACTGGCGTGTTCTCTACATGTCCGCGGTGGCAAAGACGCGTTCTCATCTCTGCCTGTGCCTTGAACTCCACTTTCACAGAGGCTGAGGCTTCTTGAAGTCTGCCTGGTTGATTTAGACACGAAGCCCTGGCTCCAATCGTGTCGCAGAGTCATCTAGGTTTGAGACACTTTCAGGCTGTGCGAAAGCACGCACAGGTCCATGGCCCGAACATGCGCCGCTATACAAAGACTCGAGCCGACTTCGTGTGTGAGTCGAGCCGAGCCGTATTTGCCAGAGTTGGAGCCACTCTCACGGCAATCTCCCACACTGTTGACATAGCGAGCTCGTAGGACAGACGTCTTAAATACTCTTGCCTCACTGCTTGGAAATAAGTCACTACAGTACTGTTCTCAGGTATGCGCCCAAGCTCGCTGGGTGAGATGACGGTGTTTACTCCGAACATCTAGAGTCATGTCAACTTTCGAACACCATCGAGTACTTTCCACACGCCATCCCAACACTCAATAAATCTGTCCAACAAACTCGCTCATCGTGTCCACGCCGTCCGGCAACATCTCGTAGCCGCCTGCCTTGTGCACACCTTTCCATACAGTATCCAATAACGTCATAGCTCAACATCTATCCACCCACACTGCGTCTGCATCTGCACGCGCCACGCGCCAAGCACTTGTCCCGCGAACTGCTCCCGGTTCGTGGAGTATCCACACCAGTCCACGACCGAACACGAGGTAATATATTCGGACCCAAGAGGTGGAATATACTGAAAGACCGAGATTGTTCGTATGAGGAATGATATATTTATACGCGTATCACGATGAATATATAAGAGAACTGGTTCTACGTGGTTTCTCCCAAGAACGCGTAAGCGCGCAACACCAGCAGTAATCGAAACTTGCCAGAGCAAATATCGTGAGATCCAAATACATCAGGTAAACTCACAATCTTTTCGACTTCTGATATGGTCATCATGGGGAGCTGATTGGCTTTACCACTGCTCTTACTTGGGGAGACAGAACGGACTCGTGATAATACCAGCACACAGCGAGTCTGACTATTATAAAACTGATATTGTCAGAGTTCCACTACCTTGTGTATCTCATACTTTCCAAGACCCAGATAAAAAAGTTCCGATATAACGCACCACATCACATAGGAGGATAGCATGAAGAATCAGGATGGCAGGACGAAGGGATAGCTTAAAGAGCTGCACTGGTGATGAAAGCTAGAGCATCATGATCGCCTGAGAGTATGAAGATGCAACATGCAACGCCAAGATCAACCACCAGGAAGGAAACAGAGTAAAAAGTTTGTAAGACGAAAAGGACGACGCGAAAGCAGGATACAAGAGAGCAGACTAAGATGCGAACACGTTATACCAGGCAGGCTATGGGCCCGCAAGAACTTTTGCCTGCTTAAAGTAACAGAGTCTCAGCTGAAATCTGGAGGAGTTCATGCAGCAGATGAAGCATACTCGAAGTGTTGGTCTTTACGAACACATGTCCTGCGACCACCATATGAGAGAGCATGGGCAAGGGATGGCGTTGCAGATTTCCTCATATCACCTCGCTCACTTTCTTCATTCTCCGTCTTCTATCCATCATCATCGCCGTAGTTGTCATTCTCAACCTCCTCCATTACAACCCCCCTAAAGCAGATAACGGCGTACGATATTGCCTTTTCTGTGACACGCGACACGAGGATTCCAAAAGTGTCTCGCCCATCTGCATGACAGTGACCTCGCAGAGATAGGCGACGAGCTTTCCTCTACATCTTTGGACATGTGTACGTGCAGCTTTCAGGACGCGCTTGATCTCATTCTCTCATGTTTCAAAATGGTGGTTCTCGGCTTGATTCTTGCAGCCTACACATAAACAAAGCGCCTTACTCAATGGCTCGTCAGACACTTATGTTCTCAACTTCCTTAATCTCTCATTCCCTGTTCTTTCTTCTTCAAAAGTAGGATCATCATGCGGGGACTCAGTATGCTGCGTTTCTAATTAGAACCCTGAAACGCTTGTAGATCCTCAAAGTGCGTTTCAACTCCCACTGTAACACCACGAAGCCACCGTTGGACTGGGTCGACCCGCTCAAGGTCGAGCAATCTCGACAAACATCAGAATGAGACACCACTAGTACACGAGCAGGTGCTTCAGACAGCTCGAACGTCGGATAGGCCCCCACAACGACCATCTACAAAACATCCAACCATGCGAAGTCAACAACATCGAGCAAACTCATATCTTGTAGAAAGCGCCATTTGGTGTGGCGGTCCTAATATGAAGGCCCTGCCTATATGAAGATCTCCATGAAACGACCAAGCGATGAGCCGGGTGCTCTACTTCCTGAAACAGCAATCTACGGAGAAATACAACCATCTGGGCCCACAAACTTTCATATATCTTTGAAAACACAACTCTTGAGATAGTCGAGGGGCTGCCTCGTAAAGGTCGCAGACACCTGATCTGTCACAGTCTTCGTGTCTGTTTGCTTTGCTCGGCGAGAAAAAGACAGGCATCGTGCAGTATTTGTGCTGTGAAAGCAGGATGACGGAAAGCAATTATCCCGTCTCGGGGACCTTGAACTGAACACTGATACGCCCACACTCACACACACGCAGAAGCAGAGTAAGCAAGGCCCTGAACAGGGAAAGCATAGTGGTAACTACATGGGCAAAGACATGTATGTTTTCCATATATGTCTCCATGCAAAGAAGATGCTGATTCTACCATAGGGTCGCCAGACGATTATGAGGATCTGCCAGCCCCCATCATTACGAAATCCTCAAAATCGCCTGGCGACCCTGTGGTACTCACTAAAGGATCGTTTTTGCGTCGCTCACGTACGTATGCCAAATGCATGGGTTCCGCACATATCTATTCACCAAGATTCTACCGTGTCTAGCCTTTCTTGTCTATTTCGTTTGTTTCTTCATCGTCACAGAGAATTGATGCTGGATCTCTTCCAGCTGCAGGAGCTTCACACCCCGTTGAGAACTTGTAACTTGTTTCTTCTCTCAGGCTCTAACGTCTTATTACTTTAGACGTGAGAGAACTGGCTCGGGTTATCCAACCGAGCTGCCTCTAGCATCCACTCAGCTAACTACTAGAGCATGCAGGGTATGTAGCGTCACGAGTGTCTACATGATAGTTTTCGTGTTTGCACCAGGGAAGGTTATCAAAGACGTCGATTGTCCGAGATCAAGCAACGCAGACGAACAGCGAGACATGACTCGATGCCTTTGATAAATGTGAAAATGCTATGGAAGGTATCGCGAGTTACATTCATATCTAACGCAAATTTACTTGCACCGACGAGTCACGACTCACACAACACACACAACATGCATACTATGCAGTAGAAGCGCAAGAAGATATCAGTCGCATCATATAGTTGTGAGCACTATGGTAGGCGAGCCAGCAAACACAGAGACCAGCTCAAGATGTGGGAGAGCGTGTGGGCGAGGCTCGAACACTTATCCCAACAATTACCTTTCATATGCAATGCTCGCTCAAAGATTCTCGTACATACATAGTTTGTTCAAACAGCCGATCCCAGATGCAGGTACATATGCCGAATGCAAAAAACCACCAAACCGAAAGGTAACAAAATGCTATACTCCGTAGCAGTTCTCCTGCGTGTGCCCAATGCGATGGAAAGCGTCGATCGACCGGGTTATAACGGCGACGGGATATAACCATCAAAGAAGTCTTCGATCAGGTTGGCGACGCGCTCGACAATGAGATCGACTTCAGCGTCTGTGATGTTGTACGCTGGGGCAATGATGATGTGTTCTCCCTTGTCGCCGTCGACAGAGCCTGATCCGGGGTAGACGAAGATGCCATAAGCACGCGTGAGTCCTGTGAAAAACGTCAGCACAGCCACTGAGAGAAGCAATCTATGACCTACCCTTCTGAGACATGTTCCAGGCCACCATGTCCTTGGAATTGAATGATTCCTTGGTCTCTTTGTTTTGGACGAATTCGATCTGCCCCGACGTCAGACGGTTCCTCATATTAGCATGCAGGATGCAAAATACTTACTCCCCAGAAGAGACCCTTGCCACGAATATCCCCAACATTTCTGTGTCCTCCAAGTCTTCGCTTCAGCTTCTCAGAAAGCACCTCTCCCTTCTGCGAAACATTCTGCAGCAATTTCTCTTCGCGTACAATCTTCTGCACCTCCAGCGCCGCCGCACATGCAACGGGAAAGTTCTGGAACGTGTGGCCATGAGAAAACGCGCCGCTACCGGGCCCGTTTATGAAAGCGTCGACAATTGGCTTGCCAACGAGCATGCCCGATATGGCTTGGAAGCCGCCCGCGAGTCCTTTGCCGATGATCTGGATGTCGGGGACTGCCCCTTCACCTACGTCTTGCCAAGCGTGTAGGTTGCCACTGGAGGTGCGGCCCATGCCACACATCACCTCGTCGAGGATGAGGAGGATGCCATATTTGTCGCAGACTTTGCGCATAGCCTTAAGATAGCCGGGTAGTGCAGGGACACAGCCGAGTGCCTGTTCGGATAGTTAGCAAAATCTTGCTGAGTAGAAAAGCAACGCATGATAAGAAGCTGGTAGATCGAGCTCGAATGTAGCTGATTGTGTTTGTTGCAATACTGGAGGTTCCCGAACTAACATCCCAGGATCGAGGAATTTGCAAGGGTACTGATGGAGGGAAAGGGAAGGTAGTATTTACTGCTCCTACCACTGGTTCCGCAATAAAACCAGCGACGTTCTTTTCACCAAGTTTCAGGATCTTTTGTTCAAGTTCTTCCTTCAGGCGGTCAACGTATTGCGCATCTGATTCCTCTTCGTAGCGGTGCCGGTAAGGGTTGCATGGAGATATTGTGTGTACATTCGCGGGGAGAACATGTTGATAGATATCCTTTCGTGTAGGCATTCCACTGATAGCGAGGGCTCCAAGTGTTGCTCCGTGGTATGAGCGTTCTCGAGCAATGAAAAGAGTGCGAGTCAGCTCAGGACTTTGCTTCTCTTTAGCATGATACTGGACGCAGAGTTTCATTGCTGCCTCCGATGCTTCGGAGCCTATTCTGTGATGAGCGAGAAGTGGGCATTGTGCGAGTAAAACACATACCTGAACTGTAGAAGACAGCTCTGCTCATCTTGCCATCGGTGGAAGCGATCAGATCGCGTGCCAAATCTTCGGCGACATCAGGATAGAATGCTCCGGAAGGAACGTAGCTGAGTCCCAGACGTATTTGCTTGACTATAGCGTCCTCGACTCGTTTGTTGTAATGCCCAATACAGGTTACAGCAGCACCACCGGAGGCGTTGTAGATCTGAGTTCCATCCTCAAGATGATATGTGTTGTTGCTGATGTTGTTGTTGTTGGCTCCAGCTGTCCCCCTGAGTACACGTAGCGGAGGAGCCCTGATGCTCCGGTTGAATAGAAAGTTTTTCACGGCTTTAGCGATGCTAAAGGCCGGAGGACTGGTGCTTCGAGGGCTTGGGTTAGATATGATCCCGGGAGCCATGTTGAAGCAAAAATATTTGACGAACGTCTGGATGGAAGCAAATCAGAGAGTGTATAGTATTAAGGAGAGTATTTTGTGAGATGACGTCGTTGATTAGGCAATTACACCCAGTGTAAAAGCAACTCGGCGATATGGCCTGATGAGATGAACTTCCGGTGCATATGTCTTACGATTGGGGCGATGATATAAGCGGAAAACAAAGCGATCAAGGGGTGGGTTTCGTGGCAAGGTGCGTTCGTACAAGCGGGAAACAATGGGTCAATATATCAACCTTTGGGGTCTCGGCAACCCGAGCTGTTGTTCCCACGGACCGTTCGGAAGTTGTTAGTTCAGACGTTCACCTTCCTTCCAAACGTCGTTGATAGCTTGGCGCTCCACCTAGTGAGAATGGTGTCGAGCTTGGACACATGCGGTGAAAGAGTGAGGCTGTACGACGACGGCTGTGTAATGGTGAGGGAAGGCTTACAAAGGGGACACTTGATTGGCCAGCAACTTCGGCATGTGCTCTTCTCCTGGTTCGCCGACGTTGGTGTGGGATTGGAGTATTCATTATTGGCTGGGACGTAATGGAACCGGTACGAGCAGCCGGAAGAGGCGCCGATTCCATGATATACTAGAACCACAATCGCGCATCTGCCTCGGTGCCTTTAAACGTAGTGAGCGCCGAAAGAATGGCGGGAGGGCGTTGGAGAGATGCCGACGTATACTTAAACGAGACGACTATCTCCTCCAATGTCCGTCCTGAAATCGGACGTTAGTGGCTCGGCCAACCAAACCCGTGCCACACGGTCGAATGGGAGTAGAGACAGAGCCGAAGCTTAACTTAAGCGAACTGCAATTCTATGCGAGCGGTTCCTGAGCGACGTAGGCATCCGGATATGTTGTGTAACGGGATCTTAACATCACTTCTATTTTTTGATACGTTGGAGAGCCGCAATATGACATGGAACGGAGAAACAGAAGACGCAAGTGGGTCATCTTTCCGTGTAGACAACAGCCTATTGAAGCATGCCTGTCATGCAACCGGTTACTGATGTGATCGCGCGGTCTTCAACGAAGTAACTCTTGTCGGCTAGTGGTGGTTTTGCTTGCTTTATACTGACGTGGGGCCACCGTGTTTCCTTTAGTTGGTCTTGGATGTTGACTAGTAGTGCTCAAGTTGGATGATGGACGGCCGGCCACTTGTCACCAAACCAGGATCTCGATGTTCCGTACAACCGACTGCCTGAAAACGCCATGATGCACGGCTTTGCCGTTTGACAAATGGTCGAGATAGGCGGATGGCCACGTGGATGCTGGCTTGTGAATTCAGGATTTGGACTTGGGGGCCGCCAAGGGCATGCTCTGCAAGCCATCATCTCTAGCATTAGGGAGATAAGGCATGGAGGCAACTGGAAGCAGATTATGCTGGATTGGCGTCTGATCCGGAGGGTTCTAGAGCACGGGACAGGATCATGAGTCATCGAGGGCGTTCAGGTGGACTTGGCACAAACGAAAGAAAATGCAGGTGCGACGAGCCATAATAGTGCACGGGTTCAGGTTGGAGGTGAGAGGTGGTAAGCGGCTCGCCAGGCTTGCTTGAAGCGATCATGTCGTTCCTCGGGCCGTTGTGAGCTCGCAATCGCTGGCTGGTATGCTCGGGCCGTGCTGGCGCCGACTGTGCACGGGCGCCAAGAACCCCACATCGAACCACGAAGACTGGAGACTCAGAGGTTCAGACTGCGATAGCTAGCAATTGCAAAGCTGCGCCTTTCTTGTCAGTGCTCGAAACTGAGCCATAGCCGTCACCATGAATCCGAGAATTGAGGAAGTAAGCGAGAGCGAGCCGGAGGAGGATAGTGAGCCTTCTGAGATGGACGTCGAGTAAGGGCTTCTGCAAGGAAATGCAACAAATAGGCGAATAACAAGAGAACAGTGACTTCCAGTCCCTGATTCGACCTTCCAACATCCCCAGCTCGTCGGTCGCTCCCAGCTCATCCATGCCCTCGCAGCTGCTCCAGCCCCAGTCGCCCGCCATCAAGACATCCACCGACCGCGACCAGTCCAAGCACTACCAATGTTTGTACCCCATATACTTTGACAAGTCGCGCACGAGGGCCGAGGGACGTCGAGTGGGCATGGAACTCGCAGTCGAGAACCCCCTTGCACGGGAAATGGCAGATGCAGCAGCGAACCTGGGCTTGAGAACCGTATTCGAGCCGGACAAGACGCATCCCAAGGACTGGGCGAACCCCGGGAGAGTCCGTGTTCTCCTGAAGCAAGACGGCAAGCTGACGGACGATGACATCAAGAACAAGCACCATCTCTACATCATCATATCACAATACCTAAAGGCCAACCCAACATCAAAGACGACGCCATTCAGATTGCCCATTGCAGGCCTGCCAATGCCAAAGGAGATGCCAGAGCCCGCCACACCAAAGGGCTGGAAGCTGAATAAAATTCTACCTCTACACTCGCCCGCCCTCACTGGAGGTGGTGTCTCAGAGAACTTCTTGCAAGACATGATGGCTGAGATGCAGGGGGAAATTGGAGGTGCTAGTGGTGCTAGCAGTGGGACAGAAGGCAAAAAGAAGAAGGACAAGAAAAAGAAGTAAGAGATACGAGGAAACCGCTACCTCTCACCAATGTTACTTATCGGTGGTACATGCACGTGGACCGGGATACTGCATTATGTCTCCTGCAACTACGCCACACGGGAGCATTTCGCCATACGCAGGGCACCCTACTACACGCCTCGCCACCTACAAAAGTGGTGGATCGCTACAAGCGCCTTGAAATTACACATACAGTAAAACATCAAATCAATATCATCAACAGCCTCCAGCAGTTTTTATTGTCGTCGTGCCGACCTTGTTGATGAGCAAGTCAGACTTCATACTCGCTCCTCATTGATGTATATTTCTTTACCTCAGAGGCGCCTAATTGAGCCTGCAACAGGGTTTGGTACCTACCTTGTCATTGAGTCGTGCGGCATGTTCACCGCTCCAGTTTCCCAGTTTCCTCGTTGACTTGTCAAGACTTTTCGTCATCGGCGTTGTACAGCTAGAGACTGAGGTACACAGCTAGTGCTTACATCGCCTATCTTACCCAACATAGAAGTAGGATTTGCTTGGAACGGCCCCAGAGGTGGTAAGCTAGTGCATCTTTGGTAAGTTCTACTACCTCTTCGAGTCGGATTTATCAAACCGAAAAATGAGATTCTGCACGACGCGACGCATCCTGCACGTATTTTCGACGCTGAACCTGCACATCAAATGCTCACTTGCAGATCCTATCTGCCGCTGCACTGCAAGCCACCACCATGCCAACAATACATTCCAGGGCCTGCATGCATTAAGTCTCCGACCACGTGCTCAAATGGATTTGACCCATACAGCTAGCTCCGTATGGCGCCGAAAATACTGCCGCCCGCCGTCACATGTCGCGGGCCGAGCAAATGACTTTGTGTATTCTCGGTGCATGGATCTTAGCCCCGGCCCCCGCGCTAACAGCAAAATCTCACTCGGCAACGCCTCTCATTCGACCGTCATCTTTACAATCTCGATTTACATCCTGCTGTGATTTCGTTTTTTTGGCCAGCTTCACCTTTGTCCCAATGCGGCAGTTTGTGCATAAGCACAGACTTGGGTCTGGGCATCACCGAGATTCCAAAAGCAAATACGAAACACCAATCGACAAGGAATATGCGAGCGCGAAGTTGTACTGTGAGCATCATTGACGGATAGGATGCCGGCTCTCAGTATTGTGCCTTGCCGCCAAGTTCGGGGAGCACCGGTCGTCCTCCATGAGGGTTGGCTTGCAGCGGACATGCTTCCTCTTTCCATGCCGCCTGACGTTTTAGACAGTTGACGGCACGGCAATTGCACGGCGATCAATGTCCGAGGTTGACACTGCGACCCTTTCACCCGACGAAGACTTCGACGAGGACGTTGCGTAGTTTACGCGCGTTCTTGTTGACCTATCTCGCTTTGTCAAGCATAGTTGGCCATGACCATGTCTTAAAAGGCTGCAGTGATCATATACCTTCGACATGGTTGACATGCACTCCCTCTTGGCTGCGCATGCGGGGCGTCATTTCCCCACCGCTCTTCCATCCTGCTTAGACAACGGTTACTGTTACACGACATGAGATGCATGCGAACAATCGTTCGACAACCAGCAGCCGACGAATCAGCTACGTATCCAATATCGTCAAGATGCACAAACACATGAGAATCACGCAAACGGACAGATGAAATTTTTGAAACTTGAAATATCATTCATATCGTTCTAAGCAAGCGTAGAAATAACTAACAGAGGAATCAGATCATGTCACTGCTAGGCTCTATACCCACTCATCCGTTCATCCATCCTACTGTGGTCACATCTAGACGTCACACCAACTCATACTTAAATACCGGCCTGCTGGGCGAAGCCGAGACGGGGGGTTCCGGTACCGCGCTCGTGGACAATGTACTTGCTCTTGAGGAAGATATCACCGAAGATGTTGAATCCGATACCAGTGTTGGCCTGGATACCACCGAAGCACACGGTTGACGAGACAGGGGCGTAGTTGATGAACCTGCCGGGCACGACCTGCTTGACACCACCAACGGTGATGGAGAAGTCGGGAAGGGTCGCCGAGCAGGGGAATGTGTAACCACCCTGAGTCGAGTCGTTCTTGGAGCCGGTGACCTTGGCGTAGTAGGCAGCGACAACAGCAGTGTCGACGTAGATGAGAGTGGTTCCGGTGTCAAGGATACCGGCGATGCTCCTGGTGGTAGTGGTGGTGCCGACGCTGTACGCGGTGGCGCTGAAGCCCCAGAAACCTTGGCTGCTGTCTACGTTGACGTAGGTGATCGCGCCGGTGTACTTGCTGCTGTCGATAAGTCCGAAGTCGTAGCTTCCGGCAGCGTGGTACTTGAGGTAGACCGAGAAAACGGGCAGGGCGAGCTGGCTCTTGACGGTGTCGAACCATGTCTTCTGCTGAACAGGCTGGACGGTGTTGATCGAGCTGAAGGCAAGACCGAGAAGACCATCCGTATCGGTGTCCTGGCTGAAAGTGCTCGAGACGGAGGTAGCAGCCTCAACTGCCTGGGATGTGGCAGTAACGCCACCGACGACAACCTTGTCGGCGTAGACTGTTCCTGCTGCGCCGGAGCCTGGTGTATGGTTAGTGGATGTTGCTCAAGGATTCAATTTTAAGATTGGGATTGACTTACCATCACCGTAGGAGATCTTCCAGGTGTAGCCTGACAGCTTCTTGGAAGCATCGGCTGTGTAGTAATCGTGGCCAGCCAGCTGTGTCGAGGCCTGGAGGGAAGAGAAGACCCACCTGTTGAAACATTAGCTGTTGTTTCAATAACGGGCGTACTAAGAGCAGGGTTGTCGGTGGTCGATGCGCTGATCACTCCGCATGACGATTTCCCCATATCTCGCAATTTCTCGAACTGGGTAATATCTCAACTTACAGGTCAGAGCTGCCGGTGTCAAAGTCCAAGTGAACGGTCTTGCCAGCGATTGTTACCGGGCTCAAGTAGCTCGAATCATAGCTGTCAGACGGGTTCGCAGGAACAGTACCAGTAACAGCCGCGGCTGAAACCGAGGCCGCGTTGTCCGCAGCAGCGAGGATGTGATCCGGAACCGTCTTGCCGTATTTGCGGAAAGTCTTCGCAATCTGGGCAGGTCCGTTCTTCAGGTAGGTCGAGTGCTTGACTTGTTCGACGGAGAAGGTGGAGCGCTTCTCAAGCTTGTCGAGCTGGACCGGGTTGGCGAGGGCAGTGCTGGCAAAGGCCAGAGCTGCCGTGAGGCAAGAGATGGACGGCATCTTGAGCGAGAGAAGTGCGAGCGAAGGACCAGTGGATGGAATGAAGGTGAGAGTGTGGGATGATAAAACATAAGACGGAGAAACGACTTGGCTTTATATCAAGCATTGCCATATGCATGGCAGCGCAGTCAAGCATCGTATCCCTGTGATTTCGTGCTAGACACGCTACCAGCGTCACTGTCGGAGTGGGGCTGATCAACGTCTTAATTAGATTAAACAACCACTCCCATCTTGGCAGGTACCTTTGCATCTGGTGTAGAGTTATGTGGGTTCGACAGATGCAAGATGAGACCTTCTCTTCTGAGATAGGCTGCCGGTGTTAGCAGCGCAAGCAGATGCCTGTTAGGTTAGGAAAGGACTGTCGTGAACGCATTCGTAAGTATACGGCCGCCGCAGCGCTGGAAGTACACGGAAGATGTTTCTCACACAGCATTGGCTACCATGCAATCAGGTGTTGTGGCGAAGGGCCACACCAAACTTTAGGTGTGGGGGAAAGACAACGGTCTACGCGCCGTCGATTGGCTACGGATTAGAATAAAAGGAGTGAGCCTTACAGCCTACGGTTGATCGCGAGCGGCCCGTGTGGTGTGCTGTTGCAGGCCATGGATAATGCCAGCCAGTCAATCTGTTTCAAGCCTTGCCACTATCCCGCTTGGCATTGCTAAGCCCTAGCTCCGCAGCCACAGCCGTTGTCTCTGGAGGTGCAGCAACGTTGTTTCGCGCAGCGGAAATTATCTCGTTTGGTACGTTGCATCGGAGAAAGCGAGATTGAAGCATCGCTTCACCGGGTATTTTTCTTTTTACCTTTCTGTACCCATCGCGACATGCACCAGGGTGTTCGCATCATAGACTGGGTTGGGTTTGGTTGTGCTTGGGGTGGCCAGCTATGTAGCTTCTACGCTAGCAGTGTATACCTGGTTGAAGTTGCGCAGGAGGACTCTGGCCTGAGGCTGGACAGATAGTCGACCGTTGACGGCGATGTTCGGCAGATTTGACTAGGTATTGACTACTAGGCAGGCCATCTGAAGTTCTGGGCTGCCGATCCATCGCCTGCTGTACGATGATTGAGTGCCTTGTCTATGGCGATGTCGCAGATGACCTGTGGGGGCGTAACTAGATTAGGTAGGTGGAAGATCGAAAGCGAACTCCCGGACGGCTGCCGTACAGAGACAGGACCCTCAGAGACGCCGAAGCTAGAGGATCGTCCCGTAATATTTGGTAGCAGTCCAGCCTGACTAAATTCGACACCACAATCACGACTGAGAGGCGTGATGCTCATCTAATCTCCCGCCAGTCAGATAGCTGCTGGATGACGTTTTACTGCAGAAGGAAGTGCATCACCGGATAGAAGAGCTGGATCTTGTCTAGGTCGGCACTTGTAGTAGATGGGGGTGTAGTTCGTGTAGTCTTACCGTTTGCATAGAAAGATACTCCCCCCCACCAACTGTGCGACCTGCCACTTTGGCCCTAGGTTCCCCCAAATGCCCATGTCTTCTACCCCATGCCACCGAGGTCAAGAACACCAAGCAATACAGACAAGCCTTTCACACATGCTTGACAGACCAAGCATTACATTCATATGACCATTCGTCTCTACGCCGACCTGCCTTTTTCGACAAGCTTATTGCAAAAAGCTTGTCAAGCTCAAAGATAACGACTGCGCTTCTGCTGCTGCATTTCAACCTCCCCTTTTGGTGCATAGTCTTGGAAAAGCTTGGACGATCTTATATGATGATCTCTTGGAAAACTAATGCACAACGAGTAATGGGAACCGCAATAAGCATCGACCGGAAACTTTGTTGAAAGCTTGGGGTTCGCTTGGCCTTTGACACCGGCATCCAACGATCCGACAGGGGGTTGGAGCCGGAGACAGCAAGTGGCGAAGGTTGCAGACCTTCAATACTACATGCACTGTTCGTATTCTCGATATATCCGTCCCCAGCTCCGTGAAGCCCCTCGGACTCTCTAGTCGCCCCCGTCTGTGTTGCCTTTCACAGCGCCCTCCAACTCTTGCAGAGCCGCGCGATACGCCTTCTTCTTCCCATCCGCGGTAACAACACTCTCCTTCCACTCTAGCCTCTTGACTTTTCTATCACCCCTCTTCACGCCATCCCCTTTTGCAATCTGGTTCAAAAACCACGCAGCCTCTGTCTTGGTGAATAGCGTCATAGCCTGCCCACTTTTGCCTGCGCGCGCCGTCCTGCCAACACGATGCACGTAGCTGGTAATGCTGGTGGGGATATCGTAGTTTATGACGTGCGTGATAGTTGGGATATCAAGGCCTCGCGATGCAGCATCAGAGGCAATCAGAATTCTGATCGCGCCAGTGTTGAAGGATTTGAGAAGCTTCTTCGCAGCGTCGGCTGTCGATGCACGCGTCATAGTCTTCAGGTATTTTTTGAACCCCGGTTCGAGTACGGAGAGGAGATGTGATAGTCGGGACGCACTTTCGTTGCTCTTTGTGAAGATCAAGACGCGGCTTTCATTGTTAGACATGGCGCTAGACTGCTCTTCCTCAGAGTCTTCCTCGGATGAAGAGTCTTCCTCGGAAGAACTTGAAGACGAGTCTTGTTTGACACTGAACTTGATCCCTTGGAAAATGTAGGTGTTCAAGACGTGCAGCAGATGCAGTGGCTTGTTCGAGCCGTCGCCGACATGTGCCGAAAATTCTTCCAAGGTCGATGGCAGTTCAAAGACATTATCTTCGTGGTCAAGTGGCTGCACTTCTGTTGTTTCGTCTTGTACCACTACCAACTTCGGCCGCTTGAGTCTTAGTGTTCCAAGTTTCGTAAGATCTTTCTCCATGGTCGCACTTAACACGACTTTGGTGAGTTGTCTTCGAGCCGGCAAGGCTACGGACCATATGGAACCCGCATCTCGCTTGCGAAGGCATTCTTGCGCATTCATGAAGTCGGCCGGCGTCTCGCCATGGAGGGCTCCCATGAGGACGCTTGCCCAGCCCTGGAAGTTCTGGTTCAGAAGCTGGTCTGCTTCGTCAATGACAAGCCAGCGAACAGAGCTGAGAAGAAAACCAGTCGTGTGTTCGATGTGCTCGACAAGTCGTCCAGGAGTACAGATTAGGATGTCGACTCCAGAATCGTATCGAGGGATGTGATCTAAGGGCATGCTCATCAGGTCGTCAAAGACACCTCCTTTTTCCACGAAGCCTGTCTTCAGCTGTTCTGAATATCTCGCATGTAGGTGTTTGGCTCCTTTGGGGTCATACTGCGACCTCAGTTTGACAAGCTCTTTCTGTTCCGTCGCGAGCGCGATGTTACCCAATGCTGTGCCGACTTTGATTTTTGTTCCAGCGCAAAGCTCTTCTGCGGTGTGTAGTGCCTGATTGACCAGCTGCCGGCTCGGAACCACAACGATAGCGGAAAGCATAGGCACGGCTCTGTCCTTCAAAGCCTCGATGATTGGCAGAAGATATGCCAATGTCTTTCCTGATCCAGTCTTTGCGGACACACAGATATCGCCCAGATGTTGCTCGAATCCAGGATGCAGCATAGGTAGCAAGGCCGTCTGCACCGCCAAGGCGTGCTTGAACCCTTGCTTTTCGAGTTTCTTTGCAAAAAATGGCTGTACTCCCAGCTCCTCGAAAGGCGTCGCATCTGACGCCTCGACTGTTACAGGCTGCGCTAGCCACGTGGGTAGGGTTGAGAATGTAGGCTCAAAGGTGGAATCGGGTACAGGTGCAGGTTGGGGCATGGGTCGTAGATCTGCAAGTCGTTAGTTCTCATATTGTACTCTGGAGTTTCTCGCCCTATGATGAGTCCATCTCGAAGAAACATACCATGAAGCTCCTCCTCTGGCTGGTCATCCTGCTCTTCTGCATCATCCCCAGCACCATCCTCCCGTCGTGCTTCTGCCTGCTTTGAAACTTTTTCAAATTTTGAGAAGATTGTCTTATGCTTTTTCGAGCCTTCTTCATCCTGCTCCTTATTCACGTCTGAGTCCCGCTTCCGTTTCTTGGGCTTCTTGATGGATTTTGGAGTCTCCGCGGCCTCCTCCTCCACCTGTGTTGACTTTGCGCCTGGTGTCTCTGCCTCTGCCTCAGTCTTCTTTTTTCTCGGCTTCTTCTCCTCCCTAACCGGAGAAGCCTCTGGGGATAGGTCTCGTGTCGCAGGAGTTTGAGCAGGCGGCGATACAGGTAGTGGCGACTGTTGCTTGACCGCAGACTTTGGCGGAGCCCAGCGTTTGAACAGCGGCGCGGGCATAGTGGTGTCTAATCGTAGGGCCTGGGTGGCTCCAATATCCTTTATACGTCTCGATTGTGGAGTGCGCAATATATTGCCGTTGTTCCGTGTCAATTGGTGGTTGTGTGTTGAATGCGCGTCAGTCGTGTCGTGTGTCGAAGGCTGCTGCTGCCAAAAATTTAGTTGTAGCTCCTTATCGATAACCATGGGACGCGCCTGCCTCCACTTGCGACTCGCGACGAGGGTGAAGCTTCACCTCCAACACAGGACCTCCTCAACACACCACTGATCTGTCATGTATCCGTCGTCTGATCACAATCGAGGAGTCTGTCCTTGCGTGTCATCAAAATGCCCTACAATATTGCGTATGTCTCCCCACAGTTTGTCCGCCCGATTCAAGCTCACACACACCAGCATGATTAGCGACAACTTCTACCCTCAGCCTGGTATGAGCTCTTCTTCGAGCTGAGAAGCAATCATCTTATCGAGCATAGGAGGAGTGGAGAGTCACATGTACCAGCTTTCTAGCGTAGGGCTCCCCCACACACGTTCTTTCCCCCTCTAACAACTACAGAAACTCATTGATCGCGGACACAAGGTCATCGTCATCACACATGCCTACGCTGGTCGAACAGGAGTGCGTTACCTGACCAACGGACTCAAAGTCTACTACGTCCCCTTTTTCGTCGTATACCGCGAGACGACCTTTCCAACCGTTTTCTCCTTTTTCCCCGTCTTTCGCAACATTGTCATACGCGAACGCATAGAGATCGTCCACGGGCATGCTAGTCTCAGCAGCTTATGCCATGAGGCTATCTTGCATGCCCGGACAATGGGCTTGAGGACTGTCTTCACGGACCACAGCCTGTTCGGCTTTGCAGATGCGGCAAGCATATTCACCAACAAGCTCCTGAAGTTCACGCTGAGCGATGTTGACCATGTCATCTGTGTCAGCCATACTTGGTACTGTGATCCCGCTGATTCCAAGATAATGGTTGCTGACTGCCCAAAGCAAAGAAAACACGGTTCTCAGAGCGTCGCTTGACCCTCTGATGGTCTCTGTCATTCCAAACGCAGTCGTCGCTGAGAATTTCCGCCCCCTCTCATATGATTCAAATGATTCAAAACACCGCAATGTCCCTGAACCCCCGCAGCGCATTGGGCCAGAAGACATCATTACTGTTGTGGTCATATCCCGGCTTTACTACAACAAAGGCACTGATCTGCTTGTAGCTTCGATACCACGTATCATCGCATCACATCCGAATGTTCATTTCATAATTGCCGGCAGTGGACCTAAAGCGATCGACCTCGAGCAAATGATTGAGCGAAATGTGTTGCAAGATAAGGTCCTTATGCTTGGTCCAGTGCGTCATGAGGAGGTCCGAGATGTTATGGTTCGAGGGGACATCTACCTCAATCCATCGCTTACGGAGGCGTTCGGTACTGTCATTGTGGAGGCCGCATCGTGTGGCCTCTACGTAGTATGTACGCGGGTTGGTGGCATTCCGGAGGTACTTCCTAGCCACATGACGGAGTTTGCAGCGCCTGAAGAGGATGAGATTGTCGAAGCGACCGGACGCGCGATCGCAAAACTACGAGCAGGCAAAGTGAGGACGGAGCTGTTTCACAACCAAGTCAAACAGATGTACTCTTGGACAGATGTTGCGCAACGAACGGAAAGAGTGTACGACGGCATCAGCGGTGTTATAAGTCACAGCGAGTTCTACCAAGGTGCAGGGGTCGCAGGGGCATGGAGTGCTACACGCGGTCGTGCTGGCGTTCAAAGCTTTGCGCTCATAGAGCGGCTCAAGAGGTACTATGGCTGTGGTATTTGGGCTGGAAAGCTTTTCTGCCTTTGTGTCATAATCGACTACCTTCTCTATGTTGTCTTGGAGATCTTTGCACCGAGATCGAGAATCGACATTTGCAAGGATTGGCCAAAAAAGATATTCAAGGAAGGAAAGGCAAATGACGTTGAAACGAGTAAAGACAGCAGTGGGCTTGTCAGAAAGAGGAGCACTCGCTATCGAAGAGAGAAAGTGGATGAGCGGGATGACAGCTGAAAATGTCAGGGTGCATACAGACAAATCACGATGATATTACAACGACATCTCTCGGAGCGGCAGTTATTGAAAACATGTATATTACGGGTATAATACGGCGACCACTGGCCCACGATGAAGCACAGCAGCGGCTGCAGAGAAGGCAATACTATCTACGACGCCCTCAATAGCGAGGACGACAAAACAACAAAAACGCCAGCATATGCTCTACGCTCCAAGACTCTATCAGGGCACTCACGCGTAAAACCAATATTGCGCCGCGTAGTCCACTGTGAATCCTCCACTAATGCCCTCGCATGTTTTCGGCGCCATCCCCCCCGCAGTGTTCACACGGTAGACTTCCTTGTAATCGCCCTCGACAGCGTTGAGTTTCAACCATGGCACGCTCCCCTGTCCGTTGCTACCCTTCTCCGAATTGGCGGGCGCACTACTCTTCACCACATCAGGTATGGCCTGAACGTAGCCGTAATTCACACGATCCGTTTCCAGCTTGAACAACGGGACCTTCTTGTCGGTAAATTCGTGGTGTCCCGACAAGCGAGATTCCGCGAGCGCAGACGAGGGGACAGAGTAGAGCAAGGCGATCTTGGTCACGCCTGCCACGACGGCGGGCGAGTTAACCGTGTCGCATGTTGCGTTGAAAAGCGAGGCCACGGCGCCGACGGCTACGGGCACGGTTGTTGCTGACGCGGAAGCACATGTGTAGTTTTGTGTGCCGCGGCCGATGGCGACGTGGCGGAGTGTTAGGCCTGCTCCGACGGCGGGGAGAGGTGTGGGGGCTAGAGTGTGTTAGTTTGGGTGTGTGGGAGAGTGGAGAAAGGATAGCGTACCGGTTGGCAAGACGGCATTAGAGAGGTCGCATTGCGAGGCTGACGTCTGCGCTTTGCGGGGGACAAGCTGCGCTAGCGCATCGAATGTCTGTGTTGGTGCGGCGAAGATGGTTGTTGGCGCCAAAGCGAGGAGCAGCGAGATGGGTGTTGTGAAGAGCATTGTTGGATGTGGTTGGTTGATTGATGTACGTTGCGATATAGAAATGATCGATATTTCGGTTGATGCGAAAGTAGTACGTATTATATCCAAGCCAATGGATTTTTTACTGGCACTTTTTTTTTTTTTTCGTGCTGAGCTGTGTAGTTGTTGCTGCTGATGGAAATCCGAAACCCCCCAAAAAAAAACCAGAGCTGGCGTAAGACCGAAAGTAAGACGCGCAAAAAAGAGATCCAGTCCCTAGAACGAAAAAAACACGAATGGAAGATGTTTCTTGGGGGCTTGGGACGGACGGACGGACGGGATGAATGGGATACGAGGGGAACGAAACGAAACCGTTGATGCAGCCTTGAGGCGCGCTCTATATACCTAACTAACACCTACACCAGCTCATAGTTCAGCCACTGCACTACACTGAAAAAAGAACCCGCCCTACCGAATCAATAGGGCCCCGTACAATAGAACAGAACCCCCCCCCCCCAGCTTCCGTTCTAGCCTGACGCTGTCCTGGTTTCCAGCGCGTACGCTGGCGTTGCGTACGTGTGTGAGGTGCGGGCCCGTCCGGTAAACGCCCAGGACTTGCATTTCGGGGGGGTTATTTTTAGAGCACGAAGGCTGGTTGGACGGTGCAGGGTTTAGGCGAAAACGCGTGGAGTCGCGGAGGGGCCTTCGGTAATCTGGCGTGCCGCTGGGGGAGGCTAGGCGGGGAGGTTGGTGGGTTGGGCGCTTGGGGGAGGTGGAGGTTATTTTGGGGTGGCGGTTTCGAAGGTGTGTGTTTGTTGTCGTGTGTGTGTGTTTTCAAGATGTATGTCTGTTTATCTACTAAGCTAAGTGAAGCTTATAGCGACGAACATCTGTCTTCCCCCATATCGCGGGTGGAGTTGTTCATGTTCACGTCTTCAATCTACCCAACACAAAGCAAGTCGCGCAGAAACCGCAAATCCCACCTCCCCACAAAACCCCAAACACACACACAAAACACAGAATATACAACAGACACGCACGCAAAACCAAAGATACGCAACCGCCCATTGCTACATCCTTGCTTATACATACACGTCGCATATTCCGTCTTCCAAAGATCTTCTTCTTCTGGGCCTTTTCCCCAACCACAATCCACAATCCATCCACAATCCATCCCGCCACCCCATCCCATCCCATCCCGCAGAGCCGCCCGTCCTACCTTGCCAGACCACCAACCAGCCAACCAATCAAGTACACCAGCCAAGTATATGAGCAACCTCGCTTCCCTCTTTCCCTAGCAAGCGATATTTCTCTATTCGGAAATTAGGGCGTCCGTAAATATCCTCATATAGCCAATATATAGCGTACTAGGACGGGAAGGGAAAGTGTCGGTGGTGGTTTGTCTGGTTTGGGGGTGGGAGCGAGTCGGCCAGCCAGCCAGACGAGCGCCACGATGTGGTGGTGATTGGACTTGACTTGACTCGATTGGACTTGACTTGACTGGGTAGGTATTATTCACGCACACGCATACACATACCCAGAACATAATGCAGAAAACACAGCGAAAAGTGGGAAGTGGGAAGCGCCTTCAACAAGACCATGGCATGTTCATGCTATGCGCGGACACGTGTACACGACATATACAGCCAACAACCTCTCTCCTACTCACATGCCTTTGAGGGGGGGAGGAGCTAGATGTAATGCACGTATACGCGTACACAAGCTACGAATGGGATTGGTGTAGTATGGTATGGTATGGTATGGTATGGTATGGGTACACTGCCTATCTGTGAAGGAACTGGATGACTGGCTTGCACTTTCGACCCAGTCAAACGTACTCGGAAGTCTGCCCAAACTGCTATGCTATGTTGTGTGAGTTCTAGTGAACTAGATGGTTGGTCTGCTGTAGTGCAGTACTAAGAACGAATAGAAAGATATTGTGTATTTACTTGGTTAGGAAGACCTTTGTATGCGTGTACATGTGTATATGGATACTGGCTTGGTGGTTACTGTATTATTTGTCTCTGTATCTGAGTAGACGCTACAAGCTGGCTGGCTAAGTAGACAGATGTATAGATGGGCCTGAGTATTTCTAGTTGTAGTTGTACTTCTGTATCCACCTACCCACCTCCCCATCCATCCACAGTGTACATCCCCACGAAATCTCCTTACTTCCCGTTTCTCATTTCCTCCTCCACTGTTTAGATCACAATACACCACATCAGTCCAGGTACATATATTTGAACAGATAGAGACTATACAGCAAGAACTGAAAAGTTAAAAGCGTTTTTGATGATACAGTGATGCATATACATACGTATACCGCATAATCCTATGGCTAATTGGGGTTGATTTGATTTGATAGTGCAGGAAGTTTTTTCTCGACATGAGCGGAGGTGAGGTCCTGAGTATCACGGAGTGGGCAGGCTGTGATGAAATGTGGATATCTGATTTGGAGAGGGAGGGGAGTACATAGGTAATCAGGTCAGATAGGGTAGATGGACGAAAGGATTCGAGTAAGCCCACGCGAGGAAATATCATGGCATGAGTACATAGACCATGGGTGAATTCGATGCATATAAGTAGTAGCAACGACTCACTCACCCAGGCGAACAAAACAAAGAGACGCCAGTAGTAATACACCCCCATCCCCCATCCCCCATCCCCTTCTCCGCCTTCCTCACCCTCACGGCCCCACCGGCCCCCCAACCGCCACCGCATCTCTCAACGCACCCCCCGCCGCCGCCGCCCCCGCCTCATACGAAAACAGACTATAAACCAGCAAAAAATGCAGCCCCAGCAAATACGCGGCAAACAAATTCCGACTACTCCTCGTCTGCAGGACAAACTTCGTAACGCGCAGAACCACACGTTCAAACAGCGTCATACGCTTCATAGCGCGAGCAGACTCACGTCCCCGAAACGCAGCAAAGGGCGAGAGATTGGATTCGTATGTAGCTTTATACCTATCTGAGGGGTCTTGTGCGCCGCCGATGTGGATGGTGGAGGGGTTTGGGTTGGCGGCGTAGCTTGATGCCGAGGAGGATGTGGGATTTCTGTTCACCGCGGTGTAGGAGGAGATGTAGCGGGTTTTCTCGTACAGGTCGAGGTTGTCTTTTTGTAGGGCGTTGATCTCGGTGCGGAGGGAGGTGACGGTTTGGTGGGACTTTTGGAGCTCGGATTCGAGTTCCGCGTTGCGCTTTTTGAAGCGGTCGCGTTGCGCGGTTACCATGGGGAGGATGCCTGAGCCACCGCCGACGCCGCCTGCTGTGGGCTCGCCGGCGCGCAGCGAGGCGAGGGTTGGGGGCTGCGAGGAGGAAGTGTTGTCGAAGCCGGAGATGATGGAGGATGTTGGGGAGGAGCGACCGCGGCGGGCTGAGGACTGCGGGTAGCGCGATACGTAGGTGCCTGCTACGGACATGGCGGAGGGGTCGAAGGCGTTTGTGGCTTCTTGCTGCACCTTTTCGAGATCGGCTTCGAGGGTTTCGTTTAGGGTGCGCGACTTCTCGAGGGAGGTGTTTGTTCGGGAGAGGTCGTCCTGCAGGGCTGCGAGGCGGCTTTGCAGGTCTTGGTGCGAGACGCGCAGGACGGTGAGCTCGTTGCTGAGCTTTTTGTTGCGGGCTAGGAGGAGCTGCTCGAGGGTTTCGCCTTTGCCTTTGGCGGACCCGTTTTGGGAGAGGGCGAGCTCGGTGGCCTCGTCGTCATCGTCGCCGGTTGCGAACTCGATCGACTGGGGATGGATGGTTAGCTTGGGTTGGGGGTGGGAAAGGGGCACAATCATACTTTGAGGACTTCGAGCTCCTGCTTGACGTTTTCGTAGTCGCTCCATTTCTGGACCTTCTCACGCAGCGCCTCCTTCTCACTCTTGAGGGATTTGATCTCGCGCTCTAGGCTCCGCGTCTCCGTCTCCAGACGTGTTTGTTTCGAGTCTTTTTCAAAGCGAGCGTTTTCGAGCTTGCGTAGGAGTGACGAGTTCTCGGATCGCAGTCTCAGGACGGCTGGGTCGTCTTCTACGTGTCCCTGCTGGGCTGGCGCCGATGCAGACTGGGCGAGCTCCAGACGCAGGCGCTCGTTGCGTGCCTCGACTTCGGCCAGGCGGTGGCTTGTCCTCTCCAGCTCTGAGCTGACAATCTCGAGCTCTGCCGCCGTGGCGCCCCGCGTGCCCTCTGCGTCGGCATTTCCGCCTTCGCCCAGTCTTTGCGAGACCTCGTAGCTGGCCTTGAGCTCCTTCAGCAGGCGGTCCTGGCTCTCGACCTTTTCGTCCAGGCTCTTCTCCTTGGCCTCCCAGTTGTCCTGCTTCTCGCTCAGGACTGCCGACCACGACGCCTCGACGTCCTTTATCTTGGTGTCGCGCGTCTCCTCGAGGGTCTTGCGTGCGGTGCGCTCCTCCTCGAGCTTCGTCTCTGCGTCGTCGAGCTGCGAGGTCAGGGTCGCGACGGTGTTCTGCAGGCGCTCGTTCTCGGCGGTGAGCTTGGGCACAATCTCCTCGGCGGTCACGAGCGAGTCGACAGAGGCTTCGAGGAGGGGGTAGGGGTCGGGGGCCTCGGCGAGGGGCGAGTAGAGCTGGAAGAAGGCGGCCTGCACCGACTTGGACTGGTTGGATATGAGGTCGATGAAGTTCTGGTAGGCTGCGAGGGTCAGCACAGCACCGCGCAGTCAGGTGCACCGCAGCATGCCTACACTTCAGGAGGGCCTTGATGTCGGTGAGCTTGCTCGCGTCGTCGAGCTTGCGGAAGTCCTTTGTCTTCTGGGCGAGGTCCTTGCGCTGGGTGAGGGTGTCGCGCTGGTAGGCGACGAGGTCCGAGGCGGCCGTGTCGAGCTGCGGGACCAGCGTGGTGAGATCGATGTCTGGCGCAGTGTGAGCTGGGTGTGCGTGCGCGCGGCGGCGGGGACAGACGTACTCCTCCACGCCCCGATGGCCTTCTGGAACTTGTTGTCCTCTGCAGACTCCCCGCCCGCGTCGCCGTCCCGCTCGTGCTCATGGCGGGTCGCGTCCGGGGCCGGTCTGTCGTCGAAGTCGATTCCGCCCTCCATGGCTGCGCGTCAGCCGGGCACTCGGTCTGTGTCTGGCACACAGTCTCTGTCTGGCGGGGAGTGGTTCGTGATCACACGGGCGCATACGTGGCCATGGAGTGCGAGGGCGGCGTGCGACGGCTTCGACGAAACTGGGGGACTCGCATGTGGACCGATTGGCCGGGCGCATCGTCAACGGCGGCCGCGGCGGACCAGGCTGCCACCACGCACCACCACTCCTCCACCATGCATGCACCCGGCGTGTCGAGTGCATAGCCAGCCATGGCGCCCGTGACAGTCCCGAACAATGGCAGCCCAAGTGACCGCGCGCCCACAGCCCCAGGACGGCTCCTTCATCCTGCGCAGGCTGGTGTCGGACCTGCCCTTGTCCGCCGACGGGGGTGCTGATGTGCACATAACCTGCGTCGAAGTGTGGAGTATGTACTGCATCTACTGTCTCGAGCTTCACCTCGACTCTCGCTGATGGCTCGCCAGACGGCAACCTCTACGTGGGCACCTCGGCCGCCGAGATCCTGCACTTCGTCCTGCTCCCGCCAGACCCCAGCGATGCCTCGGAGGAGCCCACGGCCATCATCGCCTCGCGCCTCGAGCCCCCCCACAACGACGCCAACGGGCCCGGCGTGCAGCAGATCCTGCTGCTCCCGCGCGTCAACAAGGCCTGCATCCTCTGCAACAACACCCTCTCCATCTACTCGCTGCCCGAGCTGAGCCCCGACTCGACCTTCAAGCCCATCTCGTGTCTGTGGGTGGGCGGCGTCGACCTGAACGAGGACGACGACGAGTCGGCTGGGCGCGGTGTCGTCGTCGTCATTGGGCTGAAGAAGCGCCTGCGACTGGTCCAGATATCCGAGAACTCTCCGCCCAGGGCCCTCAAAGCGATAGAGTACGGCGGCTGCTTGACATCGGTCAGGCGTGATGACTACTCGTGCGCCGCCGATGCCCACTCGTATGCGCTGCTGGACGTCATGCACCAGCAGAAGATTGGCCTCTTCCCAATCTCTTCGCTGGATCCAGATGTCGGAGACGTTGGCGGAGCTGCCGAAACCCTTGCCACCGTGTCTGCCGGCCCCTCTAGAAGCGTCTCCACGGCGAGTGCCCATCCGCAGTTCCAGGAGGAGCAGCGCGGCCACAGTCGCAGCACGAGCTTGAATATTCTGGGCGCCAGGGGACTGACATCTCGGACACCAAGTCCACGCCCTCCAGCGCCGCGATATGGCTTCGACGTGCCCGAGTCACTCTCGCGGACCGCATCCCCAGCCCCCAGTCGCTCGCCAGCTCGACCACCGAGGGGAGAGCCTCACAGTAGAACGTCCAGCCAGTCGCGACCTCAGTCTGACAAACTGCTGCCGCTCCCGCCCTCAGAAGAACGCACAAGTCAAGCCGAACAGCCCCCACCCCCACCGCCCTTCGTCCCCTTGCGACCCCACATCGCATCTCCATCCCCGAATGAGTTCTTGCTCACCGTCGGAACCACTCCGTCCGAGCAGGGAGTGGGCATGTTCGTCAACCTAGACGGCGACATGTGCAGAGGAAGCATACAGTTTAGCAGCTACCCCGACGCCATCATAGTGGATGGGTCAGGCATCGACTTGACTGCGTCTATGGGTCCGGATATGGATGCCGAACCAGGCTACGTCTTAGCAGCTGTCCATCGAGAGGAGAATGATAGAGTCTCGTATGGAGTTGAGATCCAACGATGGGACGTGGACGCTGGCACTGACGAAGCTGACAAGGAGTGGCTAAATCTCAGCTCACTAGGACTCACGTCACAAGAGATAGGGACCCACATCTCGACACCCCTGGGTATGCGTACGGTCGTGCAGCCTTACGACCTAGTCCTGTCTGAGATTGGAGCAAAACTCTCAGTAAAGCGTTTACGGTTGTCTCCTGCAGACGGCTCAGCTGCAGAAGACGAAACCAAACACGTCGTGACGGCACAGGAACAGGCCGACCTCGATTTCACCCAGCGGCTTTCGAAGCTGCAAACACAAAACGTGCTGTGGGCAGGGAACCAGATCTGGTGGACCGTTCGCAACCCGCTCGTAACACGCTTGGATTCTCGATTGGAAGCGGCACAGTCTACACCCACGGGCGACGGGCTGCGCATCCAGCCTAATCGAGGGATTGTCGAAAGAGTGCTAGGCGACATTCGAGGCCAAGAACCACGCAATGAGTCGGACTACCTTAGCCTCATCTATATCCGTCAAAAGGCGTCGGTACTGCTCCTCATGGATGTTGTACTGCGCACTCAATCAAACATCATCATCTTCGAGAATGAAAAGCGCATCACCGAGCAAGCCTTGGTTGAGGGTGAAGCAGATCCGAGAGTAATCTTGAGTCTACTACCAGTTTTGAACCAAGAGGTCGTGCAGGGGTCGGAGGGGATACAGATATCCGGCGGTGTCACGTCGCTTGTAGAAGAGTTCTTGCGGCAGAACAACCTCTCAGTCATGCCGACCACTGTCAACGGATCGTTCGGCGAAAATTTGCTTCCCCTTATGAAGAGGTATCTCCAGTTTTGGAGGAGGAGAAAGGGCATGGCTAGCGTGACAAACGACCCCTGTGTGTTTCAAAGTATCGACGCCGCGTTGCTGCACATCCTCTTACTGCTCGATGAAAGCAGCCCGGAAGGGACCTCCAGCCCAGGAACCCACCGAGCCGAATTGTACGAACTAGTCGACAAGGAAGTTGAATGCTTCGACCGTGCCATCGAGCTGCTCGAACAGTTCAAACGTCTCTACGTCTTGAGTCGTTTGTACCAGAGCAACTGCAAGGCGTCAATCAAAGCATCAAAAGTGCTCGCGACCTGGAGGCGAATCCTAGAAGGCGAGCCAGACGCAGGCGGCGAGTTTGTAGACGGAGAAAACGAGGTGCGGAAATACCTCTCGCGCATTCGAGACCAGGCACTCGTCGAAGAATACGGCGCTTGGCTGGCGAACCGCAATCCCCAGCTCGGCGTGCAGATCTTCGCCGACGACCACAGCAGGGTCAAGTTCGAGCCCACACGCGCTGTCGCCCTCTTGCGGGAGCGGGCCCCCGGTGCCGTGAAGGAGTACCTCGAGTACCTCGTCTTCGGCAAAAAGGTACACACACAACAATCCCCCTCCCTCCAAATCCAAGTAAAGCAACCCAGCTAACCACCACCCAGCACACGCAATACGTCAACGAGCTAATAACCCACTACCTCGACACCGTCATAACAGAACTCGAATCCCACCCCACCTCCCGCGCCACACTCTCCCAAACCTACGCAACCTACCGCATCCTCGCGCCCCCAAAACCAACATACCACCAATTCATCACCGACAACGCGCCCCCAGCCCCCTGGTGGCAAGCCCGCCTCCGCCTCCTCCAACTCCTAAGCTCCACCCACCCCACAACCTCCTCCACCTACGACATCGCCGCCATCCAAGCCCGCCTCGCACCCTTCTCCCACGACCTCACCTCAGAAATGATCCTCCTCCACGGCCGCCAGGCAAACCATCACCAAGCCCTCCGCCTCCTAACCCACCACCTCGCAGACTTCGACTCCGCAATCGCTTACTGTCTGCACGGATACCACGCCCTCTCCCCGGACCCGCACCCCTCCGACCCGCCATCCCGCGCCCAGCAATCAGCGCTCTTCAACGCCCTACTCGCGGAGTTCCTGCGCATAGACGACGTTGCGCAGCGTGTGCAGCGCACGAGCGAACTTCTGGATAGATTTGGTGCGTGGTTTGATGTGGGGGATGTGTTGGCGCTTGTGCCGGATGGGTGGAGTGTGCATGTTTTTTCGGGGTTTTTGATACGCAGTTTGAGGAGGTTGGTGAGGGAGAGGAAGGAGAGTGGGGTTGTGAGGGCGTTGAGTGATGCGCAGAATTGTGGGGTTGGGGGGGAGGTGGTAAGGGTTAGGGAGGGGCTGGGGAGTGGGTGTACGGTGGAGATGTAAGTGTTAGGTAGTTGTTTGTGGGGGGTTTGAAGGTAGGCTATTTCGTGTGTTTGTGCTAGATTATACATATGTACCGTCTATGACCTAATACTCAACGAGAATCAACCTCTCCCGCACACTCTCCGGTAACTCCTCGATGCCAACCAAGCCCATCCGCACCGCATCACCCCACACAAACATGGCCCTATCCTGCGCAAAAGCCAGATAATCAAACTCATCATCCTCCTCCTGGTCGTTGAAAAGCTCAGCCTCCCTTTCCGCACCATCCTTTCCACCCTCTGCCGCCTCCCCACCCACGGATCCATTCTCGCTGTGCTTCTTCTCAGCGACCACGGCATCGGCGGCAGTCCCATCATTAGCGACTGCAGCAGCAGCAGCTTTCGCCTCCGCGTCAAAGTCCGGCAAACCCGGAACAGCAGCCTGCACAATCCCCCACGCAACCCACTGCGCCGAATTAGCCAGCCGCCAAAGCCTCGTCTCCGCCATAAGACGCCGCGCTTCTTCTTCCGTCTGGCGCTCCGCCTCGAGCTCCTGTTCCTGGAAGAAGGACTTATCGCCTGGAGGCGCGCGGGAGTCGAGCATGAACGCCGAGATGGAGTTTGGTGTTGCGGTCGCGGTAGCTGCGAGAGTAGTTGTGCTGGTTGAGGAGGGCAGGGGGCCAAGGTGTGGGGTCGGCGGGTTTGAGGCTGCGCCTGGGGCTTTGTAGTTTGGTGTGTGGCCTAGGTAGGTGCGGAGGAAGCGGTGCTGTTCGTCGGCTGTGGGGTAGTATTTGTCGTTGCATTTCCAGGATTGGGTGGCGTCGTGGTAGTTGTATGTCCATTCCGTCTATATAGGTGTTAGTAAATAAGGAAAATGTCGGATTTGACATGCGGCAGCTGCTGGAGCAAGGGGAGGAAGAAGAATTATGTCTTACGAAGTGGTTGGCAAATTCTAGACCGGGTAGGTTTGCGTTTGCGTATTCGAAGTCGATGACTACGAGCTGCTTGTGCTGGTTTCCTGGAAGTAGAAGCGGTGATTCGCCCTCAGGCATCATGCGGAGGATGTTTCCATACTGCGTCTGTTGCGCGGTCGTATCAGTTTCTCTTCTGGCCTGCACCCGCGGAAAAAAACCGACTTACATCGTTGTGGGAAAACACCAACCGCTCATTGATCTTATCAATGCCACCGTACTGCTCCTCCAACCATACCCTGTATTTCTCGATGATCTTCCTAAACATGGGCCACTCGAGGCCGCAGACCAGACCCCTCTTTTTCCACTTATCTGCCGGAGACAGAGGAGCGTTTGGATCCGTCTCGAGAACCTGCTGATCAAGCCACATGCCGATTTGTTCACATCGATCAACCCACTTGTCCCAGTTTTGCCAAACGAATGGACCGGCTACTCGCTCCTTCGTCGTGAGATCAATCCCTTCGTGAAGCTCTCGCATACGCTTGGCAATCTGCTTTGAGGTTTCTTCGTTGCGAAGCTCCTTCGCAGTCAGTGGCTTTGCGTGGAGGAATTCCTCAAAGCGTCCGTTGCTGAATGTGCCAAGTAGACGTGGACCGATACGCTTGCGCACAAGTCGGTACAGAATCTGTAACTCGGAGTCGCGGTCAATCAGATGCCCTACATGAGGACCGTAGATGCGTAGAAGGAGTTTGCTAGAAAAGGTCAGTCTGGGCAAGATAGCGACTACACAATAACTCACGGTGGCGGGTTCTTCGGCTTCGGTATGCCGTCTGCGCTATCTGCTTGAGATGGAAGGTCCTTAGGAGGGAACACGGTGTAGACAATATTCGTCAGACCACCGCTGAGCCTCTGTACGTCGAGCTGGCTGCTCATCTCCGTGGGTACCTTTCGCCATCCCTTCAACTTCAAAGTGTGAGTCAAGCGAAGAATCTCAAACTTGAATGTGTCCCAGGCTTCTTTCTCTTTTTGCGCTCGCTTCTTGGACTCTTCGTCGTCTGGTCCAGATTCTGAGTTTTCCATGGTGTATCCCATAGTCTTTGAGATGTCCAACACGGCGTCACACCCAGGAACGAGCTGATCGACCGAGTCAAAGTGATCTGAGTCAGTCGATATGATGGAATGCCGCTTCAAGCCAGCTGAAAGTTTACGGTTGTGAGATGGCTTCCTCTTCGCGTCAACTGGCCTGACCGATATTGACTTCTCCAGGATATTCGCCAATTCTTCCAGCGCCACAGAGCCTAGAGACGACTCTGATCCGCTGCGTCCTCGAATCTCAGCAGACTGGTCAGCGCTCTCAACTGTCAAATCCTTCGCAGGTTCGACTTCTTCGGCGATGTCCTTGGTGCCAGCCTTTCGCTTTGCCTTTCGTGCAGTGCGCCTCGTTCGTTCGTGCTTGAGCCACGTTCCGACCTGCTTCAAAAGACCTGCGTGTGCATGATGGCCATGTGAGGCGGTTTCTGCCGAGCTGTCTGAGAGGAGAGAAGATAGCGATGGGTTGCCTTCGACACTCGGTGGCCTGAGAGAGCCCAGACGTTCAATTGATGGTCTGCCGGATAATCGCTTGCCCTGGATGCTTGCAGCATATTGCCTGGCAGACTTGTCAAGATCTAGATAGTCTTTTTGCTCGAGCTCCTTGTTCTGGCCGATCGACATTGGAGAAGCACTCTCATCGGGAAAAGAGACGACTGCGAAAGTGAGATAAGCAGTGATTCGAAATGTAATTCATGACGTTGTAATATCGCCCAATGCGCCAGCTCTTGCTAGTCAATATGTACACTACAGCACAGAATGTAAAGTTCTGAATGCTCTACATGAGATAATCATGAGAATCAAAAATTGCTTCCCAGTAACGTCATATGCATCTGGCTCTTGAACTGAACCAGTCATCTGCAATCATGACCAGGGTCCATCAACCTCGATCAATCGCGCAAGAGAACGTCCAAGCAAATATTGTGATTGATCCAGTGTAGTCGCATGGGCATTGGAGGCATGGGCAAAGTCTGGTAAGGGAGAGTGAACGAACCTTTGGTTGCAGGGCGGGATGCCGAGCCCCCCTCCATGGTGTTGCTGCGGGATGGCTCTGGAGAGGGGTGTCTATCCACTCGTTCATTGGAGGATGCCATGGTGGGGTATATTGCGTGCGCACTCTGTTACGAATGCGATAGGCCAGATTACCTTTGGGACAATACGGTACCAAGACCGTCGAGTCTGGAAATAACCGTGTCTGGTGTGTGTTGTTAGGGTTGATGGTGGTGGTACGGCGTCGATTAAGTAGAGGGGTAAGTGGACGCGAGCTCGCAGCCCCACGTGCTAGGACGATAGGCGGTGGTGAGTCGGAGCGCAAGGCAAAGGTGAGAGAATAAAAAGATGAAAAGGGACGGATAAGAGTGAGCAGCGCTGAAGGTTCAGCTAATGTCTGCCAGGTGTCATGTTCAAGTGAATTCGATCTTTGACCATGTTTTCCAGATAAGGTCGTTCAGAGACTGGCTTGGCGATCTACGTCAGGGCTACTTCCAGACAAAAGCAAGTAAATTTTGAAGATGGGGGTTTCTAGTTTTGGAACGGAGAAAGGTAACACTCTTGTGATGTAACCGCATGATTGGATGTCATGATCTATTCGTTACATCCCTAAATTACAGCTGCTTCACCTCGAGCGAGACATATTGTACCAGCTCGGACCCTAACGCCTTGCTACGATGCTCCATTCAAACCCAAATTATGTTTGAAAAACTCTCGTAATTGATTATCATACACCAAGCCCTTGATATACATACAAACTGGGCTTCAAACGTTCGCCTCGTTTCAGGCTGACAGAAAGAAAATAGCTCATGCCGCCCACTCCACAGTTTCCAAAGCGAGCATGACCAACAGTAATGTTGAGGGCAGAATCCAGACAACATAACTTTGGAACAATATCCTCGACATGGCACCCATGTAGACATTGTTGATCTGACAAATCTGGGCCAGTTGCAGCGCAGTTGGGGCACCACTCAAAAGGAAGCACACGATGATGAAGATTGGGTCGTCCAAGATGCTCACCGGGACGTACTTGGCGGTCAGTGCAAGCATTGGAGCCATGAAGATGGTTGGGATGAGCATGCGGCTGACCAAAGAGGCAATCACAAGATTCCTCTCGACTTTAGGGTCCTCCATAGAGTGCTGGTCTTCCTTGGGCAGAGTGTTACGAGCTAGATTGGCACCCAGAACGACAAGAATGAGTGGAACCGCAACTTGCCCACTTTGGTTGACAGCGCGCGTGACCGAATTGCTGATGAGTGTTCCAGGGTCGAAGAAAAGATGTTGTAGTGAAGGTACTGAAGCGACGATAATAGCCACCAACATTGCCCAGAGAGGCGGGTTCATGAACTCCCAGAGACCACCCAAAAACCTGGCGGTCACCGAATAGAACTTGGAGAGTGGTTGCTGGAGCCATTTGGGCAAAGTCTGGAAAACACGACGTCCAGCATACGCGATCTTGTCAGAAACCGACTTTGCAGATTGCTTGATTGCCATTTTCGTCCTCTTTGGCCATCCTTTAATGCCTTTGGGAATGTTGTCCTGTTTATAGGGATCGAAAGAGCCGTTCGCGTCTCCGTTGGTGTTCCCGTTGAAGTTGCCGGCTCCTCTGACGGTGACATTGCCATTGGTCGGTGTAACAAAATCAGTAGAGGCTAAAACACCCTCACGATCGGAAAACGAGTCTGTATCGCTAGCATCTGTAGAGTTGGTGTAACTGGTGACGTCCCCGGATTCGTAGTCGGAATGCGAATCGTCAAGCAGACCTTGTGCTTCGTGATCGCGGTATTCTCCGCTCTCTAATGCGCTACGTATGCCACCATCTTCGTTGCTATATGTACTAGCGGGAGCCAGCAGAACATTGAAACCCCACGTCCATCGAACCAACTGGCCAAGCTGTTGGAAGATGAGAAGGTAAAGAATACCTCGCGCAGCAACTTCATTATCGTTGTCACCGGGAAGTTTGTCCCAATGGAGGCCTGATAGTGTCTTCGAAAGGGATATGACGAGTGAAATGGGTAACGAGTTCGAGTTTCCAAAGACCTTTGTATGTCAGCTATTGTCGTGTCTATACATGCGATAAGTGCGACATACTGCCATTGCTACCAGGAAGTTCGATGCCCTCTTCTTGAAACCACATATCCGTGATACGATGAGCGCTGCGAGGTAGGAGACGAGTGTTTGGACGACAAAGATGAGTGGGATAACAGCCAGATCGGACAGCTTGTCGGCGGTCAATTGCGACGCGAGTTTGGTAAAAACTGGCGCAGATAGTTAGCTAATATTCGAGGATGGTTTGGCGTTTCAACAGATACGCGCTCCAAGGCCTGGGAACGTACTAAGACAAGGTGTGAACAGCTGCGTATTCAGATTCGCCAGGAACTTCTGGTTCTCTGCGTCGAAGTGGCCTGTTCTTGCGACGATGTAGCCAGGTAGGCTGACACAGACGACCTCCATGACTGCCTCAAAAACGAGTAGCGTGAGGTTGGCGAAGTCGGGATGCGAGCTATGGGGAGCCTTGTTCCTGAACACACCCATGAAGCCATTGTTGCCATAATCGTAGGATTGGGAGGCCATCGCGACAAAGTTGGATGGGTTGGCCTGGAGGTCGCGCAGGCGCAGGGCCTGGGGGCCAGAGAAGAAGGGCATCTTTCAACGCGTGTTGTGTTTCGGAAGGAGCAGACGTCGATTGGGAAAGAGCAAACGATGGGAGCGTCTTGTTTTAGCTAGCCGCGGAGATCAATCGACGTCACAGCACGAAGCGCGAACCACGAAACGGGGGCGCGCGATAGGAACAGTGATGGGTTTTACAAACAGCACGGTCGAGAGCGCGCTACCCTGCGCGAGGCTATGGCGACGCAGATTACAAAAGCACCTAGATGCGCCGCTGAGTTCACAAGCCAAGCAATCCAACGCATAAACAATAAGGACGACTCGCAAGACTAGGGTGCATTGGGCCTGGGCTCGGGTTGCGGTGCCCTGCGCCACAACCAACAGCGCGTTTGGGTTTCTGGGCGTGGCTGCAGTGTCATCGAGAATCGCATGGAAATCGATCGCGGACCCTCAGTAGTATGCATGCCAGGGCCAGACGAGTACAAGAGAGGAAGAGCTCTGCACCACTGATTTCATTATTCACCCTTTGCGGGTGCTGATCCCCTTTTCCTGCTGCACTCCGTCAAAACCTGCTGTTGTGTGTTTCTTATTCCTCCGCGTTCCAGGGTTCAGTCTTCTTGCGTCAAAGGAGGCCAAGCTTGGCCTACGCTCACCCAAGCGACAAGAGCCAGACCGGGCAAGAAAGCAGGAACCGCATCTGCGCAGCATCCAGTACCGTTGCTTGCTGCAATTCCTGTATCCTCCTGTCGGACGCCTCCCGACTTCCATGGGCGTTTGGTACTCGGCATCATCGTGAAATCACCCCCGAGTCAAGGCCTAGTCGATAGCCTGCAGCATATTGTACGTCACCGGCACCCGGCCTTCACGTCAGCCCCACAACACACGTCGTCCACAATTCCACGGATCTACTGCGATCACCGCGCGAGCTCCCAGTGAAGCCCTCCCACCACCTGACACCCACTCACTCATTCTTATTGTTATCATCTCGCTCCGCCCCTTCCTCTCGCCTGTTGACCCCGCACTGCCTGAGGCGGCCTCATATCCAGCCTCACCCTCCACAATGGACTCCCCCGCGTCCACCCCAGACGGCGAATTCGACGCCGACACTCCCTTTGGCTCGCCTTCCCCAACCTCTCCTCCTGCGCCGTCGAGTCCTACTTCCAATGCCTCTGCCAACTCGTTGTCGGTTGAGCGCCCCGCCGTGCGTTCTCATTCCACTAGCGGCGCAACGCCAGGCATGACGCCTTCCTCTACGCCCTTGGGCAACATCAATGCCGCAAGAAACCCTCGCCCGACCGCCGTCCCGACTATTTCCAGCCGAGGCAGCGGCCTGAATGTGTCACAAGATATCTTGGCGAGGATACAGGCTGTGCACCTGGGGCGAAAAGGTGCCCCGCCAACTGGCTTGCCGGGAAGAGGGCCAAATATGTCACAAAGCCCTGCTCCCGGTACGGGTCCTGCTCCCCAGCGAGGTCCTATGTCGCCTGGAGGTGCCATGATGGGAGGCGTACCTCCCAACTTCCGCATGCCTCCAAACGTAAGACCGTCCCCGCCCAACTTCCAGTCAGCGCCGGCTGTACCTGGCCGAGCAGGCAGCGGACCTAAGCTGTCTCTCGCCGAAAAACGCGGCCTCAGACTTCCTGGCGGTATGCCTGGCGCACCAAGCATGGGTAACAGCCCCGCACCCCCTGCTGGCAAGAAGAAGCCTGGTCTTACTCTGTCGCAAATGAACGGAGATCAGCCAAAGGAAGGAGAAGCGCCTAAGAAGCAAGAGACTATGTTGGAGAAATACTCTAATTTCATCGACACAAAGACTGGTAGTCTGACATTCAAGGGCAAGGCGACGCTGAACTCAGACGGTGTGCAATTCGCAGGCGGTACCTCCTTCAATATTTCCCTGGACGAGGTCGACACCCTGGATGAACTCGGCAAGGGTAACTATGGTACGGTATACAAAGTCCGACACAGCAGGCCACGAATGAGGAAACCAGGCCAAGGTTTGGCAGGCAACAAGGCCGCGCCAGGCCCACAGAACGCCGAAGATCTCGAACCAATTCCAGCGACAACAGTACCCTCAGGAGGCACCGGAATCGTAATGGCGATGAAGGAAATGAGACTCGAGCTCGATGACTCCAAATTTGCGAGTATCATTATGGAGTTGGATGTGTTGCATCGCTGCATCTCCCCATATATTGTCGATTTCTACGGAGCGTTCTTCCAAGAGGGCGCGGTGTACATCTGTATGGAGTTTATGGACGGTGGCTCGATAGACAAGATGTATGGTGATGGTGTACCAGAGAACGTACTCCGGAAAATCACATTAGCCACGACGATGGGACTGAAGTCACTCAAGGACGAACACAACATCATTCATCGAGACGTCAAGCCAACAAACATCCTCATGAACACGAGAGGGCAAATCAAAATCTGTGATTTTGGTGTCAGTGGAAATTTGGTGGCAAGTATTGCCAAAACGAACATTGGGTGCCAGAGTTACATGGCCCCCGAACGAATATCTTCGGGCGGAGTAGCCCAAGCTGGTGCCAACCCTGGAGGTGGCACATACAGTGTGCAGAGCGACATTTGGAGTCTGGGTCTCACCATCATCGAGTGCGCATTAGGCCGATATCCATATCCGCCAGAGACTTACAACAACATCTTCAGCCAGCTTGCTGTAAGTATGCATGATCTGTTTGAGATGTTTATACTAACTCTATCCAGGCTATTGTCGATGGCGAACCCCCAGATCTTCCCGAGGAAGGATTCTCAGACGCGGCTAAGAACTTTGTACGCGGCTGCTTAAACAAGATCCCCAATCTACGACCGACATACGCCATGCTGCTTCAACACGCATGGCTCGCCCCCTTGGCTAAGCCAGCAACAATTACCGAAGAAGACGAAGAGGAGGTGGAAGCGGCGGCAGAAGCAATTGGTGGTGAAGCAGCTGGCGACCAGGGGCCAGCCCAGCCGATCGAACCCGTTCATGACAAAGAAGTGGCAGATTGGGTCAAAGATGCGATTGACAAGCGGAAGAAAGGACTCTTGGGCAAAGGCGTACCAAAGCCTGCACTACATGCTGCACCATTGGACGCAGTGTCAAGTCCTTCGGCGGATGGCCCGATTGGCCTAGATGCAGCCGCACCACCAGTAGCAACAGCGTAGAAATCACGACCGGATTCCTTGGTCAATCTGACAAGATCAAACTCAACTCTCAGCATCGTAGAGGTCGTTTTCTAAGCATTGTTTGTCGGATCTCGATTGGCTAGTTGCACGTGTTCTTCCACGAAGCTGCAACTAGAAATCTGACCAGCCTAAGCTGCTCTACTCTCAATGCAAAGAGTTTATGCTTTTCCGTCTTGTTTTTAGGCTCGAGTTTGAAGCCGTTCATTTTTCTGATTGAGGTGGGCTGAGCGGAAGTATTGGGGTTGGAAGAAGGTTGCAGTCGACGTGGCCTTTGGAGTTGACGGGCGTTCTTGTTAGTTCTACCGGCGCGTACCCATGTATGACTTCTGAACCTTGACTGCATAGCTGTTGGAATACTAGGTAGTCAAAACACACATACCTAGAAGAGTGTAGATCTTAGTACAGCTGAAACCATACAAAGTATCTTCTGTAGCAAACATGTGCAAGACTGACATGGTCTGGCAGCGTGGGTCAACGTGGGATCGGGTGACGTAGATGAGAGGCGCGCAGGCACGTGATCCGCTAAGATGTGGCTGACAGCCTGTCGGGCGGGAGGGAACACGGTGGTCGGAACTCTGGGTCATTGAAACGACGACTTTCTTTTCGCGACTTCGCCCGCCCTCACTCAGCAATGCGACACGTCTGAGATTCTGCGCCCCTTTCTCAACCTATGCACTGTCGCTGCAAATAAACGTATATTTCTTTGACGTCGCTCTCTACATTGCACCATCACCCAAGCCGTCCTTAGGGACTGTTGCCCAAGATGTCTGGGACAGATTACAACTACGATAGCGAGGTTTGTCTGCGCGCGCCCATGTAGAGGACATGCACTGACAAAGAGCAGGCCCAATTTTTCCCCTACTTCATCCTCACAGTCACAACACTAGTCACAGTTCCCGCCACGATCTCCTTCTTCCGGCCAAGTAAAGGTGCGCGTCTCTGTTCAGTGACACGTTGCTTCACGTCCTAACATGCAGACAGAGCTCGAGAACACCGGAACACGAATAGACTCTGATTTCACACCCGAACATGCCGACCTCATCCAAGGACAGCGAAAGAAGCAGAAGCGGGCCGAGAGGAGGATAAAGCGGGGGATTCTTATGCTGATTGGATGGGCGCTCAATGCTCTCATGGTTTACCTCATCATTGTCACGGCGCGGTCTGTAACCAAGATCTGGGATCCATATGAGGTGCTCGGTGTCTCACGAGTATGTATACCATTGCGAAATCTGGCGCTCAGAACGTGTTCTAACCGGCACATAGTCTGCGGACGAGAAAGCGATCAAGAAGCACTACCGAAAGCTTTCCCTATTGCTGCATCCTGACAAAGCCCGTGAGGACCCTGCGAAAAACATCACAATACAATCGATCAACGACCACTGGGTAGACGTTACCAAGGCATTCAAGGCCCTCACCGACGAGGAAATTCGCAACAACTACGTCCAGTATGGCCACCCAGACGGCAAGCAGAGTTTCAGCATCGGCATCGCGCTGCCCAAGTGGATCGTGACTGAGGGAGCCGGGAAATACGTTTTACTCATCTACGCGCTCGCGCTCGGTGTCCTTCTGCCATATATGGTTGGCAAATGGTGGTACGGGACCCAGAGGTTGACAAAGGAGAAGGTTCTCATCGCAAGCGCCGGCAAAATCTTCCGCGAGTATGAAAACGAACAGGGCGAGACTGGGGTCATCGGTGCTTTGAGCAGTGGAGAGGAGTTTAATGAAGTACTGGCCGGCAACAAAGCGGAAAGCGGTCTCTCCAAATTGGAGCAGAAGGTTCTGTCTGACAGTTCCGACTCGCTGGTTTCGCAGACACTCACCAAGAAGGACCGCCAGAAGTTGGACGACCAAGAAGACAGCCGCAGGCGGAAGGTCTTGACATTGTTGTGGGCGTACCTTGGCCGAGTTGAGCTTGACGATGACGCTTTGAACGATGGTAAGGATGAGAGATTCCTCAAATGAACGTTGATTAACAGTTCTTTTAGAAAAGTTTGAGGTTGCTCCTGTTGCTCTCCGACTAAACGATGCATACACCGCGATCGCACTGGCATACGGTAGTACCAAGGCTGTCCTCGCTGCATACCACACCTCACAAAGTCTCATTCAAGCCCTGCGACCAGGCGCTTCTCCGTTGGAACAATTACCTTATTTCACACCTGCAGTAGCTACCGCAGCCGAGGCAGAGCGCTCAAGAACACATTTGACCGTCCAAGAATTCTTGCACCTTCCTGAAGAACAACGCAAGTCACGCGTGGTTGCACCTGGACTCCTCTCGCCAGAACAATACAGCACAGCACTGTCGGTAGCCTCGCGTATTCCTGTTCTTAACGTTGATGCGGCATTCTTCAAGGTTGTTGGAGAGCGTTTTGTCACTCCAAGCAGTTTGGTACAATTCGTTCTCAAGTGCCGATTCATCCCATCAGGCGCAACCAACATCCCGGAAGCCAACCCGAAGGATCTTCTTGATATTGACCCCGAGGAGGGAGATATTGCTGCCCTTACTGGACGTAAGAACGATCGCTCTGGCGAGAAGCCTATTCAGCCTCCCCTCGCACATGCGCCATACTACGCTCGCGACCATGCTCCTAGGTGGCATGTGTTCCTGGCCGATAGCAAGCAGGGTCGTGTCGCTGTTCCGCCTTTTACATTCTCGACGTTCGACAAGCCAATCCTCGATGAGAGTGGCAACCCTACGTTCGACGTACAGACGCTCAAGATGCAGTTTGGTGCCCCGCCTCAAGCCGGCAGCTACACCTTTGTCATGCACATGATCTGTGATAGTTACATCGGCATGGACACCAAGATGGAGGTGACACTTGTCGTTGAGGATGCCAGCAAAGCGGAGGAGGTGGAAGAGGATGGCGAGATCAGCGAACCTGACGAGGGTACGTCTTTCCCCTATCTCTTGAATGACTGTTGAGATGAACCACAAAACTAACTTTGTGACAGATACCATTGCAGGTCAGATGCGCACACTCAAGGGAGACGCGCCACTCAAGAAGCGGAGACAACATGACGACTCCAGTGACGGAAGCGATACCGAGGGTGATGTTGAGTCTGAGAGCGAAACGGATACCGATACCGACTCGGATGATGAGTAGACTTGCTTCTCGCTAAATAGAGAAGGTGTCAACGCTTGGGGATGGAGTTCTCGGGGACTGTACAATTGACTGGCTGACAGCGTGCGGCATTTTCAGGCGTTTTGAGCACCGTGGTATTCTTTTGCGGGTTCGGGGATTTCAAGACGACTCCAGGCGAGTGACTGGGTAGGGTAGGGTAAAGTAGTGGACATGGAATACGTGTGCATGTTCTTCAGAAGACTGTCCTCGAATGAAAGTGTGGTATTCGTTTAATCACTTGCTTTTTCAAAGCTTAAGCTGCTGCATACGTTGGCATGTGGCTTACCTTTCTTGTTTACCATAACGTAAGGTTTCAATACTCCCATTTTCAAATAAGACTACCTGCCTCACTGCATTCGTCATGTAAAAAGTGCCCTCTCGAACAATATATCATAACATATTTACAGATTTTAAGCTCACCATGGGTAAGAGTTGCCAAGCTGCTGGACCATCCGCTTTCCGTCGATCAGCAACTCTGGTTCACAACCTTTCCATGGTTCCCAACATGCGCAAGTAGTCACCACACAACTCCAGCGAATGACAAAATCCCAACACTCTGCTTTTCCGACGATAAGTGGGCCTGCGCCCTGCACCCTACACCGCACTATTTATGCGTTATAACCGATGGACAACCGTCATGCGTTTGCATATTCCCCGCCCAAGCGAGTAACGCTCGACATGCACCAGTTCGCCGCTTCAACGATGGCTCGGATAAGCATGTAACTAACTATATAGACACGAGGTTTCCAGGTTCCTCTAAACTCTCTCACTCTTGCATTCCATCTTCAGTTCCCGTTTTCAAAAGTCTTCTTGTTTGTGACGTGAGCCGAGTCCCCCAAACGCCGACAAGCGAAACGCGGGGAATATGGAGTCTGCAGACGCGGATTTAGAGAGGAGTTATTCCCGGGAGCGACAACGGCTGGGGGCTGATGGCCAGAAGATTGTTACCTCGCCGGTTGCGGTTGTTCATAGTGTTTCTTCGGAGAGTCGGAGAGGTCGTTGTACGTTTATTGTAACATTCAACCAATGTGACATATGCACCGCTGACGCATGTTTACAGCCGGAGAAGAAAACACTCATGCGGCCCAATTTGAATCTCTTGGGAAAGATGGGGATAGCAATTCAGATTTGGGACGCGAAGATGATAATGAAAAGATAGTTACGGAATCGCCTGCCTCCGTGTCGAGAACAGGGTCACCAACTGGTGTGCCCAGTCCAACGGATGGGATACCACCAAAGAGACGTACCATTCGTTTCGAAGATGGAGATCCTGAGAACCCGAACAATTGGCCCAGAGTAAGCTTTGATCTTTCTGCTTCATATGAAACCACCTCACTGACAGCAACCTCGTAGAAGAAGAAGATCTACGCCATCTTCGTAGCAATCATAAGTGGTAAGTACTACAACATTAGTATTGAAAACACAAACTAAACAAATATCTAGTCATAAATAGTACCATGACTTCTGGGTTAGTCCCCCTCAACTACATGATTATCTCGTACGCGGTCCTGACACTACACAGTCTCGCAGCAGGAGCAGCAGGCCCTATATCCCGTCACTTCAACGAGACCAACGAGTACAAGCTCATCTTGCCGACCTCCATATACCTTGTAGGCTACGTCTGTGGTCCCATGGTATGGGGTCCTCTGTCCGAATCCTATGGTCGCAAAGGCACTATGATCTACTCGTACGCGCTCTTCACGGTATTCTCCATCGCGTCTGCTGTCTCGCCCAACTTCTCCGCCTTGGTTGTCTTCAGACTGTTTGCCGGTATTGGGGGGAGCTGTGCGATCAGTGTTGTTGGAGGAATATGCGCAGACGTGTATCATAATCCTATTAGCCGGGGCAGGAGCATGGCGATCTTCATGGTGAGTGTTCATCATGCGTTGAATAAGTTCGGATTATGGCTGACGCGTAACAGGCTGCAACTACATTCGGTCCCATTCTTGGGCCTCCCGTTTCGGGCTTCATCTCGACTGTGTCGTGGAGCTGGGCTTTTTGGATCGGGGCCATCTTTGCAGGCGTGTCATCGCCACTGATTCTCTTGTTCCCTGAGACATATGGCCCGGCCATCCTTAAACGTAGAGCTCAACGATTGCGCAAGGAGACAGGGGATGAGAGTATCGTTGCGCCGATCGAACTGGAGAAGACCGATCTCAATCACATTGTCACTGTAGTGTTGACTAGGCCACTACGCATGATTTGCTTCGAGCCGCTGGTTTTGTTCACATGTTTGTATCTGAGCTATGCATGTAAGTCACACACGCATGCATCCCACCAATCTACTCAGAGAGGGAAAATACAGTGAGCTAACGAGTATTTCCATAGACGCCATCTTCTACAGTATATCCCCCTTACCCCCCACCTTCCATCCAAGAACCGTAAAACTAACATCCCCTCAGTCTACTTCCAATCCTACCCCGTAATCTTCACAGGCATCTACCACTTCAACGCCGGCGAGCAAGGCCTAGCCTTCCTGCCCATCGGCCTCGGCGCCCTCATCTCAGCCGGCATCTACCTAACCTGGGACGCGATCCTAGGGCGCGCACAAAAAGCCCACAAGCCATGGGCCAAGAACGAAGAAATGCGCCGCTTACCACTGGCATGTATCGCGGGTCCCTTCTTCGTCATCTCCTCCTTCTGGCTCGGCTGGACGGCGCGCGAGAACATCCACTGGATCGTGCCTGTCCTCGCTGGCGTGCTCTTCGGTATGGGCTATCTGTGTTTGTTCATGGCGCTGCTGAATTACCTCGTCGATGCGTATGAGATCTTCGCCGCGAGTGCTATGGCGGCGGCGTCGTTGTCGCGCAGTAGCTTTGGGGCTGTGTTGCCGTTTGCGGCGAGGCCTATGTATAGAGCGCTTGGGGTTGCGTGGGCGACTAGTTTGCTGGGTTTCTTTAGTTTGGCGCTGTGTGTGGTGCCGTTTGCGTTTTTTAGGTGGGGTGGGAAAATGCGCGAGAAGAGTAAGTTTTGCCAGCACCTTAGGGCGAAGAAGATGGAGGAGAAAGCGGAGAGGGACGCGGAGAGGGAGGCAGAGGGGAGAAGTAGTGGGGGATTACAAGGCATGGTTCAGGCTGATGGTGGGAAGGAACAGGTTTGAACTCCTGTTTGAAACGACATGTATTTTGCATTCCTGGCGCTGTGGATATATTTGTTAGGTTAGCAGATGGTCATGTAGAGGAATAGATTTTCTTGACAAATCCTCCAGCGGATTGTACTTATCCAGTCATATCATTATTTTGGGGTTATTGTTTTAGTGTTATAGAGCATTCATGCTTGTTGTGCAAGCAGATAGACGCAACACAGTAAGACTCTAGTATAGTAACTCAATGTAGAAGCTGATACCCAGCCCCTTTGCACACAGTAAACATCAGTGAGAGTACACAGTAATAGTAACAGAGAGCTAATCAACCGTCTCTTGACGACTGGCTGCTAAATGTACCAATGCAGACGCGTGTTCTACAGCCCAGGCAGCTATTAATCGAAGTTTGGTTCGGCTTTGAGTCGTGAACCGTGGTTGAGTCTATCCAGTAATACATATGTTCACACATCATTTAGTATTTCTTTCCCACTGTCCACAACTTCCACTCCTTTTTTGTAGCCGCCAACTCCACAGGAAGCTACCTGGTCCTATCTCCCAATCCACTCTATCTGGCCGTGCTACCCATATTCGTCAGCACTCGTTGGCCAACATGGTCCAACTTGTCGAAACGCATCATCGAGACGCTCATGTCAAAACCGTGCCCATCACACCGAGAAACATCTCGCGCAAGAAAAGTTGTCGCGAGCAGATAGCGCCTGAAACAGAGCTAGATCTCTCTCCCCTGCTCGCCAAAGTCTTACGAAAGCGTAGCTGACTCCTCCTAGCATGGAAGAGAAGCCAGACAAAAGTAGCAGCAATCAGATGACTACCAGGACAAACAATCCGGTGCCACCAAACGCGGAGAGAAACCGTAGCATGGCACAAATTGCTCTTGAGAGCGGAACAAGCTACTCCAAGTATCCTCTGCGGATATTCGAAAAGGTGATAATCGTCGGATCGCCTGTTCGCTTAAGGTTGGCCATCATCGTTCCATTGCTCAGTGGCCTCCACGTATCTTTGCGGTACGTTTGGCGCTCTGAGCGTTAGTCGAGTGGGGTCTTCCGAGAAAGTATGCTGCATACAATCCGTGGTGAGGTTTGATGATGGTGACTTTCGAGAATTCTGCGTCTCTTCGACGTCTTCTCTCCACAGGCTGCGTCGCGGATGGGGAACATCCCGCCCAGATCAAGCAGCAGCTGGTCTTATCTAGGAAGGCCACCAACACAGGGCGAAGACGACGGCGTTTAGAAAGAGGGAAGTAGGCGTCCTCCAAGGCAAGGTAAATCGTGCTCCGTCCGCAAACCGACATGGAATCCCTCAAGCCGTATTCGACGCCAAAGCAAGAGCCTGCAGCGCCTCCCGCACCGCCTCAGTCGCCGCATCATCCCTCTCCAGCCCAGCCCTCTGCGTCCGCGCCGCCGTCGCCGCCGCCGCCTCAGCCCTCCTCTCGAGCCCCGCCCTCGCCCCCCTCCCAGGCCTCTTATACACCCTCTGCCTCGGCGCCGCAATCCTCGGCGTTACACTCCTCTCCCCCACACCCCCCAACCCCTCCTCCTCAAGAAACTGATTAAAAAACTGCAACGCAGGATCCAATTTCGGCACCCCCCTACAAACCCTGTACCCGCGCTCCAACAGTCTCTGTAGATTCACATCCACGATGCCGCGCAGCCTATCCCCCCCTTCCCCCCCGTCTTTCTTACTAGCATCTAGACTGAGATCGTCGAGCTGCATGTCCAAACGCACGTCGGCGACTAGGCACTCGGGACACACGTAGGGTTGCTCGGGCACGGCGACGCGGCAGTTGCTGCCGCAGCCGAAGTTGTGGTCGACGTGCACGCGGTGGTTGCAGGCTAGGTCGTGGTAGTTGGATTGGGGCGTGCAGGGGGTGTAGGTGGCGTGGAATTGCTGGTTGTAATTTGCCATGGTTTTTGGGGGGTTAGGTGGGATATGGGATTGGTGTGGGCGGGCTGGCTATATGTATGTGTATGGAGATGTTGGTTGGGGGAAAGGGAGCATTTCGAGGGAGGTTTGATAGTGGGGATGTTGGGCTGTGGAGGACATTGGAAATGGATCGGGTGACTGTTTGGGCGTCTGGAGAGAGGTGGGTTTGTAGCGTGTTGAATGGTTGATAGTCAGCTTGGCGTGATCTGCCCACTCGCACAGATCGCGGTACGGCTGATGTATCGCCTACTTCTGAATACACGCAATATATCCTACAATTTTTGCATCCTCCTCATCAAGTTCCTTCAAGGAATAGACAAGGCCCTTTGGCGCAATGGTAGCGCGTTGGTTTTCGGTTCATCTGAAAGTCGCCAAAGGTTGTAGGTTCGAGCCCTGCAGGGGTCGTTTTTTTGCGCGTTGGTGCTTCCTCGAGTCTCATGACTTTGTAGGAGCCCACAGATCGCTACTTTGTGAGATAGGAGAGGTGGTCTCCATTTTGTTCACTCAGACAATTGGTTTAAAGTAGTGTTGTTGTGTTTTTGCCTAATATATGCCCGCTTGCCTACTTCTTTTTTAGGCAGCTGTTATCCGGATACGAGTGTTACAAGTGACATGTATAGTTATCACTTTGACCTAACTACAGTTAAGAATACAATGGCAATATAGTACCTTTCATATATCATCTCAGACACCAAATGAGATTACTCAAAGAAGCCAAGATAGGCACAGCACAAGTGCTCCTAAGTGGCGGTGCAATATTCCCATAGAATGCACAACGAGGAGAGCACAACATCAGCCTGCTAGCCATGTAAACGGGAGAGGCAGATTACAGTACCCATGCAATTTCCCGTTCCCATCTCAATGACGATTACAATCCGCATATTGCCCACTTCACTCTGATCCGCACACTTGGTATGAACGCATGACAGCATAGCTGTGGAGAGATGAGGTACTGCCAATTAGAGACAAGAGCAAGCACGCGGGTACCTCCCAGTGACATGCATCATAGCAGCCGTTGACCCAACGGGCGACCGACCCTGTGTGGAAATTACGACTCGACATGTCGACGATCGTGTACCGCGGGCTTGAAACCGTCGTACCAGGAAGGCGACTCCCGCAAGCACGAAGTGGGGTCGTCGTGACCTTGTTTCAGCTCAGATCCCTCAACGGCTTTGTCCAAGTTACGTATAGTTTGTGGCGGTGACGTCACGCTGATTGTTAAGGTTTGTCCAGTCCTGGTCTGTGGGATGGGATCCGGATTTGGGCAGGTTTTGGGTAGCTGCACATGTGCATGCTTTTTGATGAGCTGTTGGGACGGTCTGAGAGGCAAGCCGGGGCCAATGAGGATCAGGGGCTGTCGTCAACCGCAAAGGGCGGGAAAGTGGTGAGAAACGCCGTCCCGAGTCCATGGCGCTGAGCTGTAGCACCCCAGGAAATTCCGCGGGTAGCGGCTGTTGAACGGGAATCGTCGATCAAACGAGCAATTAGAGCCGCAATTTCTCCAACCGTTTCTGTGTTTGATTGGTCCAACTAGTTAAAACAAAAAAAGTCGTCGCAAGCTTCGTACAACGTCGAACCAACAAGATACAGAGTCTTTTGTGATGCGGGCCTGGCCGGATCCAGGCGTTTTCTAGACTGATGCGAGGAACAGTTGGGGACGGGTGTATTGCCGAAGAGTCCTGATTCGTTGGTGTTCATGAAAACCTTTCTGCGTGCAGTGTTCAGCAAGGTTGATCGAGATAGAGACCAGTTTCAAGGCAAACTTGAGAGCTGTTGTGCAAACACCGGAGACTCCGGAGAGTACACGGTAAGAAAGAACGGAATCATGTACGAGCAGGGTTTGCTCTAACAATCAAGTCTTGCTACGCAACACCATTCTTGCATTGGCGTGGCTCACTTGGTCGAGATGATTGTCTCGAGGCTAGAGATGAAGCAACCGCAAGTACCATCTCAACATCGTAGTCTCGCCATTCGAGCACTGTTTCTTGACACCGCCCATTGATGCTAAAGAGAAAGATGTGCTACTTTAAAGCATCGGCAGTGACACGTTACCGCTGCTTCGGTACAGAACTCATTGCGGTACGGGAGGAATGATATTGGCGGTCTGGAGAAACGACGAAACATTTGTCTACTTACAAAAGGTACCGCAGTATCCTCTCTGTTCTTGTGTTATGTCCTAAGGAGCATATTTGCTGGGTTGTGGTAACGAAGGTCTGTCACTGAATAGAATGTTTTGGGTGCATGTCTATGCTTTTCCTGGTCGGTTGTGCATGTGCTGGGAGTGGTGTTGATGTTCTTGTGAAATGGTTGAGTTGGACTGTTTGGTATGTTACGACATGACCATTTGACTACAGGAACATGATCAAGTCTGTCGAGTTTGTCATGAAAGCGTTCCACATGGGCGGTTCGTGGTAAAAGGTTCTTCCGACTTGTGTTTACGAAAACTCATTCGCCATTGGTACCAAGTGAGCGGGGCTCTAAAACCCATTGGTGGTTTGTGATGACGACGCGTGACAATAAAAGCTGCTGGGATGTGGAGCGCACGCTGAGCTCCATCAGATGTCGTGGACAAAGACGGTAGGAGATGAAGGTGAAATACGACCGAAAGCGGGAGGCAGATGTGGATTATTTTTGCCCATCATTGCTGATTGGATGCTAGGGTCGTAGCTTCTCAAAATAGCGTACAAACAGTCGCGTCATGCCACAGCACTCGGGGAGTGGGGCATACGCGTAGTGGTGGGTCACTGACAGATGAATAGCTTCGGGATGGCTGGTGCCAGTGAAGATTTATATGTATCTACCTGTTAGTGTCCGAGCAAAGGAAAAACGTACCGGCAAGGTCTGGCACCGGCCCGTTAGCAAGCGTCCTGGCAATCTGAGGAAATGATGCTTTGCACGGCAACAGCAGATCAAACCGATCTCATCTCATCAGCACTCCCGTGACTTCCCCAGGGCTTGGTTGGATCATGGTTACCCTTGCCAGGGTGGTTGATTTTTGATGCTGAGTGTGCAGGAATGTCGGTGTTGCCGCGGACCCTGAAAAGAGGCGGTAATGTAGTGCATGCGGCGAAATCGGAAGTCGAGGCCGCAAGACGGGTTGCCTATCGTGTGTGGAAAAGTGATGAGCGGAAGGCTTGCGTGAGCGGGGTACAGACATGTCGGTGAGCAGGATGGCAAGCAAGGCCATAGGTAGGGACAGTAACCTTATCGCATGCACGCCCGTAACGCCATCCTAGTCGGAGTCTTGGGCTACGGCTCGTTCGCTAGGTGAGGTTTACGTTTCAGCAACTGCTGCAAACGATCAGCCGCAGAGAGTGCCCCGTCGGCGCACGACTCGCGGCTGGCGGCCGTCTGCAACGTCAGTGATGGGATTCGCAAGTGTTTAGGTGCAGGATCGAGTTCGGATTGGCGTCGACTGGGTAGCAGCGGGTGGCACAGCACTGCGAGCTGGTGCCGCCTTGCCCACTGTTGCGCACAAATGTGGGTGGGAGGGCAGATTGCACGTCGAGGGCAAGATTGCAGGCGATTGCGTCGCGGCAGCAGCTGGGTGGCTGCGCGGAAACATCAGAGCGGACTTGTCCGGGCGGTGAGGGCGAGCATAAACTTCTGTTGTGCTTTGTTGCTGTGCATGGCAGAACCCCCGCATGGCACAAAGGCGGCTAGGTGATGGGTAGCCAGGAACTAGAGGCCGGGCTGCTGCAATGTCGAGCTGCAGCGCTGCAGGGAGCTCCATCGCGCTGCCTAGCACGGTCTGCCCAGGCGTGGGCCAGAGGGCAGCAGAATGCGATGGGTGCGAATGGCGTGAATGGCGTGAATCACCATGGGCGAGCCGCCATGGTTCTCCAGACCGGGCCCCAGGAGAGAGCTGCACAGGTGCACAGATGGATGCACAGATGCGAGGCAGAGGGCCTGGCACAAGCCACCGATGGGATGGACAGGACAGGCTCGCTGCATCGTTGGACGCTGCTGCTGGACCGGCGACGTATTCTCTGGCCAGGCCGGGCACGCTGTCCAGCTGGGCCAGCGGCGAATGCACACTGGCACTCTTGCACACAGCGGCGCAATTGCACGCCCAACGCGCCCCAGCCCCAACGTCTATCACGGTACTGTGGTGCTGGTGTCTGGCGTGAGGAAGTTATTGGAATAGCAGCGAGCACAGACGCGGGCTAGCGCACCCCCTTCTTTCGGTGCAGAACAACCTCAGTCGTCTTCACCCGCTGCGCCGCCGCCCTCACCCTCCCTATTCTTTTCCTTTCTGCTTTTTGTCGAAAGAAGCTCGCCGTTCGCAGCGCCAGACGGTCCTCACTCGACAGCCGTCCAATGCAGGCTTGAAGGTCTGTTGGGAGGCCTGGTACACGCTGCCATCTCCGCCGCTCCACGACCGCCTCTCCCGCGCCCCGGCCACGGCGGCCCATTCCATTCTCTGTTTAATACTTTCCGCGTCTTTGGCCCACGCAGGTACTGCTCTCTTAATAGCCCGTCGCCGTCCCGCCCGTCCAGCACTCGGGTATGTCGTCAATGCCGCCGCCTGCACCGCGCGCCCGAGCCTCGTCCTCGCTGCCCATCTCGTCTCGCGTCTCGCTTGCCCTCGTCCAACTGTCGCTAACAATGTGGCCGCCCCCAGATCTCAGCCTTTGCACGACCACGCCCGCGCCCTTCACCCGCCCGCCCCGGCGCCGCACTCCAACGCCTGGCTGTGAAAGGCACCGATGGCCCAGGTACTCGCGCCGATTCTTCAGACGTCCGCCTCCATTACCATGCCGTACTCGCCGCCAGATGCCTATCAGAACGCGCCGGGCCAGCCACACCAGCAGCAGCAGCAGCGATCGACGCAGCCGCCGCGCAACCAGATGTACAACAGCCACTCTGGGGGGACAGGCTACAGAGGCACCTCGACGCCGATAGCGCCGTATGCCTTCTCCAGCACGCCCCAGCTGCGACAAGAGGGCAGGTCCGTGTCAGCGCCGCTCCCCCAGGGCCTGCAGCAACAACCGCACCAGCCGCCGCCCACCCAGAACAACCAGGCTCGCAAGGGGCATCCCTCCCATCCCTCCTCCTCATCCGACTCGACCGTCTCGACGTCGGGCTCATCTAGTCGCTCCATGGCTGGCCCCTCGCGCGCTACAAAAGATGACGGCGATGTCAAGAAACAGCCTGAACCCTTTTCAGCCTCGTTTATGACATCCTCGGCGACCCCCGACCTCTCGCTCTCTCTGGGCGAGGCCCCTGTCAAGCCCTCGCCCGGGCGTTACAGGCGTGGTGCTGGGAGAACCGACTCGTCCAGCAGTGTTCCCACGGCTACTTCCCCCACGACCCCAACGCAGCGGTCTACTCCTGTTGCGTTACCCCCATCTGGGCTGTCCCAAGCAGCCTCCACTTCTCCGGATGACTCCGATCTGTCAGCGCCTAGCAGGCCTGGACACAATCGGGCGAGCAGCGCAGACGACTCACAGCTCGCACGCAGCATGGATGCCGCCAAGAGATACAGGCGACGCAGTTTCAATGGATTAGACGCCAATGGTGTCGCAATCAACATGGCGGCGTCTGGTCCTGTGGTACCTCCGAGTCAAGGCTCGACTACCTCGTCAAGTACAGTGGGACCTGGCTCGAGTGCAGGACGACAGGGAAGCCGCCCGACGTCAAGCCGTGGCCATCAAAGACAAAACAGTGGGAGCAGTGTCTCGTCCAACACCTCCACAAGACCCCAGGCGAGCAACACAGGCGCTCAGCGGGCCTCTGCCCCTGGCGCTGGTGACAGCGTTGCTTCGAAAGGAATTGAAGCCGCCCGACGCCATGCTCCATCCCCTCTGTCACATCCGGTGTCAAACGAGGCACCCGGCCCTGCGAAGGCATCAGCGCCCTCCAGTGCCGCTGTCAAACATTTAACTGCAGTGAACGACAAAGACAAGGGCATGAAGTCACGTCTCCGCCGAGCTTTCTCCTTTGGCAGCGCTGCTGAACTTCGACGTGCCTCGGCAGAGAACAACATCTCTGCGGAACGTGCAAAGTTGAGGAAGGACAGAATGGAACCCGAGGAAGATCCGGAACAGGCTGCAATCATTGCCAAGCAAGAGGCAGCAGGTATCGGTGCTGGAATCTATTCCGGGCAAGGCGGCGTCGGCTCCACTGATAACATATCCATTCAGTCGGCTGCATCATCTGCCTCGATCATGCTCCGAAAGATGGGAAGTGGCATGAAAAAAGGTAGCAAGTCAATCAAGGGATTGTTTAGGCCCAAGTCAGTCATTGGAGTTCCAGCCGCTGATGGACCTGTCAACAGGCCGAGCGTCGGCCGAATCTCAATGGTCACTGTCGAGGCAGAGAGGCAGAAAGTGAACATAAACGCAGACCCTCACGACCAGGTCCGCGGTGGGACCGGTTATCCTAGGTTGGAGCGCAACTCGATCGATGCCGGGCAGATGGCTGAGATTGTGAACCCTTCAAATGCATCAGGTGAAACTGGCTCAAGGAAGAGCATCGTTGGCAATGATCGCGAACGGGCTGAGGTCCTCTCTTCCATGAAGAAAGGCATTTTGAAGCGTAAGTCTCTTGCATGTTATATTGGAACCTCTTTCTCACAAAAAGCAGGCAACAACACGAGCTCAGATTCTGGCTCACCCGTCCTCCGACCTGTGGATGTAGGTCAAGTCTACGGACATTCGACATCCGGTACACCGACCAACGACAAGAGACGGAACGACGACTACTTTGCGAAACCACCGCGTATTCCAAACGGCAGCACGAGGAGTCTCCCGACTACTCCTCAAGTGGGGAGGAACATCAGCTTCAGCCCTCGCATCCAATTCCATGACGCCTGGTCTCCTTCAGACTACGACCGTCGGGGAGACATTGCTACGTGCAACAGACTCACGCCCATGCTGGCACAGCAGATTAGGGAAGAAGTCAATTCCTTCAAGATGGTATGTAGTGCCTGCAATCGTCTGACAAAGTGCGTCTGCTAATCGTTTTTGCAGGAGATGGAAGTACACGAGCAGTCTAAACCACACACCCATTTCTTCTAATGATTATGCATCCATCATTTGGACATGGCGTCTTGGCGAATATCTTCCAACTTAGCACTTGGGCGATTGGAAGCAGTATAGCATTTACGAGTTGGTCTCTTACTCTACTTCCTTGTCTGGTTACGGATTGACTTGTCTCTTCTGTTTTAGCGAGCATTTGCAATCAAGTAGAAAACTGCTTCGCGTGTGGTGGTCAAACAGGAGCGCGAAGTGATATCTGCAGGAAAGTGACTAGCCGAGGGTTTTGATCTCTAGCTCAAGTTGACTGTTTCCTTGGCCTTCCTTTGATCGGATCTTTCTTTATTCTCTTTCTCTTTGTCTGTCATGTTGTTCCGGTGCGGCGACTGTCTCTCATTTCCAATCTCCTCATCTCTATCTTAAGTGGTCATTTGTATCTTTGCGCGCCCTTGTTAATTGTCGTATAGAAAAGACATGCGAAGAATGCGTCGAGGATGGTACTTGGCTGGCTTTCCGAGGCCCCTTGGTGTGGAAGTGTGCGCGATTAGCTGTCTGCGTAATTGGAAATGGATCAAGGTGTCTTCTCGGCATGGAAAGAGTGTTTTGGTATTCCTTAATGGCGTGCGTGATGTGCTGATATTGGTCACCAAGTTTGATATACAAAAAAACGTCTTTGTTTGACGCAAAGAGCATGATCTTGGTTAATTTGGGATAGACCAATCATTACCAGAACATATGCACAACTATTTTGAGCCCATCCCATATCGTTGCGTAAACAATGATCAGGGTGTGTTGACAAACGCAGGACCAAACAACCGACCCTGCTTCTCACAAACGTCGATCCCAAGCCTACCCACGCATGAGCAAGCTACGCACGGAGATGTTCAATACTCTGATTCATCAAAATTATCTTTAAATATCATCGACCTGCGAACATGCATATGACACCTTCCTCATCCAGCACGTCACGATTGCGCTTCTCGCATTAAGTCGCACCAGTCAGGGAGGAGGCAGGGGCGCTAAATCTTCCGATATATCGAAGTGAGGCTTTTGGGGCCGATTCCCGACGTCGATTCCCGAGCACAAAAGGAGCACATGGTCATGCTCTTCGCAATCGCGTGGGTGGATGGCGCCCGAATGGGAAGCAGCATGCACGCCTCAATAGGCAAGTATTGCACGATGCAGTCGGCGACAACAATCGGCAATTGTGTATGATATGGGTATCATGCATGAATCTAGGGGTTTGTTAAACATAGGTCTAGATTGTCTGGACCTGGGGCGTTTATGGAGGTGAAGCAAGTCGCAGTCGCAGCTGCAGTCGCACACGCACATCACGTGGGATCCGCAACTCGCTTGGGGCGTTAGTCAGCTTGGCGACTCCGCACCACTCGCCTTCGAATTTACGACTTACGCTGACGACAAGGACTCTCCTCCGCACAACACCACATCCGACAAAATGGTACGTCGAGTCGCCGTAACGGCCAAGTCGTGGCTGAGCGGCCGCTGATAATTCCACAGGCACCTGCAGCAACTGGAGGCAAGAAGCAGAAGAAGAAGTGGTCCAAGGGCAAGGGTACGTGAGACGGCAGCACACCTCCAGCACCTCCAGCATCTCCTACACCATCGTCAAAACGCGCGGAAACGATCGCATCGTCGTCTTGTCCGTCGGCGAAGAGCCCACACACGCTCGAAACACGTCCGCCAGAATCGTCACTAACAGCCTCACAGTCAAGGACAAGGCCCAGCACGCCGTCGTTCTCGACAAGGCGGTCAACGACAAGCTCCAGAAGGATGTCCAGTCCTACCGCCTGATCACCGTTGCCACCCTTGTCGATCGTCTCAAGATCAACGGCTCGGTCGCACGGAAAGCCCTCGCCGATCTCGAGGCAAACGGCCAGATCAAGAAGGTTGTCGGTCACTCCAAGTTGTGCATCTACAGTATGTCTCCCCACAATTCCACTCGACGAACAGCAGAAAGGTTTTTTTAGCAACAGGGGCTAACTCGCAACAGCACGAGCAGTCGGCGCAACAGAATAAGCGGCTCGCCATAACGATGGATGCAGGACTCGGGTGCGCTCTTTTCAACCTTTTCAACGACAATTCCTCTTTCCCAGTTACCGATCGGCGTCTTCACGAGATGGATGGGTCACATATATTGGGCATGCTTCATAGCGGACATGAGTGGAGGGGATGGGCCCAGGTATAGCTCCGGGTTCCAGGGTCGGTGTCGGTTATGTACTGAATGAACAAGATTCCCGAACCACATTTTGCCTGTTTGTGCTTGTGTGAACATGACTTGTGTTTGGGCATTTGTAGATCTGTTTGGTCGGTCCAGCCGTGTGCTCGAGTGAGGTTTGAAGCTGAGGACTGGCATGACTCGTCGAACTCGACACACGGGAGAGTGCATCAATATGTGTACTTCGAACCGTAGATACAAGTCTATCGTCCATCTCGTGGGATGCATGTATCCACGACATGACATTCGTCGGCACAACAGCAGCAGCAGCGTTACATTCTCAAAACAATCAGATATGTAATTCACATACTCTTAATCGACCTACCATATTGAAACCACAACCCACCCACCCCTACTCATCATACTTCCTCACCGGCCTCCCCTTCTCCGCCTGTTCACACAACCCCATCGGCACCGACTTATCCGCCCACCCCTCCTCCCTAACCACCTCCCCCACCTTAAAATACGGCTTCCCCTTATCCCCCCTAAACAGTCTATGCCAATTCTCCAGCCCATCCCGCGCCAACTGCCTCGCCCTGCGCATCTCCACCGCCCTCCGATTCTTCAACTCACCACTACTCAACACGCGCCTTTTACTAGCCTTCTCCAGCACCTCAGGCGCAGCATCGGGCTTCGTCTCCGGATCAACAGGGATAAACATTTCCTCCACGCCTCGCAGGTCCGGCGTGATGTCGGTCGCGAAACAACCTGTTAGGAAGGCGCGCGCGGAGTCGCGCCCCGCGAAGAAGTGGTACGACCCCCCCGGACCGTAGGTGCTGCGGCCGGCGGATACGTCGTAGATTGTGCCGTTTAGGGCGAGGTAGATGGGGAGGGTTGGGTTGGTGCCGTCGTATTTTGCGAGGTCGGCGTCTGTGAGGTGGAGGGGTGGGTTCTATGCATTGGATAATTAGCAAGGCAATTGGCTTGTGGGGAGGGGGGTGTTTGTCCGTCCGGGGAATTGGGTATACATTGGATTTGGATTTGTATGTGTATGTGTATACGTACCATCAACGCCTTCCACTCGCGCGCCCGCGTCCACCACGGATTATACCCCCACGTCATGCTCGTCCCGCTCGTGCTCAGGTAGCTTAGCCCGCTGCTCAGCAGTAGGATCCCGCCTGCGATGCGCAGCACGTCTAGGACTGAGAGGCCCGTCGATGCATCGTGGGTGGCTTTCTGCTTTACGGCTGCGGCGAGCTCTTGCTTGTCTTGTGCTAGGGGTGTTGTGGGTGCGGGCGCGGGCGCGGAGGGCTCGGGGCGGCGGTTGCGGGCTTCCATTGCTGAGAGAGGGGGAGTTGCTTGGGTTGCAAGCTCAAAAGTTGAGGTGGAGGGTTGGAAGGTGTTATGGTGTTGGGGCTTGCTGGCTGCCGAGGCTGGCTGGTTGGGGATCTGCACTCGCTCACTGAGGGGAGTTTAGGCTCGAACTAGGTACAACTACTGTGTGTGTAAATGGTAATGGTACTTTTCCTCATTCAGATTGTGGGCCAGACGTTCAGACCGTATTGGGAGGACGAGTCTCGATATCTGTCCACAACGCATAATAGACGTTCAGATAGATTGAGGTTGGGCTACGGTGCAGTACGCCTTCTTCCTTGATTGGGTGCGAGTGAAGCCATGGGCACTAGCTGGAGTCTTTGCACAGCAATGATCAGCGGGATAGATAGGTACTGCAAATATGCATTGCTCTTGCGAATCTGGACGTGTGGTTATTGTGTATGCGGAACGTGTTTCCCTTCCC